GTGAGTTTTTTAATTCTTTGGATGCATTCAGATTTTGAAATGAGGGGTTATCCTTTGTGGGTTTTTGGTTTTGTGGTATATGTTATTGATGGTATTTCTTTGTTGAGTGAGTTAGGTACTGGAGCTAGAAGAGTGAGCTGTTGGGATCCCAACTACGGCATTTCTCTACCTCATTGATTGGAACCCAACCAATGACTGATCAGACCTCCTCCTCCTTTTCCAACAACGCGCCGCCATCCAAGTCCAACCCACTACCATCATTACTACTTCCGAACCTCCCAGATGATATTGCACTGCAATGCATTGCCAGAGTCCCCAAGTCATATCACCCCACACTATCTCTTGTCTCCAAGTCATGGTTGTCCGTCATACGCACCCCGCTTCTCTTCACCACCCGATCTCTCCTCCATTGCACTCAACACTTCCTCTATCTCAACATCCGCATCTTCAACACATTTAATTGGTACTTACTAGATTGTAGTCCTTCAAACCCTAAAAACCATAAAAGAACTCTTTATCCTCTGCCTCCTATTCCCTTGCATCTCACTGGGCCTGCTTTTGCCGTTTTAGGCCCCAAAATCTTTGTAATCGGTGGGTCAATCCATGACATACCCTCAAACAATGTTTGGATTTTCGATTGTCGGTTCAACAAATGGGAAATTGGGCCCAAAATGCGTGTAGGAAGAGAATTTGCTGCTGCTGGGGTAGTGAATGGAAAGATATATGTAATGGGTGGGTGTGTAGTTGATAATTGGGCTCGATCGATGAATTGGGCTGAGATTTTTGATCCAAAGATGGGGTCATGGACTTCTCTACCAAGCCCGATTGAAATTAGGGACAAGTGGATGCATGCTAGTGCAGTTGTCAATGATAAAGTGTATGCAATGGCTGATCGGGGCGGTGTGGTTTACGATGCCTATGCAAAGGAATGGGGTGGGGTGCCAAAGAGGCTTGATTTGGAGTGGAGGGGACGGGCTGCAGTGGTGGATGGGGTGTTGTACTGTTATGATTACTTGGGAAAGATTAGGGGCTATGATATGGGGGAGGATGTGTGGAAGGAGTTGAAAGGGGTGGACAAGGGTTTACCAAAGTTTTTGTGTGGTGCAACAATGGTGAATTTTAATGGGAGGTTGTGTGTGGTGTGGGAGGGGAAGGGGAAGGGGAAGGGGAAGGGGAGTGGGAAAGAAGTGGAGATTATGTGTGCGGAGATTGAGGTTCATAAGGATGGGGGAGGAGGGTTAAGTGGGTCGATTGTATGGTCCAATGTGATACTTGTGATTCCGAGTCATGCTTCAATAGTGCATTGCTTGGCAGTAGCGTTGTGATGGCATAACAGGAAGGTATGTTGTTTCATATATGAAGCTTTGTTTGAATTCAAATTCTCCCCTCCACCTCGAGTTACACACTTTTGAATTTGTCGTCCGTCAAAACTTGTATATATATGCACATATGATGTGTTGAAAACTTGTGTATGACACTGTGCATCTCAATGTCCTCCAAAGTTTTGTGCTTGGAACTATTGTGGAAAAGGTGAGGGATTGTAATAAGAAAAACTATGGATTTAAGATGGATCAGGTGCCTGTGACGTTTCAAAGAGTTAAAAAACTACTATGAAGGTTTTTAGCACAAACAAATGCACATTTCACACGACTATAAAACCTGTCTCTGTAGAATGCATGGTAATGTGTTCAAACTGTTGTGCTGATATGGAATGGTAATGAAAAGGGCTATAAGCTTAAGCTTGACCAGGTCGGGATTTGACTGTTGATTTGCTTCACTTATTGTCCAAATCTAAAACACTAAACTATAAAATGTGAATTATGTAATTGAACTGTTTGTACGCTGTTGTTACTTGTGGAGAATTGAGACCTTAAACTTGCATTTATGGTTTGGGGTGCCTACCCCTGCGCCATGCCCCCAGTCCACATGAAAACTTTGATTTTTTCGTATTATGTGACGGACTGTTGTTTTCTTAGTCTTGTTCTTTAGGTGCCGTACTGTTTGAGGAATGAAATTGTGACTGCTCACTAACTGTACAAATGCTGGGTATTGAGTGCAATAAATGCCCATTTTAACATGTGGTAGAAGTGATGGAACATCAATGCCCAGAAATGTTGTAATCTCTAGTAAAAAAATAAATTGCCCAACTCCTGTGTAACTTTCTGATTTCTACAATCATTTCTACCTGGGAATTTGTTTTGTTTGAGGGGAAGGGAATGGAAGAGAAGGAAAGAGTGGGAAAAGTTGGATGATGAGAAATTTCCTCCCTTTTTGGTGGATGAAGATGGATAGGATTGGAAGAGGAGAAAAGAAGAGAGTAAACAAAGTTTGAATCTTCTCAAAAAAAAAAAAAAAAAAGGTTAATAGTATTTTTGGTTCCTGAAGTATGTATTTTTTGTTAGTTTAGTCGTCATTATATTAATTTTGTCAATTAATCCCTAAAATATTTAATTCGTATCATTTTAGTCTCTACATGGATAGATCGTTAAATTTTTAACGAAATGATCACATGTTGGGCATGTGATACCATCTAAAAAATGACACGTAAAATTGATGAATTGTCTAATTGGAGACCAAAATGACATAAATTGAATATTTTAGGGACTAAATTGATAAACTTAATATAATGAGAATTAAACTGATAAAAAATAATATTTTAGAGACCAAAAGTGTTATTACTGAAAAAAAAATGTAAACAAAGTCTAAAGTTTAGCAAAAACACCACTCTTTCTTTCTCTTCTCATATGTGGTATGATAACGAAAAAGCAGTGGATAGAGATTAAAAAAGAAGCAAAAAAAATAAAAATATTTTCTTTTGTTTGATTGCAATAAGACAGTTTATTAATATACTAGTTATTGTCAGTGCTTTAAGGCGCGGAGTAATAAAAAAAATCAAAATTAAATGACAAATATAAAAGAGAAAGAAAGATTTAAGCATCGATTGTAGTGAGGGTGAATGGTGGTGGACGACAGTGGTCGTGGGTGATGACTACTGTGTTGGGGGTGGCAGTCGTGGGTGGTAATGATGATGGTGGTGGTGAGTTTTAGATGACGATAATTGTAGTGACATCCATGAATAATGACGGCGGTTGTAGTGGTGGTGGGCGACGGTGGGTGTGGCGGTGGTGGGTTGTGGTGGTGGTAGGATTGCTGGGGGTGGGTGATAGTGGATGGTAGGCGACGATGGGTGATGGCGGGTTGTGGTAATAGGTGGTGGTGGGTGCTGATGGGGAGCGACGGTGGCAGCAAGATGATGTTGGTAGTAATAATAAACATAAGAATAAGATGTCGATGGTGGTAGCAGTGGATGATGGTGGTAACACCAATCAGTGGTGAGTGGTGGTGGGGGTAGCGGTAGGGCAGTTGGGGTATGGTGGGGTAGTGGCGGTGACAGTGGTTGTTATGATAGAGGTGGTGGCGGTGATGGTGATGGGGTGTTGGTGGTGGCAGAGGTGGCGGTGGGGTGGCAGTGATGGTGGTGGGACGGTTTTAAATACTATTCTTTTAAAAAAAATACCTATGAAAAGTTATAAGTTCTAAAAACATTTTTAAAAAATTGCCTCAAACATATCCGTAGGGGTTTATTTTTTCTATTAAATTTGATGTATTAATATTAGTCGTCGGATTAACTTTAAAATAAAATTAAATAGATTTCAACCATAAAAAATAAAAATCGTTTGTTAATTTTTTGAGATTTGAATTGTATTATACTTTATTATATAGATATTACATGTTAAATTTAGTGACAATATATTGTGTCATGGTTTCTCGGGTATGGTAATGTCTGCATCGTCTAACTAATCTGATCTACGAGCTAGTAGTAGGGCCAATGAGAAATAGATAGATTATCTAATATTTGTTGGCATTTGCATGGTCGACTGCGCATTATTAGTTTTTCACAAAGTAATGAATGTTACATCTTGGACAAATCATTTATTATAAGTACCGTCGTTGACATGTTAATATGCATTGCCAAGATACAAATTCAAGTATAGTTTTATAAAGAGTTACAAAGGTTAACAATTTTTTATTTAGACGATGTGATCATGTTAATACCGTCAATTGATTATTTTTAAAATATAATAAAGTTCAGTATTTAATATTTGTATATTTTAAATATGTGCATGTTAATTTTTTTTTTAATCATTGTTTGAATTTTGTGTCGAATTTTACGATTTAAAATTCTCAATTCTCAAATTTAGGATTTCGATTTTTGATATGAATTCAATTTGATAACTTTGTGCGTTAGTGAATATGTAATCAAATAGTTTCTGAAAATATAACCTGCGGCATGTCAATAGTTATATTGGGGTCAATAACGATAAGCTTGCTTCCTTGTATCTGAAGTTTGCTCCACGGGACCTTATGCTTGTTTTGCCTCTCTCTCTCTCTCTCTCTCTCTCAAATCTGAACAAGTAATTTAAATTTACAGCAAAGCCTATCTAACTTAAGGGAGGAAAAAAAAAGACCCTCAAAACAGTCTATGAATAATGCGATCATGGTCTATTCAACGACTGGTGACTCATTTGATGGGTTCCTCTTGGATGACATTGCTGCTTCGGGTTACCAACCAGACACAGTTTGTTAAGTAAGAATCACTAGTCTTGCATGGCCAAATTTTTTTCTCGAATGAGACGGGTAGAGTTTATTTTGTTGATAGATTGATTACTTCATTACAACTCTTTGTAATGGTCCATTCGATGTGTATGGTATGGTATGCTCTTAAATAGTTTTAGGGTGATGGTTCAAGTGTTTGGAAGGAAGTGTGTGATGGACCAAATTTGATGGTTTCACATATTTTCACAAAAACTGTTGATTATTCGGAACTATTGCCCCAAAATTGAATGTAGCCATTATAGCAAACTCATAGCATTTACGAGTAACAAGTGGCAGATACGTATAGCCCTCGCAATATTCTTTATGTTAATATGGTGTACAAGATCAGCAATATGAAACTCAAAGGTAAAATGAAGCCAAGCCAAAATGTGTGTGTGTGGGAGAGAGAGAGAGAGAGAGAGCAGGTTGCATCTAGAAATCAGAAGAAGAAATTTGGAAATTCCCTCCTCTCAAACAAATCCCCGCTACCCAATTATTTGCATAGCTAATAATTTCTGCAAAAAAGGTTCTCTAATCCCCACTAGTTCTTGTGAGCAAAATTTTACAAGCTAATAAAAATAGGCAATTATGCCAAAAAGATTTGGAAATGAGAACATCAGCTTGAGAAAAAAAATTAAGAGACTCGATGCCAGATTTACTAAATAATACACATGGTCAAGTGTGCTCCATGTCGGAGGTGAATAGAAAAGAAGCCGGACTGATTTAGTCGTCCAAAGGCTTTAAGTGGGTAAGGTGACATACGAGAGAGAACTTAGTTTACACTACTACGTACCTTGAGCAAGTACTCACAACACAACATGCATAGAAAGAACATGGTAGTTGGTCTTATTTCTTCAAATATTTCTCAATTTGTAGGAGTGCCTGTCAAAACGTACACTCAAATTAGGTAAGCAAATAAGAATAGCAAAAGAAACATGAAGCTTGGATCACTACTGAAATCAAACAATGTTGAAGCTAAATCCCGAAAATTGTTCAATGAACCAACATGTGCACATGCACACGCAAATACAAACTCACACACACGCGCAGAGAGAGAGAGAGAGAGACCTCAATTGCAATTACAGTTGGTGAGAGATTGCACACGTCTACATATCCAAGTTTGTCAGCAATATCTGACAAGTGGAAACATATGCACATTTTTAGCCCTTACCAAAACAAAAGCATCTTAAACAGCATGAATTCCAACATAATAGTGTGCATGACATAGATAAGAACAAGCAGCAAGAGAAACTAATAAACTATAAGAAGAAAGGACATGCATTACCATATTGATTTCATAATGTCTACTTAAATGCAGCTACAGTACTATCACGCCTCTAAATCACCAAGGATTCCAAGATCTATTAGATTCCATTGTCTAGATATGAACATTAGCAGTCAAAAGTGACGAAAACATAGGGCATATATGGGTTCAGGAGATCATACTTTCCAGGGAAACCCTGGCATTAGCATTGCTGTATGCTTCACCCCTCTCTTCCAAAAGGGTGGATAAGCGCTTGAAAGCCTACATAGAAGTGAAAGTCAAAAGAGAAGTGCTTATCAGAAAACCTCAAGGGACCAAGGTTAAAACAACAAACACCAACAACCAGCAATATGAATTCTTGTTTTAGTCAACATTCAAGACATCTAAATTAAATTATAAAACCTAGAGTTGCCTTTGTGTGTCCAATATCATGGGTGTAGTGCCCACCTTTGCATAAGCATCGCCATCGCCAGTCAAAAGGGGGCGAGAATCAGTTCCTACAGCCGCAATTCTCCGTGCCAAGACTTCCAATGGTACATCTAGCCAAACACTAATCCCCTTTTGCATGTATTTCCTGACAAGACCAAAGTAGTGGTGCATCTAAATAACTGCAAAGTATGCCAAGAAGCCAGCTACACACAGAAAATAAAAAATATGCTGTTGTTATACCAATTGATGGGCCGAATAACTGCACCCCCGCCAGTGGAAACAACTAACCGGTAATTTGAAGACAGCTTGTGCAATACCTCGGTCTAAAAGCCAAAGGTTAATCAATAACTTATTAATTACAAGAAAGTAAGGGAAAGAAAATCAAACCACAGCAATTTAACTGTACTAGTGAATGTCAGTGGCTTTATATTGCTAGAATTTGCTCGACTCAGTAAACTCTTTGTTTCGTAGTAGTTCTCAAAGGTATGTAACTCAGGTGTAACTGCTGGAATTAGTAAAAACATTTATTGTGCTGTAGTTTGTTTCCCACTTTTATTATCTTGCTGCACAACATTCTACTAAAAATTCAGGAAAACTGAAGAAAAATGACTATGTCCCATGTAAAGCAGAATGTCATGCTTTTATCTAATTAGAATTCCATTCCCCAAAACAAAAAAAAAAAACCGAAGGCACAATCATCCTACCCTCAATTGATCAAGTTTTTTTTAAAAGTAGCTAAACAAAGATATAGTTTTGGTTTTTTTTCAGTGCTTATAGTTTTGGGTTTTGTGGTCATCCACATGCATAAAAAAAACCAAAAATCAGTGACCATTCCCCCTTCAGAATAAGTACACAAATTGCTGTAGAAACCACAGCTGCATATCTGTGACAGATCTTCTCAGAGCTAGATTTCTATCCTACCTGTGAGCTCCCAAAATGTAACTAAATTAAGTGCAATATAAACCAAAGAAATTGCTAGTACTCGGACACTTGCCCACTTGTCCCGATTCATCAGAGGAGAATTGCTAATGCTCCCTTGATGAGAAATCAATGCTTAGACTGAGACTAAACAGGATTTCTGGTTCTGAGTGGCTGAGGTTGAAGCCCAAGTTTCAAAGTTAAAGAGAGAGAAAAGTAATGATTACAGTGAAGGTTTTGTCTTCTTGAGGTCAAGGGTTCAAGTCTCCCTTCCCCTTCCCCCACCAAATATATATATATATATATATATATAATATTTAAAAAAAAAATACAGTAGGAGAGTCAAGAGACGCAAAGGGTTTTACTTGTTTCTTATCCTTAATCATCCATTAGATCTCCATCTCACATGATACTGCTTCCTCTCAAAGCTAAAACTTCTGAACAGTTAAAAGCAACTTTCCAGCACCAAATAAAAAAAAAAAGGAAGCAACTTTCTACACTACTTTCAAGAAAAAGACCACTGATTTCATCTTTCATGAAGTATCTACACAAGGGGAAAAAATTTGGTTTTGATTTTGTTACATATGGAGCTGCCACATCTAACATCACCTCCACTTTGAACTACTGCATCCTTGTCATATCCAAATGTATATTGCCTTTGGTGACCTTTAAGTGCAAGGTGCAAATTCCTTCTATAAAATGTGTATGTCACCAAAATTATAACGATAACAAAAAGGTTTTACAAAAGCAAAATACCTCATTTTTAAATCATGGTGAAAAACAGACATATGCATGTTACTGCTATGACGAAAAAAAATATAAGTCCTTCACTTTTCATGTGGTCTAAAAGAGTTCTTAAGGGAAGCATTTAAAATGCAACTAATCAACACAAGGAAGAGAGAGCAATAAAAAGATAATACTCAAGTAATGCAAGTTTTTGCGAAACACTAAACAGTAAAGAGTGAATATTTGAGAAAGCAACACATGAGAACAACTCTACGAGTATTTAGAAGATAAAATGGTTTCCTCTTTTAACAAACCTCATTATCTCTGAAGAAGCTCTCACCATATAGTTTAAAGATTTCAGCAACAGTAGTTCCCCCGACAGCCAGCTCTATTAATTTGTCGCTGAAGCATCCACAAAAATAATGTAATTCATTTTCTATTAGCAGCAAGCATAATGTGCCAGCCAAAGAGATCCTTTGGAAAGTAGATAATTTAAGTGTGTAAAATGGAATACTTTCAAGTTCCATGGGTCATGATGCCAACCAAGGGGCCACTGAGCACATATGCCAAACCCAGGATCCCCTGGATTGGTGAAAACCTTCATCTGCATTGTATTCTCCACAAAACTTGAAGAGTGTACTCCTGTCTTGATCATTTCTCCAAAAAAATCCCATTTAACAAGCAAACTTGCTACAAACCTGTCAAAAAATGAATATCCAAGTGCTTCTGACAAAATTCTGCCAACAGTTGTTTTTCCAGAACCCATCATGCCTGCATTTTGGTTACCTTGGAATTGAATACAACATATGTTGGAGCATTAGCCAACCACTCACATAAAGAAAGTTCTAAGGGACTAACCAACTAGATATATACACCGTCCACTTAGATATGGTTCAATCTCTTCTAACTTGTCCTGCAATTTTTAATATATTTCAATAAGATTCACGCAAAAACCAGTACATAATGAGTTAAGGAACTGCACTCAGTTTTTCAGTTACTAATGGTCATAAAACATAACTCTTCTATGGATATCGACTGTTAAAATCTCTAAGCCATGGATTGGAATTCGCACCTTTTGGACATCATTGATTGGAAGTAAGAGAGATTACAGGACAACATTTTGTACCTTTAGGATCATTGCTTCATCAAACGATGCTGGAAAACTTTCAGACTCTAGTAATGAAGCTACAAAAGAAGCATACCAAAAACATATCAGCAACAAAAAATTATTACTTAAAATCAGCATTCATTACAATAGACTAGCTATGACTTATTCATTTGGGACAGGGGACGGATTCAATACACCCTAAAGGATGTTTGAGAAACTTTCAGGTAATATGATTTGCCACCCAAGAGAGCATTTGTAATTTCATAGAAATAGGCAATTATGTCAAACAAGGTAAGAATCAGAGTTTCACAATACAATCCTACTCTTACGATTTCATTGAACTTCAATACCTCCAACATTATTTCTGTACATAATACCCAAGAAAGGTAAAAGAAGCAAAAAATAAATACATAGTGGTAGACAAAAGCATAAGAAGTTTGTAAGGCTAATAATAGCAACAAAAATTGAAAGTGCCCTGTGACATATCATCAAACAAAATAAGGATTTATGTTTTTCAACTTTTACCCGAAACTGGGTTATGTGTAGTGTCAATCGTGCCAAGTGACATGGGTTTATGTCTGAGTGTTTGCAGTGCCGCGTCAAAAAATATTTTATTTATACCCGACTCATTTATTAATTCGTGTTACCCGACTCATTTATTAATTTGTGTATAATGAATATTAGTTTCGTATTATGTTTATAACGTGTATGAATCATTTATAATTGAATTGTATTGGACATTATTTTTGGATTAGCTTCAACCATGCCCAACTCTTTTACCAAATGGGTAGCTTAAGGAAGCCACAAACTCTCTAGTTTCGCGTTGCGTTAACAGCTAGCGTCTGACACTACTGGTGAAGTGTTTAGAAACTACCTGGAATGTTTTGAGCAGAGCAGGAAACCTTCAATGTTACTGGTCTATGCAGCCAAGTTGCAGCTTTTCTGGATTGCAAATTACAGTATTCAGCCATCTGAAGTCTCTGTTGTCCTTTATATCTCTGCGAAAACCGCAACGAACCACTCGGCTTCCTTATGATCTTCTCTGAATCAATCAACGTGGACCATTGCAAGCTCTGTGAAATTTTAGCCTCCATTCTTCTGCTATTCTAAATCCAAACAATTTCACCAAAGCCTCAAGTCAATCTCTCTCCCAAAAACAAATAATTCAATAGAATTAATAAGAAATAATACTTACCGCAAAAAATCAATAAAAATGTTTTGCAAAACAATAAAGATTGTAAAGAATCTTTCACTTCCATTGGTATTTACTTTTGAAGAGAAACAATTGCCTCCCCGCCGCCCAAAAAAATAAATATAAAAATAGCTTTTTTCTGAGTAGCCAAACAGAGTATTAACCTAAAATTTACCAGTGCAGGCTGAAATGTTCGATCAATCACAACAATGTCTCCTACTGCAGCTAACGATTGCTAGATGAAACAGAGCAGAGAAGCCCTCTCTATCTCTAGAAATCTTTCTGCAAGTACAAACAGAAAATGGGTAGTTGGTGAGAGGTTTGGTGCCACAATGTGTTTTGCCTAAAAAGTTTTTATCTTTGAATACAGTAAATTGCATCAATAGTCCTGAAGTTTACCACTTATTCAACATTAGGCCTTAAACTTTTAATTTTATCAATTTAATCCTCCAAGTTCACTTAGGGTGTGTTTATTTTAGGTATTAAGAAAGAGAATTGGAAAAATAGTGCTCAGACTCACTTTATCTCATTTATTCTCATGTTTGGTTAGATATTTTGGTCCGGGATTATCACCTATAAACAATCCCTCACATTGACTTCCGCATTTGGACATAGGCTTAGGAGTAATGACTTAATTACCCTTTATATCAGTCACATGCATGGCACGTGATATTTTCCGTCAATAATTTAGATAGAAGTTAATCCGAGAACTACATTAGTGCAACAACTAAATGTTGAGAACTAAATTGATAAAATTTAAAATTTTAGGACTAAAGTTCCACAAGTGGTAACCCTTTGGGGCTATTGGTACAATTTTTCCATTTGAAAAATGGAGTAAAATTATAATTATTGTTGATGTTAAAATAAAATATGTTTTGACCCTTTGAGGTTTGAAAATGACAATCCATCCCTCAGCAAGTGTTTAAGGAATTTGAGTAATGTGTTAAAATGACCATTTTACCCTTTGATTAGTGCCAAATAAAAACCTTAACCAAACTCGACTAACAACTCAAAATCTAAACCAAAATCAACTAGTGATTTCAAAACGAATCAAAATCTAATCTCAAAAAATTATGTGTAGATGTACAATAAATGAAGTATACGTATTTGTGAGTTTATAGGTTGGAGTGTCGAGGTGGTGTAATTTGTTGTTGGGGCTGGGGCTGGTGGGGCTAGGGGGCTGGGGCGACGTCCCGGGGGGAAGGGGAAGGGGAAGCGATGGGTTGAGAGATGGAGAGTTAATGTTGTCATGTTTTTATAATTGAACTTTTTTAGTTTTTACGACTACAACTTTCTAATTTGTGTAAATTGCCACTAAAAAATACTAAGGTAGTAGGACTTTTAAGTCTTTGCCAAAAATTTTCTCTACCCACCTACCCTTAAAAATGAAAGTTTGGTGGCCATGTGGAGTTGGTAGAGTTCTTCCATATATTTTTTTTATTATTATAGACAGAAGTTCATCAATAGTTTTTAGAAGGGGGTTGGTGGCCGCAACAGGCATGGTATAGTTCCACTACCACCAGAGCATTTCCTTGGCCCATTTACAAATAATTATACTAATTAAACATAATTTGTTGATATAATTTATTATAATTATTAAACAAGAAGAAGGTCTAAAAAATACTGGAGTCTATTGTCAATTTAATAGTTATAAGTTATTAGATCAATAAATTAAATCTGAATAACATTATTTCTTTATTATTCATTTTGGAATGATATTATCCAAATTCACCCACTATTACAATGAGGAAGGCATACTATAATACTAATTGGAATAAATTTATCAATTAAAAATACTGATCAAATATGTTATTGTTGGTGGTTTCCGATGAATCTCATTCCCTCTGATAAAAAAAAATGACACTTAGGCTTTAAGAGTAAGTGTTGTTGGCTGGGGCTATTCCACATCGGATTGCCTTTGGGTGTGTGTGTGAGTTATATGGATGCTATGACACTTAAGTTTAAGTGTAAGTGTTGTAATTATCCTCTGTTTAAAAAAAAATGAATCTCATTCCCTAGGGAAATATTATGTGGAAAATCTAATTTTTAAGTCTAATATTTTTTTGGCTAACTTTTCAATGGGGGTATAGTCTAAATAATTTTAAAATTTCACATGAAACCCAATTCTTTTTTAAATCAGGAGTGATGCCCACGCTCTGAATCCGCCACTGTCTACATAAGAGGATCATCATGTGTAATTACTTCAAAATAATAGGCATAATGTTTCTTAAACTAAGGGATGCGGGACATAATTATGGATTAAGCACCTCATCAACCTCCTTGAATTGATGGACGATTAGGCTTTTGACGATTTAGTAACAAGAATTTCTTATATTAGATTGTCCTTTGGTTCAAAATAACTTGTATTTATGTCAACAAAATAAAAAAAATCGAGATTGAAAAACAATTGTTTCAAAAAAATGGACCTTCGGTTTAATCACACCTCAGAATTGCATAAATTTGTCTTTTTTAGTTTGCTTCCAAAAAAGATTAAAAATAAAAATAAAACTTCTAGTTGGGCCAAATTTTAGTTTGGATCTTTTGTCAGGATGGGTCACAATCCAGAATCCGGCAAGCTGAGGCCCAACCTATATTTACACAGTGACTACCAACACCTCCGTTTTTTTGTTCTTCTAGAGAACTCTTCTCGCTCTTCCGACCAGCGCTTCATCGTCAATTGAAAGATCATCGGGACCTGCTACTGTAATCGTCTTCTTTACGTCGTGATCGAGAGACTCTCTCTCTAACCTTCCAGTTCTAACAATGGCGACTGTGATGCAGAAAATCAAGGACATCGAAGATGAGGTATCAGCCTCTCTCTCTCTCTTATAGTCTTCACTTTTTATGGGTGTGTATGTGTGTGTGTGTGTGTGTGAGAGAGAGAGAGAGAGAGAGAGAGAGAGAGAGAGAGATTATTAAGAATCAGGAAAATATTTGGAATTTAATCATCCAATTGATTGCGGATAGGCCTAACTAAATCGAATAATTGTTTCTGTTGATTGAATTCAAGTGGAAAATATGAGCTTTTGTAGAGTTTATAAAATCAGAGGTTTGATTTTTGTGAGACGTGATTGAATTATTTATATTGTCTGGGTTCAATACTAATAGGTATTATGTACGGTACGTGTTGAGTATCAACTTCCGTATGAACATTTTTCCAGAAAATGAAGGTTGCAATGGTCGTGCGGTCTATACCGTTGATATTTATGTCTCCACTGTTGTAACTGGAAAAGGCAGAAGCTAGAGTATTTTACCTCTATTCAGTGTTTCAGATAAATCAGAGACAACAAAAAGAAAAGATTTTTAATCTTTTCTACAAAAGCCTATCAAAATATTTTGTTCAGCTGAGTATTGGAAACAGGCTATCTTACTCCTGGGAATTATAGTGAAGCACATAATTGGTTGAAGATCACCGGTGTTTTGAATAAAAGAAGAGGCCATTTTTTTCAGTACTTAGAATTTTTTGCATTTTCTTTTATTTGTTATAATTAATTGTTTGTTGGCTTCTATGTGAAAGTGCCGAACTAACACTTATCAGACTTTGGATTCTAGGTTCAAATTTGAGAACAACTATTTGTTAAATAATGTGAAAATTAAGTACTCCCCTAATGCCCTTGATTAATGGGGTTCAAATTGAGCAATGATTCTTTTTTGTCCAAGGACCAAACAAATTCTTTTGTTGACGATGTTTGCATTTCAACTTTCAATCCTATTGCGGTGATGAACTCGTGTGACCTATTACATGTGTATATGCATGTTTGAGTTGAGCGGAATAATGTTTCATTTTACGACATATATTCTTTATGTCAAAAAAAAACGTGTATATTCTTCAAGTTTTTATATGAAATGGCATGTAATATTGTTGAAGAATAGGCAACTATGGTTCCTTTTCACTCCCTAGTTTGGGTGATGCTACTTAATGATATCTTAGACTGCTTAAGAATGTAACAACTTCTTTCTTCTATGTTGCAGATGGCCAAGACCCAAAAGAACAAAGCTACTGCCCATCATTTGGGTTTACTTAAGGTACACATCCTCATGCTTGTTAGTGTTTGTACTTGAAGTGTCAGCTGTGAGGAATGATATCTGTGAATAACTTCTCTATCTTCGTGCAAGGATCTAGTATTTTTCACTGCCCTTATTTCTTCATATTCGCGCCTCATTTTCTTTATAAATAACGGAAGTCTGTGGTGAGTTGGTTTTTATTTTTTTACTCACTTACTGTCTTCTGTATAATGGAGTGCTATAGCAGTGTGGATGATTAACTTGGGTGGCCTCTTGCGAGAGAATTTTTAGCAGCTGTTAGAAGAGTTACATTGGATGTCATAAATCAGAGAAGAGTTGCTTCTGATACTTTTTATATACTAGCTGTCATTTGGTTTTCCAGTCTGCATGTTGTTTTTGTTTCCACTTTCACACTGGCAATGTATTTTATCACTTTGGCAGCCAAAGTTGTTAGTATCGTACGATACGCAATACGTATCGTACGATACGTTACAATACAGCCCTAAAACGATACGGATCGTAGTTATGTATCGTTTTTGCGTTGTATCGTCCGATACACGATACGTTTTTACGATACGATACGTATCGGTACGAAACGCACGATACGTGCAAATTATTATTATTTTTTTTTTAAAACGACGTCGTTTTGTGCTCTGAATTTTTTTTTTTTTAATCCCCTATAACCACTGAAACGACGTCGTTTCAGTGGTTAGGGTTACAAAAAAAAAATTCAGACATTTCTCACATATTCGACGACGTCTGGTTTCTCTTCAGCCATCGACCGACGTCTGGTTTCTCTTTCAGCCATCGACCAACGTCTGTGGTTTCTCTTCAGCCATCGACCGACGTCTGTGGGTGGGTGATGATCGACTGTGGGTGGTGAACGTTGTTGTAGGTGGTGATCGCTGTGGGTGGTCTTCGACTGTGTGGGTGGGTCTATCGACGACGTCTGTGGTTTCTCTTCAGCCATCGACTGTGGGTGGGTGATGATCGACTGTGGGTGGTGAACGTTGTAGGTGGTGATCGCTGTGGGTGGTCTTCGACTGTGTGGGTGGTCTTCGACTGTGTTCGACTGTGTGGGTGGTCTCCGACTGTGTGGGTGGTCTTCGACTGTGGGTGGTCTTCGAGTCTGGGTGGTGATCGATTGTGGGTGGTCTCCAACTGTGGGTGATTGCCGGTCTTCGTCTGTGGGTGATTGCTTGTCTCCGACTGTGGGTGTTGATCGCTGCCTTCTTCCTTCTCCAGGTACTCCTTCTTTTTCTTCTTCTTCTTCTTCTTCTTCTTCCCAGTCTCCATTGATCGTTGGTCCTGTGCAGTATGTAATGATATTAATTTATTTACAAAGCCAAATGTATATAAATTTTTTTGTATAAAAATTTTTGAATCTTGATTAATTTTAATTTTGTGCAACAGTGGCATCACCTGCATCCAATTTTCATATAGAAATGACTAAAAAACTTGCTAATGATCCCACATGGGAACATTGTGACAAAGTAGAAGGATCAAGGTTGAAATTGAAATGCATTCATTGTGCAAATGTCTATTGGGGAGGCATTTCAAGAATGAAAAATCATTTGGCAAGTAATCGCAAAGATGTAGCAGCCTGTAAGCATTGCCCTGAGGAAGTAACTGAATTTTTTAAGCAATTATTGGATGATAGGGCAATTAGCAAAGATATGAGTCTTGTGGATTCGAAAAGTAGTGGCAGTGTGGGTAGTACTACTGCTGATAAAATACAGCCAACCACCACAATTACTTTGAATACTATGTTGAAGAAAAAGGGTAGGGAAGATGTATGCTTGGATATTTGTAGATGTTTTTATGCTAATGCCCTTCCTTTTAATTTGGTAAAGGATCCATATTTTGTAAGAATGTTAGAATCTGTTGCATCGTTTGGTAAGGGATTGAAACCTCCATCGTATCATGAGGTGAGATGTTCTTTTTTGAAAAAAGAAACAAATTTGATTAATGGTGGGTTGATGGAAAATTATAAAGCAGAGTGGAGAAGGACGGGTTGTACTCTTATGTCTGATGGATGGACTGATGGGAAACATCGCTCTATCACTAATTTTTTAGTGAATAGTCCTAGAGGAAGTGTGTTTCTTAAAAGTATTGATACTTCAGGTATTTGTAAGAATGAGGATAATCTTTTTGAGCTTTTAGATTCAATGGTAGAAGAGATTGGTGAGGATAATGTTGTTCAGGTTGTAACTGATAGTGCATCGGCTTATGTAAAAGCTGGGGAGTTGTTAATGGCAAAGAGGAAAAAGTTGTTTTGGTCTCCTTGCGGTGCACATTGTCTAGATCTCATTTTGACGGATATTGGGGACCTTCCTCTGCACAAGGATATAATGTCAAAGGCAAGGAAAATCACAATTTACATTTATAGACATTCTTGGGTGTTAAATCTTATGAGAAAGTATACAAAGAAAAGGGATTTGGTGAGAGCTTGTGTGACCAGATTTGCCACCTCATATTTAACTTTAAGGAGTTTATTTGAAAATAAAATTGGGCTTAGAGCAATGTTTGCTTCTGAGGAATGGCAGAGAAGTCAATATTGTAAGAAGGGAGATGGTGTAAAAGTGATGGATATTATACTAGCTGACCAAAATTTTTGGGGATCAATCAAGTATTGCTTGAAGTGTGTGTTGCCATTGGTGAAGGTGTTGAGGCTTGTAGATGGGGATCTAAAGCCTGCCATGGGGTATATTTATGAGGCAATGGACAAGGCAAAGGAACAAATCCAAAAGAATTTTCGTAATGTGAAGAAGCACTATGAGCCCATATGGACTATTGTTGACAGTAGATGGAACATGCAATTACACAGACCTCTTCATGCAGCTGCCTATTATCTCAATCCCGCGTAAGACTTAATTTTCTCAATTTTTATATCATTTTATATCTATATATTGTATGTTGATCAATGATCATTGTAAATCAAAATAATTATTTCAGGTTTCATTACACCGGTAGTGCGGACTATGAGATAAAGATGAGACTATATCAGACTATTCAGAGAATGTGCCCAAGTCCTATTATGAGAGAAAAAATTGATAAACAATTAGATATCTTTCATAATGCTGATTTGATGTTTGGAATGGACATGGCAATCCAAATGAGGAAGAAGAAACAACCTGGTTAGTGGTAACTTAACTTAAGTTAGTTATTTGAATGTAACTGCTTAAGTTAGTTAATAGAGTATTCTATTGTAATTTTTTATAGCCTTGTGGTGGGAATCATTTGGAGGATGTTGTCCAGAGTTGCAACAACTTGCTATCCGCGTCCTTAGCTTGACTTGTAGTGCCACTGGATGTGAGAGGAATTGGAGTACATTTGACCAGGTGCACTCTAAGAGGAGAAATCGATTAGAGCAACAAAGATTAAGTGCACTTGTGTTTGTGAAGTACAATCTTCGATTGGAGGCAAGACACCAAAAGAGAATACTAGAGGGTGATTCCTATGATCCTATTTCTCTCTCAGATATGGAATCTGATGATGAGTGGATCACTGAAAAAGAAGATGCACTCCTTCCTGAGGACACTACTTGGATGAATGTTGGTGAATGTTTTGAGGTTCAAGAAGGGACTAGCAAAAAGAGAAAGAGAGGTAATTAAAATGTAGTGGTTGTTTTTTCTTCTTCTCCATTACTTTGAATTTTTTTTTTTTTATATTTTGTATTGGTTGCTTTGTAGGGCCTAGAAATCTTACTTTATACAAGAAAAAAGGAAAGCAAATAGTTCAACTTGAAGATGAGGATGAGGATGAGGATGAACAAATACAAGAAGTTGAAGATGATAAAGGAAGTGAAGACTTGTTGGCATCCGATCACAATGATGATGATGATGATGCATTTTCAATTGAAATTGAAGATTGAGTTCAAAATGGATGTTAGAAATTTGAATTAGAAGTCTCTTTGGTGTTTAAAGTTTGAATTAGTGAACTATGGTTGTGAACTTTGCATTATAATAGTAGTGGATTATGTTGATAACTTGAATAGTTGGTGGAGTATTAATGAAATGCTATATTTTTTATGAGTGTATGACTTTTTTTCAAAGGTATATATATTTTTGTATTATTTATTTAAAATTGCATCGTATCTTACGATACACGATACGATACACGATACGATACAATATTTGTATCTTACGATACGCCTTCCGATACACGATTTGATAACTTTGTTGGCAGCACAGCGTATGTATGGGTAAAGTTTTAATTGTCCTTTCGTGGGAGTAAGATTAGTTGTTGATCAAAAAGTGTAATTGTGAAACAAAGTTTGCTTTCTTCTAGAGAACATAAAAATGCACTCTCTATCTTTATGCATTTGAAAACCTGTTGGGCACAGAAAATAACAGTGCTAGGCTCCTTTACACCCTCTCGCTCTTGATGTTTTGTCTATTTAATGGCCCATAATTTGGATTGTAACATGATGAATGTAGATGCCCAACTTAAAGTTTGCATTGGACTCGTGATATTTTAATGAGCAAAATCCCCAATTGAACATCCTATATTGTTGGTTTTAGAAATTCCATCATATTGAAAAGTGCAACCCTCGGAGTGTTGGAAGATTTGTGCTCCTGTTACAGGATTTCTTCAGAAGCATTCGAAAACCTGACATTTGGCTTCTAGAGGCTGTCTGCCGGCACCGATAATTCCTACGTTTTTATAAGTAGTGCTTGTTTAGATATTTGAAGTTACATGTAACTCACAATTGCAATGCATGCCATTAATTATCATATCATGACTAGCAATTTTATAGTAGATCTATATTCACATAACTCTCATCTTTTTATCATCTTGTTGACCAATTCTCCCCCCCCCCAAAAAAAAAAAAAGAGATACTTATATAATTAGAGTGAAAAGTCTTGAATTTCAGATTAATGAACTTTGTTTGACTACATAAATTTGGCAATGATAATGCCATAATGACATAACAAGAAACACAATAATTTGTACATTTTGCATTATGATTTTCGTGCTATTCTTTCAACTATTTTTATCCTATTTTCCCCTCGCTAAATTCAACATTCAAAGTCACAAGTGAATTTTCTTCCTTCTGAAAAGGTTGATCTCATTTGTCATGTCCTCTGTTCCATCTTCAGTTGGAGCAGTGGGTGTATAAAGGTGTAAATGACCGTAATTATGTGAACACTTATGCGTTGATATAATTTGCTTAAACTCAATAATTTTTCTCGGGCAATATGCAATGTCTTTCAACCCGCAGATTTGTTTTGATTATTTGTATGGTTTTTCCTTGTTTAGAAATGTTTAATTGTCTTTGGAGTGAATGGGCTCCATGACAGTGTTTGCTTTTTTGTGGCAGATCCGTCTTATGTTCTTGATCCTTTGATGAACTAAACTTTATTTGCCTATTTGTGTGATGCTAGGCTAAGCTTGCTAAACTACGGAGGGAGCTTCTTACACCTTCATCAAAAGGAGGTGGTGGTGCTGGAGAAGGTTTCGATGTCACTAAAAGTGGAGATTCAAGAGTTGGCCTTGTGGGTTTCCCCTCAGTTGGGAAATCAACACTTCTGAATAAATTAACAGGCACTTTTTCAGAGGTGTGTAATCCCTGCATTTTACCTCGTGAATGGAAAAAAAATTGTTCAGATGGTAGCAAATATTATCTTTCAGTATGTCATAACATTATGGACATCTCTAGGGCAAAGCTTTATTCAGTAGTTCATTTTTTTGGGTGATACAATAAGGAGTCTTTCAGGAGTAATTCAATTTTTTTGATGGAAGACAACAATTTTATTAATTTAATAGAAAAATATAATGGTATTATGGCTCAGGAGTAGTTCAATTGAGATAATTGAACATGTTGTACAGCTGTAGTGCCTGAAATTTGACCAATAGCCAATGTTCAATGTGCCACTTAAGCGACCTCAAGGGAAAATATTTTGCTTATTTGTATTTGTGATACGAAAGGACTTCTTTAAAATAAGAGGGAAGCTCCATGCAGAGAGAAAAGTTTTCCTGTCAGGGAAATTACCAAATGTTATCTAGTCTATGAATAATACACTAAACAGTGATCTCAAACAAATCTAATTTCTGCAGTTATGGATATGCATTAAATTGCTCCAAGGTTGTGGAAGTTGCTTTTGCTATACTATAATCTTCTAACTTTGTTTGTCCACAAATTAGTGTAGAAAACTAAAAGCACTTCTGTTGGCAAATCTACTGCTACCTCTATGGAATTTGATCAGCTTCAAGGACTTCATCCCCCAAGAACCCTGAAAACCTCAGAGAATTCACAGAAAATTATAGAAAGTAGAAACTTCTGCTAATACAATTTCCAGCAAATAAAGCTTTCTAAACCCCCAGAGCAACTCAACTAATCCTAATTAAGAGAAGAAGTGGAACTCATAACCAAACATGTCAATTTCAGAATATAAATTAAGACCATAATCAATGATACAAGTCACTATTATTGAATGCCTTTCTCCTTTGTATGATTCTACATTGAGACTGCACCTAGCAATGTAAGATCCGCGTATTGCAAGAGTTTCTATTGAGGTTTTGCTTAGGCCCTATGTTTTTCATGTTATACAGGTTGCGTCATATGAATTTACTACCTTAACTTGCATTCCTGGTGTGATCACTTACCGAGGAGCTAAAATTCAGGTAATATCACGCTTTGTGGATGTTTCAAGGTTCACGCTTCCTGGTCTTCATTGTGGTTATCTAATATCTGAAACAATCAATTATAGATGTGTAAGACCCTTTTATCTTGATTCATGTGCAAATGTGGTTCTTATATGCCATGGGTAGTGACCTATCCTTTAATAATTACCCCTCTTCAAGAGCTTTCTGAATGAAGAGAAGGGACAAGTTGGATGCTTTTGATGCGAAGTATGTGTATCTGGTGTGGTTTGTGCTTGTGTCAGAAGCAAGCACACATACCCCCCCCCCCCCACCAAACACACACACACAGAGGTTTAAAAATGTTTGACTGCAGCTAAATATATAGCAGAAGAAGAGGGTAAAAATGTAAAAAGTTACTTTCTAATACTGCTGTATCTCGATACTAGACAAATGCTCTGATGGGGTTGTCATTCTAGTTTTAGAAAAACAAAGGGGGTGTGCTTTTTAATGAGACATAACTACTAGGGATGATGATGCTTTACCTTTTTTTTTTTTTTAACTTGTACGAGGTGAATTGACACATAAACACACTTCCATGGAGAGGCATTACAAGGTTTTGGAGGGGGTGGAGGCGATATGCCTTTTTTTTTTTTTTTGGACAAGTTGATTTAAATCATACACACTTCCAAGGAGAGGCATCACAGGGCTTTCACCTACCACAACACACCAATAGGACCCAAGTTGTGGAGGTGTTAAGAGAACATTATCAGCTTACCTCACATGGGTTTCACACGCATATAGAGGGAAACTACCACTGTGTTTTTTAAGCTTTTGTGATCTTTACTACGGTTGGTAAGAGATACAGGTGCATATTGCTTAAGAAAATTATGTTTTACTTGAATTGAAATGCTTTCTAAAGCAATAAGGTTTTTAAAGGAGCAAGTATAGTTATTCTTTTTCCCTCCTTTGTGCGGATGACGAATAAAGTAATATGATGTCTGCTTTAGCATTTTTTTTCTTATTTGGGTTATATCCGGTATGCTTAGAGTCCTTTTTTCTGGATTTCTTTTTTGGCTTTGCGCAAAATTGATGCAGTGAATCCTGGTGTCATGATGCTGCTGAATCAGTTCAAAATCTAGCTTCACAATTTTCATTTTTCTTATTGTTTTTCTGTTTCACTTGCCAGTTGTTGGATCTCCCCGGTATCATTGAGGGCGCTAAAGATGGAAAGGGAAGAGGGAGACAGGTAAATATAGTCTTTATCGAATGGACTTTTTTGATATTGAGTTATCTTTTTTATGCCCTGCCTACCGGGGATACCGCAAACTGCTTCTCTATGTGTGTCAGTTTTATTTAAATTCACAAATTAAAATAAAAGAGGTTTCATTGTATATGGTTTGCTGAAATTGTTCATTTTGTTTGTATATATTGACCATGTTGCCATGTGCTCCAGGGATTTGACACTGTTGTCAGGAATATATCTTCCTGAACCACAAGTCTTTTCTTGTAATGTTTGGGAATTACCATATTGTTTTGAATGTTTGGATTTGTCTAGGACTGCTTGAAATTCATAGATTGTGGTTGGGACTTCACTAGACTATTATTTGAGGGATCAAATAATTGGTTGAAATTGAATGGCACGTGTTTTTGCACTTTGTGATCAAGGGTTTGGTAGAATCTTTTAGCTGGGCAGCTTTTGTGTGATGTAACTTCCAAAAAGATCAAATCTCGGCAGAGGATGTGTTTTCTTCTTTTTGGATCATCAAAGGGTAGATTTCTTGTCATTATTGGATCTTTTGGATGCATACTGACTTCTTGTAATGAAGTTTATGTTATGTGGTTGTCTGTTCGATTTTCTTTGGTTTTGAAAGATAGGCTATAAAAAATAACATGCATTTGGATATTAGTGATTCATGTACTTTTTTCATGTCCTTATTTATTTGATCGGTGTATTAAATAGTTGTTGCTGTAATGCAGGTCATCAGTACTGCTAGGACATGTAACTGTATTATAATTGTTCTGGATGCAATAAAGCCAATAACTCATAAACGTCTGATCGAAAAAGAGCTCGAGGGTTTTGGCATTAGGTAATTTGGATATTTCTGACTTATAGCCTTTCAATTTGTGTTCTTCATTATACTGGATGTGTGATATCGTGCATGTACCTGTACATTCCACTTTGCTTTCTAGATTGGTACAATTACTTGCATCATTTGTTATGTGCTTATAGAGAGTCTTTTGCTGGAGTAGGTTATAAGCTCAAGAGGAGCTAGTTTAGAAAGCTTAAAAAGGCTCCTGTACCCAGCTCTAAGCTGTTAGAACGCGAGTCCAAAGATCCGTTGATGGGTGCGTATAAATCAAATACAAAAAATTATTTGTTAACCCTACAAGGTGGAATTAGGATTTACCTTAGATTGATCTCGTCACAGCATGAAAGAAAACTGATATAGATCGAACAACTAACTCGATGAACCTTAGGATTTTTTACCGTATGTCCTTCAACGCCAAAAATTCGAATGCAGTGTTGATTGCAATCCTTTAAATTTTCTCTTTTGCTCTCTCTCTGTCTCTTCTAAACGTGAAGGTAAAGTGTCGAGAGAACCAGAAGGAGCGTGTATATATAGGATACAGTAGAGATCCTAAGGATAAATTAGGGCCGGGCTTCCAATTGGCCTAGGAATCATCACTAACCCAGAACAAAATCTTATGGTCCATTAATAAGTTAGTCCACTAAAAATTTATTATTAATTTCTCGAGTCTTATCTCAAAATTATATTTCGAGTTTTTTGTTATTATATGCTTAATAGTCTCCCCACGTATAAGATTACAAATGTCCGTCAATTAATTAAATTACTGAAAATTATATTTAATTGACTTCGTTTTGTCTTTGAGATTTTATAACTCAAGTTATTTATCATGTAAAATAATTAAATGAGCTTCCTCAAGAGAACATTATCAACTCATTTAAATATTGGGATGCAGGTTTCTTTAATAATTAATTTTCACCATACAAATTACGTTATCTTCTAATTCATGGAGTTTGTTGATTCAAATATGAATCTCACTCTTTGATGAATTAAAGTAACAATCATTATATGCACATGTCTATTAAATATCTCGGATTAAGAGCTTAAGCAATTATAATAACCATGAGATATTTATTTTCTTATTTAGTCATTAAAAAGATAATAACCTCACATGCTCAATACATGAAGTGTGCTAGTGCAACAATTTGAGATATCAGACAATCTCCTATAGTCAAGACAGACTATGCTAGAAGATTATACTATAATTCTACTGATGGTGTGTCCAATTCCATTTAAGACTCTGAACTATCACTCATATCATACAAGGATCCGATAATCTGATCTTCTGTACATAAGTTGAACTCTACATATTAGATTATTTACAATGTAAAATGAAAGACACACATGCATGCCATATATTTAGTATAATGCAAATATTTTACCCGCACAGATTCTCATTAAAATAGAAAATGACAAACTTTTATTGATTAATAAACTAAGTTTCACTACAAAAAGTTAGTTTTTAGTATATAACTCTATCATAAGCCTCTAACCATGTCGGACTACTATTTACTCCAAAAGCCTAAGATGCTGGAGAATGGACCCACGATGTATCAAGCTATCCAAATAAGCCTAACTGACTTTGTAACAATATATATGTGATGTTAGGGTTTCAAAAATTTGTTGACCATGAGCATTTTATAGTTTTGTTTTGAAAGGATGGTCTTTGACTGATGTTTATTGTTATTTTAGAGCAATTTGTCTTCTTTGATGTTTCAAGTAATTCTATAGATTTTATAATGACTGGAGTTTTATTCAATGCTAATTCTTATCCAATTCTTCTCAGTAGAGCTGTCTTATTTTGCTCCTATCCGTTCTTCATAATAATGTATCGTCGTATTCTTTTTTTTTCCCTCCTATGAACAGGTTAAACAAGGAACCACCTAATCTGTCATTTAGGAAGAAAGACAAGGGTGGGATTAATTTCACATCCACGGTTACCAATACACATTTGGACCTTGAAACTGTGAAAGCAATATGTAGTGAATACAGAATACACAATGCCGATATTTCTCTAAGGTTTGACGCAACTGCTGATGACCTCATAGATGTCATTGAGGGCAGCAGGGTATATATTCCTTGCATCTACGCTGTCAACAAGATAGATCAGATAACACTTGAAGAGCTGGAGGTTCTGGATAAACTTCCGCATTACTGTCCAGTCAGGTAACCCTCTATCTTCAAAAAAATTTTGGGGTTAAAGGCATGTTTGGATTCAAGTGCAAAAAACGTGTGCTGAATCTGGATTGAAGCATAAAAATGAATGTTTCAGAAGTAACATGATGGTCACACATGTGCCCCTTCAGTGCCCCGTTTTTCACTACTTGTCTTAAGACGCAATGACAGTTGTCGGTTATGCAATATGATTTTTGTAGGCATTTTTCTTAGATAAGTATGACAGCCAAAAAAATCGCGATGAGTGGTTTTCTGAATATGATTTTTTTAAAGCAAATGGCATACACAACATTTCATTTTTGTTTCTTTCCTGCTAGATGATTTCATTCCATTGTACCCATAAAATAGCAACTATCATATACAATTACTCTACCTAAATTTCCTACAATAGATGGTATCGTACACTAATTCTGTGAAGCCATTTTCTTAATAGTAAGGGCATAAAGACAGAAAACTTGAAGCTATTGTAGGGAGTATAATTGTGATGAGGTGAGTACATGAACACTTGGGGCTAGAGGATAACAACTCGAGCACTATGGTGGCTGTTCACCTATCCTTAAAAGCAGTTATGTGAACTAAAATGGATTGGAGTAAATTAGTCAGATAATAAATTATTGCCCAGGTCACTGTTGTCCATACACAATTAACTGCAGTACATGTTTGACACTCATGCTCCATACTTTCTTTGGGCGTAGTAAATCCCCATGCTCTCTGCCAAGGTAGAATGTGTATTTTGAAGCTATTTATCATCTTTGTGGAACAGCTGGATGAATTAAAATTTAAAATAGTTAAATTTTTTGCAGTTAATCTTGGAATTTTCTCAAATAGAATAATACCATGTAATCTAAAGGATAAACATCTTGCAAATTATGATCAACTCGTGATCCCTCCCTATCGAATATTTGGAAAACAGAGGAGGCATTAAGAATTATTAGAAACTGAGCTTGTGTGTGTGTGTGTGTGTGTGTGTGAGAGAGAGAGAGAGAGGCAACTGCTTCGAGAAAATAACTTCGCGTAACTACTGTTACAAGCTTCAGCATCCAACCACTTTAAGTATGACTCCAGAATCTGGTACTCCTACATGCTTCACAGTTTTGGACCTTTCATGTGTGTCAGTTCATCATTTGTTTGTTTCATAATGGGAACTGTTACTGTAGAACATCATGCCTCTGATCCAACAAACAGAAATTGATATTCTTGACCATAATACATGAGACAATAACATAGTATTTTTTTTTGCACTTACATTCAGACAAGTTAACATGCATGCAAAAGTTTATTGAGAAATGCAAAATCCATTATTATATATAGAGGGATAGAAGACTTTTGTCTCTTGGTCTCTCCCAACTACCCAATAACATTAACATATTTTCAATTTAGCAGTCTCTCTCAAATAACTACCCATCCTCCCTCTCCTCTTCAACAATTGTAACTTGTTAATCACTTCCAATTTTTTAAAAAAAAAAATTTTAAATGCCATTAAAACTTGAGATTATTTTTTAGTAATCCTCTGATATTGATATATTTTTTTGTTTAAATTGTTCTACACTGGTTGTGTGTACCAAGATTTATAGTATATCACTATATCTAATTCAATGAGTTGCTGCAGTGCTCACTTGGAATGGAACCTTGATGGTCTGCTGGAGAAGATATGGGAATATCTTAATTTAACCCGCATATACACCAAGCCGAAGGGTATGAATCCAGACTACGAGGATCCTGTTATCCTGTCATCAAAGAAGAGGACAGTGGAGGACTTCTGCGAGCGAATTCACAAGGACATGCTTAAACAATTTAAGTAGTGAGTTCCCTTTCTAGATTTTTCATATTCAAAGCTTTTGAAAGGTTGAAATTCAGATATCAGCAGTTAAGAGCATATGATAGGAACCTGGTTGCATACTAAAATAATGAGGTGCTATTAAGTCCAACCCATGGGGTGTGATTGGTACTTCAGAAACTAGATTCAATAGATGTTATGATTAGATGTTGTGGTTAAGTGTTTTATTAAATGTCATGAGTGCCTTACGTGCAAATGAATAGCCTGTTCTTTTAAAAACAAACATCCCGACTGAAAAGGCAAGCCGAAGTCACTGCCTTTAGAATAAAATCAGCATATAAATATCTAATGTTATACTTGTTTTTTCCTTGGTTTTGTTTTTAACTAGTAAAAGGATGTGATGGGATTGCTATAGGGCTGAATAGAAGTATTGGTCTGATATAGGTCAGAGTTTTTTCCCTGGCCAAATGCATGAGAAATTTGATGCAAAGAGCCCATACTCCATAGTCTTAGGTTTGTTAATTTGGCTGAAATTGATTAGAGCTGTAAGCTGGTTGTAGAAACTTCTTGAGAGACTGCCTACATAGAGAAAAGAGTGACATGGAAGGGGGTACATGGCAAACTCCCGCATTCCTAGCCAATGCAGAGATAGTTGCTCTCTCATTTCATTCCAGTACACGTTATTCTGGTCCATTTTCTGAAAGGATTAACCATTTTGAAGCATACCTTATAGGTGGCACCTTTTGCTACAAATGGGTTTTTGCATTTTTTAAACCGTCTATTTGTGGAGTCGTCCTTGTTATGTGGGCTTCTCAGATCTGTTGATTTAATTTCTGCACCTGACAGTCGGCATTATAGATGTTAGTATCATACGATAAGCGATACGATACATATGATATGTTTCGATACATGAAGAAAACGATACGTATCAATTAAGTATATCAATTTGTATTGTATCGTGCGATATACAATACGATACACCCGATACAAGACGATAGGTATGAGTCATCTGATACGGGGCGAACTAGATAAATATTTTTTTTTTTTTTAATTTTAACCAGAAAATGATGTCATTACACTTGGAAGTAATTCTTTCAAACACTAGGTAATGAAACAACTTCGTTTCACCATCTATAGTTTTTAAAAGTAAAAGTCTTTTTTTTTATTTGTTCCAGGAGTAGATAGTTTGATTGTTAACAGTGTTCTCCTCTTGCTATATTAGATGTTAGAATTAGAACTCTCTAACTTTTGATATTAATGAATTATGTTAGAAACTTCAATGCATAGATTGTTAATTTTTTGTTTTGGTCTTTGTAGTCTCTTTAAATTATTTTATTTGAGAAATTTATGGTGCAATGAAATGTTATTATGATATTTTATCATAGGTGTATGTATTTGTTAATATCTTTTATGAAATTACACGTATCTTACAATACACAATACATTACGATATGCGATATACTATTTTTGAAAAACGATACGCTTTCGGATACACGTTTTGGCAACATTGGTCGGCATATAAGATGCATGCTCTCCATTCTGATTACATACCCTTTTGTCAGTTTTTGGCCTTTTTTCTCATTTCCACCATTTTATCTTTCTAAAAAGTGGCAACTACGGCCTTTTATCTTCACCATTCTAGCTTTGCTGAAAACTAACTTTTGATCTGGTCAAATGATGCAGCGCACTGGTTTGGGGTTCAAGCGCGAAGCACAAACCCCAGAGAGTAGGCAAGGTAAATCTTGTTATCTGACCCTATATCCACTGTTTATCAAACTTCCCCCTTTATTCTATATAGTTATTTAATCTTTACCTTTGGTGCGGGCGATAATTGTTTTAATGCTTTTTCCACTTCAGGAGCATGAACTTGAGGACGAAGATGTTGTGCAGATCATCAAGAAGGTGTAATTGTAGAACTGCCAAAATCAGGTCAGCACTTGGGGTGTATCTTTGATCTGCTCAGCTTTGTCATAGGCTTCACCGCACGATCCCCAACTCTTGCGTGGGAGGACATTAGGTTGAACAAGTGACAACTTTGATCTGTAACTAGGCCATTTACTGGTCAAGTGATTTTGCGTTCTATTCTTGTTAGACTAGTTTATCAGGATAATATTGTGTATGACACTAAATGAGAGATTGCCAATAGTTTAAACATCAGTTGTAAAGACTTTGGACAAATTAACAGATCCAATTATTCGTATTTTCTTATAAGAAATAAGATGCCTTGGTGATAGTCCCGGGTCTGATATTACACAAATATCAATTTACATGCGGGTTGCAGAAATTTACTTATAATAACTCCCCTAAAAAAGTTATAATTACTGTCTATAGTTTAATAATAGGATGAGTCTGAAGAGTCGAGAAATTTTTTTTAGTACTGTACCGTCCAATAAAAATAATTTTTTTTAGTACTATACCATCGTATGTAATTTTTATAGGATTGTTTTAATAATTATTTTTATCACAAAAAACAGTAGTAAAAATATTCATAAAAGTAAATTATTCACAAAAATTATAAATTTTGTTGTTATAAAATGATTCACAAAAATTTTAAATTTTTTTTTTTTTTGGGTATGGTAGTCAAGTCGTTAATAATAAAGTTTTTATTATTTAATAGGAATAATAAAAAGTGCTAGCTCAAAACAAAGAAGGTTTAATAATAAAGTTATAGTGAAACGACGACGTTTTACGTCTTCACCCTACTCAAAGTTTCAAGCCACCAGAGAACTACACTCCGTAGAAAAAGCAACTCCCCGCCGTTTAGAGCAGAAAAATTATTGGTTCCATGCATAATCTTTGCATTTTTTGATAAGGGTGCTCTCTCTCTCTCCCATCGTCTGTTTATATATATATATATATATATATAGGACATAAAACATGATTGATTAAACATTACAAATAAAGGAAGTCTCTCCTACTATGATACAAAATTTAAGAAAAAAAAATTTATCATGTTAAAGAAGACATAAAAGTCATAAAGACTAGACTTTTAACTTTAAAAAAATTGTCACTTAAGAAAAATGACATAAAAGCATCACCATTGCACTTTTCTAATAATGAATACTTGAATGTATTAAAAAAAATGACTTATTAGAAATAGTATGTTAAAATCATATTAATCATAAATTCTGAATTTACCGTCGAAACTATTGTTTTAATTGACAGTGGAACAGATATGAATTGCATAAAAGCAGGATTAATTCCAACTAAATATTTTTAGAAAATTACTAAATTAGTAAGTACAACTAATGGTTCAAGATTAAATATAAATTTTAAACTTTCTAATATTTTTGTATGTGCTTAAGGAATTTGTATTCCTACAACTTTTATATTTATTGATAATTTAAATAAATTGATAATTTTGGAAACCTCATTCTTATCTTTAATCGAACCTATACAAAAAATTGACTCTAAAGGAATTTTGACTACTATAAATGGTCAACAAATATTATTTGTGTTTATAACTCCACCTCAAATAAAGTTGAACAAAACATTAAAAGAAAATTTGATTTCTAAAGAAAACAAACTAACCATTTTATTTTCTAACAATAAACCAACCGCTTTATTTTCAAACTTTCTTGAAAGTTTTATTGCAGATTCTCAGCAAGAAGTTGCAGAAATGAATCTTAGTCAATATTCATTTTCTTTAGTTCTTATTATCAAATCTCCAGAATTTTTTGACTGTATTTGTGATCATGCAGGTGAAGATATATTTAGTTTTGCCTCTACCTGGCAAAATAACTATCGTAATGTTTCACTTTGGTGTCTCTATTGTAACGCTGTGAAAGATCAATTAACTGATGACGTTCATATTTTTTTACTAAGAATTGCTCGAGCTATTAATTTTTTTTTCTAAATTTTGTCTTATACTTGAAATAAATGACTGGTATTATAATTGAAAATATAAATAATTAATGGAGAATATTATCCTCGAAGGATTCTGTCAAGATATGATAACCAAACTTGATGGTACAACAGTTAGAACACAAATTTTTGCATATAAAAATGTATTTTATTCTGACGAATATAAATCTTCTTTTTATGCATATAAAAGTGCATTTTACTTTAATTCATATAAGGATACATATTATTTTAATGCATATAAAAATGCTTATTATCTCTCACTTATTATAAAAAGATTATCACCGAAGGGTAATATTGATAAAGTCAACTCGTCAAAACAACTTAAAGTTGTTAAAACATCTCTGTTAGATAAAGTTGATAATAAAAAATTTTGTCAAAGAATAAATCTCTCTTTGTAATTTTTAGACTCTTAACAATATCTCCATATATGGAGAATAATTCTATATTTCTTGATATTCTTAAAAGGATATACCCTAAAAAAATGAAAAAAATATTTAATTTGTATAAAGATAAAAATTTGTCCTTAAAAGACAATGATATAACAACTAAGTCAATTATTATTTTTTTACTTGAATTCTTTGTTTCATGGATTTGAGTACAGACATTGACTTGTGATTCTAATCATAACAGACATCCTAGATTAATTAGAGAATATCACGTTCGTTACTGGAATAATTATCCAACTGACTCTACATGTCAGATTATTAAGGAATGCCTTAAAGATATGGAAAAAGAGAAAGAAAAACCTTCATCCTTTACGGCTATAATTCTCACTCTCAGTATAAATATTGACACTAATTTTAATTCTATTGAAGTTTTTAAATAATTGATTAAAAAAGAAAAACCTCATTTAAATACTGAGCAGCTTAAAGTAGTAGTTATGATGGAGTTTCGTTTTCAGGTGATATCTACATTTGAAATGGGCAAAATCGAAAAGATAGATATCGCTAACACTTCTATAATTGCCATAAAAGACAAAAGGAAAGATAAAGTTGAGGATGACGATAGAAAATCCCCTACTCCTATTAACTCTGATGACAACTTTATGGATTCTAAGGGATATACCACTTTTAAAGGTGACATTACTATTAATGAAGATTTACTAAATGATGATATAGAGATAATTTTCATGATAACAGTAATATGTTGTAAAATTTGCTTTACAGGAAATGATCAGATAAAATTGAATTTTCGATTAAAGCTGACCATGTAGAAGTGACGCATGTCTTGACGTCACTATAAAAATTGTGAATAGTGTACAATAAAAGTGTACAATATTACTGACGTATGCAATGACGTCAATGTAAATTATTAAAGTCGTGAACAATATAAAGTTGTAAATAATATATGTTAATTTTGAAATTCGAATTTCATGTTCGGCTACTATATAAAAGAGTGTAGGGTCGACATGTGGAGTACCGCCCCATTACCAACCTTTGACTAACTCTCTCTCTTCTATTTTTTCTTGCATCTTCTTTGAACATTTCTTTTTTATACAAACCTCCATCTTCTACTTTATATCACTACTATTGTAAGTGTGTCAAGTACATAAGTTTGCACTAAACAAAAACTTTCTCTGTTTGTTTTGCACCAATCCTCTTATTATAGTATCAAAGCCAATAGGAGTAGGAGATTATCTTTAATTGTATTTGTTTCAATTAAAGTTGTCTGACTTTTAAAGTTAAAAAGTTTAGCTTTAAGACATAAAATATTTATAACTTTATAATATACTCTATAAGTAAAAACAATTATATCTTTACCATTTTTATAATTATAACCATAAGTTTTAATATTACATGTTAAAATATTTAAAATATTTTTATCTGTTAAAGATATAGAAAGATTAAAAAAACAATTAAAATAAACAAGATTAGTACTTAAGTTGAATTGTATAACACCCATTAAAAATTGATCAAAATCAAGACATCTAGCATTTTTTAGTGCTAATATAAAAGAGATATTTAATTTTTAAAGAGTTAACGGTTTTAATGCAACTTAAACTAATCAAATATAAAGAAATTTATAATTATTATATTAAATCTTTAAAACTTCTCTTTCGGTATATATATATATATATATATATATGAACATAATTCTCTCAGGACTGAGCCGAGATTTTGCATATCCTAGCAAACTGAAACCACGTAAAAATCACAAGATTTTCAATGAAGCAATATAAATCAGTAATGCGGTGTTGCTTCCTTGCTGTTTATACCCTCTGAACCTTTGTGTAATTTTCCGATGTGTATATATGTTGATAAGAAAACAGATGCATGTGGCTCCCGATAAAAATCAATGACTGGAGGAGTTGCATTATTGTTTTGAATTCCCCATAACAAGTCCACTTTTAGGTGCAAATAGCATTGCTCATGCAGAAAATGTAATCTTTTGAAATCCCCAAAACAAAATCAATACAGTATTGCATTTTTGGTTCACTTTCAGGAAGATGCAACCTCCGTAGAATGGTAAACTACTGTCTGAGAAGATATTACAATGTGTTCCTTCATCTGAAATCCTGTAGCAGAACTACTTACCTTCAAGCCATCAGATTTTCCTCCGTATATCCAGTTACTCACTCACACAACCCAGATATTTTAACCAGTAGACGTCGAACCCAAAGGCATGAATTGGCGAAACTCTTACAATCACCCCCAAGAAACAACCCCGTCATGTACTGCAAAACAATTCATGGTCAAATTGTTGTATCAGGTTTTGAATCCAATATCTTTCTTGCCAACATTCTCATCTCCTCGTATTCAAAAGTTGACTCTTTAGACGACGCACGTGTTATGTTTGATAGAATGACTGAAAGGAACTTGATAACTTGGTCTTCTGTTATTGCTATGTACACCCAACATGGGTATAATGAAGAAGCATTAGTGGTGTTTACGGAGTTTCGAAGGAGTTGTGACGAAAATCCAAATGAGTTTGTGTTGGCTAGTGTCATTCGTGCATGTACCCAGTTGGGTGGTGTTGAACAAGCCACCCAATTGCATGATTTTGTTGTTAAGACTGGTTGTGATCAAGATGTCTATGTGGGTACTTCTTTGATTGATTTTTATTCGAAAAATGGCGTTGTAGACGAAGCAAGACTGGTTTTTGATGAGCTATTGATAAAAAGTGCGGTTACTTGGACTACCATTATTACGGGGTATGTGAAAAGTGGAAAGGGTGAAATTTCATTGCAGTTGTTTAAGGAAATGAGGGAGACTGATGTTGTTCCTGATAGATATGTGCTATCCAGTGTTTTGAGCGCTTGTTCAATGCTTGAGTTTCTTGAAGGAGGGAAGCAAATTCATGCTTATGTGTTAAGGAGAGGAACCGAGATGGATGTTTCAGTGAGTAATGTGCTCATAGATGTCTACTTAAAGTGTGGTAGAGTGAAAAATGGACGAAAAGTGTTTAATCATATGGTAGTTAAGAATGCTATTTCCTGGACCACAATGATTTCTGGGTACATGCAGAACTCTTTTGATTGGGATGCCATGGAAATGTTTGCGGAAATGAGCAGATTGGGTTGGAAGCCAGACCCGTTTGCTTGCACTAGTGCTCTCACTTCGTGTGGTTCGCTTGAGGCTCTAAAACAGGGTAGACAAGTGCATGCATACACAATTAAGGCCAATCTTGACTCAGATGATTTTGTGAAAAATGGTCTGATTGATATGTACTCCAAATGCAATTCACTGACTGATGCAAGGAAAGCTTTTGCCGATATGGTCGATCATGACGTGATATCCTACAATGCAATGATTGAGGGATATTCAAGACAGGAAAAGCTGTCTGAAGCATTGAATCTTTTTCGTGAAATGAGGCTTCAACCGGTCTCACCAAGCCTTTTGACATTCGTCAGCCTTCTTGGTGTATCCGCTTCAATATCTGCGTTAGAATTGAACAAGCAAGTTCATGGTCTCATCATAAAATTTGGATTCTCTATGGAAATTATTGCTGGCAGTGCTGTAATAGATGTTTACTCGAAATGTTCATGTGTTGAGGATGCAAGACTTGTATTTGAGGAGATGAACGAGAAGGATATTGTGGTTTGGAATTCTATGTTTTTTGGCTACACCCAACAATCAAAAAATGAGGAGGCTCTCGAGCTCTATTTAGAATTACAGCTTTCAAGACAAAAACCAAATGGGTTTACTTTCGTTGCCCTAATCACAGCAAGTAGTAACCTAGCAAGTCTACACCATGGTCAGCAGTTCCATTGCCAGCTCATAGGGAAAGGTCTAGACTTCGATCCATTTGTCACAAATGCACTAGTGGACATGTATGCCAAGTGTGGACGTGTAGAAGAGGCACACAAAATGTTTAATTCCACAGATTGGAGAGATGTTGTGTGTTGGAACTCGATGATCTCAACATATGCACAACATGGAGAAGCCAATGCAGCTCTTAAAATGTTTGAAGAAATGATAAAGGAGGGAATACAACCCAACTATGTCACATTTGTTGGCGTGCTCTCGGCATGTGGCCATGTCGGCCTTGTAGAAGATGGATTCTGTCACTTTGATTCAATGCCTAGGTTCGGGATCGAACCAGGAACAGAGCATTATGCCTGCATGGTTTCTCTTTTGGGCCGATCCGGTAGATTGTTTGAAGCAAAGGAGTTTATTAAGAAAATGCCAATACAACCTGCTGCAATAGTGTGGAGGAGCTTGCTCAGTGCATGCAGAGATGCTGGTAACGTTGAGCTGGGTAAATATGCTGCTGAAATGGCAATATCAATTGATCCAAAGGACAGTGGGTCATATGTTTTACTTTCAAATATCTTTGCGTCTAAAGGTATGTGGACCAATGTTAAAAAGTTAAGGGAGAGAATGGACTGCAATGAGGTTGTTAAAGAAGCCGGGTGTAGTTGGGTCGAAATGAATAAGGAGGTGCATGTGTTCATTGCAAGAGATAGAACTCATCGGGAGGCTGATTTGGTATATTCAGTTATGGACAATTTGATTCAGCATATTATGGCAATGGGATATGTGCCTGATGCTGCTACACTTTCGGTCAATGATTGAGGTGAAACAAGTTGTCAATTTATGATCTAAAAGTCTTGTTTGTTGATGTCAATCCTTGAGAATCTGAATTCAACTGCTCATCCAAGTGACCTTGGACTTGAAGTTTGCCATCTAGAGAGCATCCAAGTTTTGATATCTCCATGAAGTAGCACACTAGTTAAAGTGGTGGCTCCGCCATTTGGATCTCCAGTGATAGTTTCTGATCATATTTCTGTGACCTTGTTGGTGAGGCATCTAACCACCTGAGTTGCTGGAGCAAGGCATCTGGTCAAATGATGCAGTGCACTGGTTTGGGGTTCAAGCGCGAAGCTCAAATCCCAAGAGAGTAGGCAAGGTAAATCTTGTTATCCAACCCATATCTTCTGTTTATCAAACTTTCCCCTTTCTTCTACAAAGTTCTTTATCCTTTATATGGGCTCTTGCATTTGGTGCTGGTGATAATTGTTTCAGTACTTTTTTACATCAGGAGCATGAACTTGAGGATGAAGATGTTGTGCAGATCATCAAGAAGGTGTAATTGTAGAACTGCCAAAATCAGGTCAGCACTCTGTGGATGTCTTTGATCTGCTAAGCTTTGTCATAGGCTTCACTGCCCGATCCCTAGTCTGAACAAGTGGTAACTTGATCTGTAACTACGCCATTTTTGCGATTTTGTGGTCTATCCTTGTTAGACTAGTTTCTCAGGATAATATTGTGTATGACACTAAATGAGATTTCCAATGGTTTACACATCAGTTGTAAGGACTTTGAACCAATTAACAGATCCAAATTATTCGTATTTTCTGATTTTTTGATAAATAGTTCTAGGTAGGTGTTACTAACATTGCACCAATAACATCTACGAGTGTTGACGATGGATGTGTAGTAAATGAGAAAGCATAAAATTAGGAAGACCTATATGAAAAGGCTTACTACTGTAATGAGTGAGAAAAGGTGAATGGCGGATGCCTGTTGGTGGAAATATGGGTGATGAATGCAGATTGAAATTAGCTTCAATTGTGAATATGAAAAAAATATTATAATTTACGGTTTAAGTGATCGAGGAGTATGATTTATGTATCCGACTCCAAATAGTTGAGATAAGCCTCTGGTTGATTGAGCAAAGCTTAAATAATGTCGATAAGTTCCGAGGTGTCAAATCCAAGCCCAAACCAAAGAAAATCGGAAATCCCAAAATTTTTTCCTTCTCTTTCGTCCATTCTCCTATCTTTTTCCCTTCAAATCCTCTTTCCCCTCCTAACCCACTCCTAATCCACAATCTACTGGATCTCGCGAGTGACTCTCAAGGGGTTTGAGCAGGGCCTCCATTTTCTTTTAGTTCCATGAACGACTATTCCATGAAATCCAACAAAAGGCCATAGACAATAGCCCAACAGTGAGAAGAAAGACTTTTGTTTTTGGCACCAAAAGATTTTAAGAATTTAATGTTCTCTCAAGACTCAATTTGGGTCGAGGAAAAGGATTTTTCTTGGTTTGATATAAGTTTGAATCAAATAATTGAGAGAGCTTTTAAATTCTTTTTACTCAAATTTAAATTTGAGTTTGGCTGAATAAATAATGGAGATGGCCTTACGCATGCATAGGGGTCGATTGTGTCATTTCGTGTCATGTTATTTTTATATAGTGTTACTTTCGATACGTGTTAATAGAAATTTATTTAATTCATATAATATTATTTAAAAAATTATAAAATATTTATTTTCTATCTACAATACCCATTAATCTTTTTATTTGAATCTAACATTAATTTGAATAATTTATTATTTGCATTATTTTCAAACTTTGTGTCGTGTTGAATTCATGTTAATGGATAAAATTGACATTCTTATACACATATCAATTTACATGCACGCTACATTTCCCAGGGAATTTAGTCATAATAATTTCCCTAAAAGAGTTATAATAAAGTTTTTATTATTTACTGGGAATATTAAAAAGTTCTAGTCAAAAAAAAAAGTTTAGTAATAAATTGGGAGAATTACACAAGGACCCTCTGAGATTTGTCACTTAATCACTCAGACCGATGATATTTAAAATATTATATATAGACCCCCTGAAGTTTGTACGAACATAGCACTTAGACCCTTGCTATTAATGTCTATTAATATATCCATTAATAAATTATATCCAGATTCCCTAAAGTTTGTAGTGTATAATACTTATACTACTCAAGTTTAAAATGTTATATTTAGACTAAAAATATTCGAATAAAAGATAGAATATCTAAATTTTACAACCACAATTCGTATTCTATTTTGACATTTATTGAAATAAAATAAAATTAAAATTAAAATTAAAATTTTTTCTTAAAAAATATAATTAATATACAATTATACTATATATTAAAATTTAATTTGATCGTTTAAATGATCAAATTATCCCAATTAAAGCTAAAATATATTGAGTCTATTATATACCAATGGACCTTTAGTCCAATGGTACTCCTTAGCTTATGAAGATTTTGTTTTCTTAAGCTCAAATGTTCAAATCCCCTTCCCCCTTCCCCCTCCCAAAAAAAAATAAAAAAAAAATATTTGAGTCCATTATAGTTTGATCACTTGTTTGATTTTTTTAACTTTATTCCAATAGATAATATAATTGTATACTAATTATGATTTTTTAAGAAAAAATTAGATTTTTATTTTTGATTTTATTTCAATAAATGACATAAATAAAACATGAATTTTGGTTATAAAATTTATGTTTTATTATGAATGACTTAGACCCCTTGTTTAATTTTTCACTTTTATTTCAATAAATAAAATAATTGTATACTAATTACAATTTTTTGATAAAAAATTAGATTTTTATTTTTAATTTTATTTCAATAAATAATACAATAGATAATGAATTTTAGTTATAAAATTTATCATATTTAATGTTCTATATTTGATTGGAATATTTTTTTATCTAATTATAACATTTTAAATTTGATGGATATAAATATTATACGTCTATAAACTTCAGAGGATTTGAGTGTAATTTACTACCGAATATTTGAAGACAGGAGTCTAAGTTTTACATATGTAAAACGTTAGGGGATTTATGTACAATATTTCAAATGTTAGGGGTTTGAGTGATTAAATGACAAACCTCAAGGGTCTGAGTGTAATTCTTTCTAATAAATATACCGTGAAACGACGTCGTTATCTGGCTTCACCCTGCTCCAAAGTCCCAAGCCACCAGAAAACCAAACTCCCTGTCGTTTTGAGCAGAAAAATCGTCGGTTCCCCTAAGAATCTTTGCGTTTCCGTGATTACTGGTACTCTCTCTCTCTCTCTCTCTATATATATATATATATATATATATGGTAGTGTATGTACACAATTCTCTCATAACTGAACTGAGTTGTTTGCATATCTTATGAAACTGAAATCACATAAAAATCAACAAAATTTCAACTTTTCTTTCCTTAACTTTCTTAGTATTTCACTGTTGGTTCAGGTACATAGAAAATTACGTGCCTCTGTCTTACTAGAGTTTTATTTCAATTGAGGATTTTGGAAGACTACACATGAGATTCATAATTAGCACCCCAGAATGTTATTTTTTTGATTATTCTCAAACTGTTTTTAGGTTTGCATACTGTCAGCTCTTTGTATAATTCTCTTGATATGTTTTACACTGTGACAGTAGATGGGAATCATGATTTTGAATTGAATGTCACTTGCTCACTAATAAGTCTTAGATAAGAATTTTATGTAGTACATTGCAGTAAAATTAAATGGGTCAGTGTAAGTTTATCCTCAGGTAAATGTAAGTGAACTCAGGCTCTTGTTTATTAGGATGGTGTATTTGGGGGGGGGGGGGGGTTGGTGAGCGTTAATATCAGATTTAGTACATAAATGCTTACTTGTACTTGTGTAAGTATTATCAGTGCAAATGAAGAGACATCATTAATCTCTTTCAAATTTCATGCTAACGTTCTGACACAGATAATTGGAGTCATAAAGAATTTTTTTAGTACAGTTTTTTAGAAACAAATAGATGGTTCATGTGAAAAATTGTTTTGAAATGGTTATGGAATGAACTGTTTACTGTTGCCTTTCTACGTGCCAGCTAAAATGTTTGAAGAATGTTAATTGATTCTTCTAGAAGTTTTCAAGTAGACAATATAAATCAGTAATGCAGTGTAGCTTCCTTGCTGTTTATACCCTCTGAACATTTGTGTATTTTTTTGATAAGTATATTTGTTTATAAACAAAAATATTCTTGTTTGCTTCCGATAAAAATTATTGACTGAAAGAGTTGCAGGATTCTTGGTTATGCATTTTACTGCAGAACAACTGCTTATCCTTTCATGAAATCTTCACTGAGTGCATCTCGTCATGTGATTCATTTCAAGTTCCGCCCATTTGCTTGAATGTTATTGTGGCCAAATTCACTATCTTTGACTTTGTAAATTGAATGCTTTTGGTAGGCCATCCGCTTAATATTGAGCCCTGTTACAGTTGAATATTATCGTATCTCATATTGATGCCAATTTTCTTGTTCCATTAGAGCTAAGATGGGTGAAGTCATTCTAGGCATGCCAGGACCATGGGCTGATAATAATTATGAATCATCTGATCATTATACAACTAAAATTGGTGGACTTCCTGTAAGTTTCTGAAATCTAATCTGATACATATAGTTATGTTCTTCGAAGATGTGCAGTATTTGAATTAGAAGAATTTTATCCCTATTGGCAGGACTGGCCTGTTCCAAATATTGCCATAAATCCTGATCTGCTTAAATGCAGTGCATGTGGAAGCAATCTCTGTCTCGTTGTGCAGGTTTTACAATTCAAATTTATTCTATTGTTTTTTTTGAGTTTGTTGTAGTTGACACTTCTGTTAAAATGAGAGCTCTAAAATTTTAATTTTATGCCCTGTTTTTCCCCAGGTATATGCTCCGAGTGAAAGTAAGACTCTGACGATTGAAGAGCGTGTAATCTATGTTTTTGGCTGTATAATGCCAAAATGTGGGAGCAGTCCAGGAAGGTCACCTTTAGTGTTTTTTCCCCCTGATACTTTGTCAATGGAATATAAGCATCATTGTTAATTTCATACTTATTTGTGATATTGTTCTTCTGTTGCCTTTGCAGCTGGCGAGCTCTTCGGGTTCAAAAATCTGTGTGTGGTAAGGAATCAAATGCCCCCCGTCCTGAGGTGTCACCTCCGCCTGAATCGTCCCTTTCATCTCTAAAAACTAATTGGTTAGAGGATCTATGGACATCTAGTTCTAGAGAAGAGGACAATGATGGAAATGATAATGACATAGATCTAGAGGAGTTGGGCAGGGCAATTTCGGAAGCTGCAAGCTTGGCTTGTCATTCAAAGAAACAAGGGAGTAAGTGTCATACTGAGGCTACTGTGAAGCGCTCCCCTGTAGAGCGAGCAGCAAGAGGAATTGATCATAACACACCAGGTAGAATTTGTCTTCTGTACAAGAAAACTCTAGACAAAATGATGCCTAGCTTCTGAAATTGTCTAACCAGCATTTAGTAAATTGTGTGTACCTGTATTTTTGTAGTATGTCAAGTGTCTCATGGAGAGTTTCCATTGCCAGGCTTAATCCAAGATTCTGGTGGAATATCACAAATAGTAATTGAAACTTTGTCCTTCTCCGGAGAAAATATATGGAATCAGATGACAAGAAATGTGTTTTTATGGAATCCTTACTAGGCTTAAGTATTGATAGAGTGTGCATGTGTACATACAGAATTTCTGGCATATAGAATGACGAAAGAGATCCATTGGCTCCTGATGAAAGACAAGTCAATGGATTGATTCTTTTGGATTTGAGTTTGCATTCTGACCTAATTAAGGTCAAAATGATTAGTCACCCAAATGCTATACGTGTAAAACATGATACTCAAGTTTTCTGCCTTGGCATCTAATAATGCAGAGGGGTGGTTCTAAGTTTTCTGTTGAAAGGGTTATATCTGGTTTTTTCGCCATTGCAGTGCTGCCTTGCTTTTATGTATATGCTCGGGAAGAAGCATTCTTGAAGGAGGTTACTGCTACTTTTTCAAACTTCCCCTCACTTTCCATCAAGGAGAACCAAAGCAATCTTGATGATCATGTACAGGAAGAGACATGGGAAGAGGAGAGTTATGAATATGATAGAGCATTGAATGCTGACAGAACTTACCTCAAGTTCAAGAAGCGATTGGATGCATACCCTGAGCAATGTTTCAGGCATGTGGTCTTTAAAAACTAGATCTTGGCAGTAAACCTTGTAGGTAGTGTATTGTTAATAATTGGTAAACCTTGTAGGTAGTGTATTGTTAATAATTGGTCAACAATTGCTTCTATTCTCCCTGCATTAAATAATATCAATTGCTTGAATCATAGCGTGGTACTTTAATGAGTCTTCTTATAAACTCGTTTTTTACTAGCTAGGACGTGGCCAAAAGAACTAACAATCCATAAACACATACATTGGTCGGGTTTGGAAATCTTGAAAGTTTCATACCATGCTTGAGTAATATGATGCTTTTCCTAAATAGACTTGCTTAGAGCGACCACACCAGTTTTATTAGCTAATGCTTTGATGATAAACATCCATGCAGAAAAAGGAGTTGAAAATACCACAATTATTGTTTTTTGCGATTGTGAGTACTTTTTTCTGCCTAAAAATTAGCTTTATTTTTGTTCTTTTAAAAATTGCTTGTTCATATGCCCCCCTTTTTTACTGTGATGCTTTTGTAGATAACTGATATTGGAAATAAATTATAAAGCCTGTTTCCAATTTCCAAAGCTAGTTATTTTTTTTTCTTAAATTGTTAACTTGTGTGCATCGTTGTTTCATTCACTATCTGTGTTTTCCTTTTACTAATGATGATTTATTTAGTTTGTCAACGCCTTTCCCCATTGCTGGAACTTTTTTGTGCATGTGTGTTTGAGTACACATTTTCACCTGTTGCTTGTTTCTGAAGTTTTTTGATTGTCCCACCTTGGCCTTGGAGGTTGAACACAATTATCTCCATTCTAACACCTGATAATTGGAGAGCAATCTCCCCACTCAAAAAGGGGAAGGGGGAAGGAGCAGGGGGGAGGAGGAGAGAAAACAACAATAAAAAACGAGTGGAAAAGGAAAGGGAAGGAATTTTTTTTTTTTTCCTGATAATCTGACATATCTTATCTCTGATTTTCTTGTTTAGTCCATGAGCTCTCCTTCGCCCCTTTATAACAGTCTTTTCATGTCTCTGTCCTCTCAGATACTTATATGGCGGAAAGCCACTGCTGGCTTCCAGAGAGGCAGGAGATCCTGGGATATGCAGCCTCTGCGGTGGCTCACGACATTATGAAATGCAGTTGATGCCCCCAGTGCTATATTTTTTACAGGAAGCGACGGATGATTCTTTTAAGCATTCACTGGACAACTGGAACTGGATGACTCTAATTGTATATACTTGTTCCAAGGTGGGTTTTTCTTTCCACTATGCTTTATGATATATGAGTAACATGATATTGAAAACATTGTTTGGACCTTTTTTTTCTGACAAGCTTTATCTGCACTATATGGATTTTAAAAACTGTCTGCTTATGTACTTCTATGCAAATCTCTATCTCTCTCAGCTTGACCAAACTGGTTATCCAAACTGTCTAGATAAATTAGACCTGGATTGCTTGCTATATTTCTTTGTTAATGATAAAGTAATTTGATTATTTAGGTCTTGGTTTGCTTATTATAGCAGTAGAGTGAATGCAAAGTTAGCAAGACGTTGAAAAGATTTTTGCAACATGTGTTAACTACTCGGGATTCTTTATGAAAGTAAGAGAAAGTAACCAAAGAAACAAAAAGAACTAGAAACGAACAAAACCATGACTTTTGTGCATCATGTTTCCCAGCATTTGTTTGTTGTCTTAGTTCCATGGTGTTAGTTGCATGTCGATGACAAAGGCTAGATTCTTGTAGTTAAATCTTCTTTCCCTTCTTTCTCCATGGTATTGTTATGTTGTGAGTGCTGGTATATGGTTATCTAGCTTCTCAGATACTCTGCCATAACATTCATATGTTCAGTGTGACTTTTAGACTCATTTAACCGCATGCTTTTGGTTCATGTAGAGCTGTTCAAACTCTGCCATAGAAGAGTACAACAGTGATGGCTGGTCTGTTGCACCAGAGGCTGTCGTGGTACAATATGAGTAACCCGTAGTGAGCCAATGTAGGGGAAGAAGGAAAATGTGTCCAAGTACAATTGAGAATCGCCATAATGCTACCATTTTAGCCATACTTCATTGTGGTATTGGCCCTCTTGGAGGCTTTACTGCTGATTGAGTTTTTTTTTCTTATTCACTAGAGAAAATGAGCTCAGCAATTTCTCAGAAGATTATTTACTGCTCGTGAACAGATCGGTGTTAGAGTTTAGTTTTCGATAAATTTGGCAATTCAAAATAGGATTAAGCATAAGAAAATCGGTTGGCAATCAACTTGTACAAAGCTCATCGTTTGTATTAAATTTTTTGGTGAGGATATTGAAGTGATTGTTTATTGCTATCTTCTTTTGGTTGCACATCATACAGGGTTAGCTCTCATGAAATTGAGCAAATCTTCTAGAGAGCATATCATGTGACTCTCTCTCTCTCTCTAGCAAATTTTCAGAAAGATAAAAATATCATTGATTCAAATCATAAAATTGTAAAATAAAACCTACGATTTTAATTCTGACGGCTAAAGAAGCCATATTATCCTCCAACTTTCCCTAGAAAATCGGTAATTACTTCTGCTACAAAAAAAAGTTAGTGATAAGAGATGCTCAATTTTTCGAGCTCTTGGTTTGGTTTAAGGATCGTCATGATCCAACTCAAGGATAGCTATAATGTCCTGTTGTTCTTTGCACACAGCATTACTATGTCAAACTAGTTGGCAAATGAAATATGCAGATTAATTGCTAGGATTTACACAAGCTGAAGAATAATTGCACACAGGACATCTTTGATCCAGAGTTACATCATACTTGTTAAGGCAATCAGGCATTTGGAACTGACTATTAGAATTATACACATGATATGTTTGAGCAAAGTTGATACAAGGCATTTGTGCGGATTTAGATTCTCTCCATCACACCTTCTCTTAGTTTCTCTCAAGGGTAGATCGTGAAGTCAAGTGAGACTCATACAAAAGGAAGTTTTTCACAAATACATGATAAGTGAGCTACTATTTGATAAAAATTGAGGAAAAAAAAAAAATACACTGTAGGGAATCTGAATCCCACTTGTGCATGCTCAAATTTAAATCTTAGTATTACTATGAAACAATGAATTCCCCAACATATTCAGCAAGTACATGCCACCATCAATAGGGTAGACAATGGAAGTGGCACTACTCGAATTTCTTTATCAGAGACAAGTCATTCAACATTTTTTCAATTGCCTCATCGTCATGAGCGCGTCCTCGGGTCTGCAAGAGAAAAAAGTTCCACCTAAGAAATTAACCAAATCAAACAAGATAACAATGCAATGTCATGTCAATGGATATTCAATTTTGGCAACTTTCAACACCATAATCCTCCAACAAAACCTCAAGAGTTGGCAGGGTGTTTGTCATAAACACTGTAGGGATACCCATGCATGGAAAGAAGTCCATGACAGTCTCAATATATGCAAGGCATGGACACTTCAAAAACAGCACCAATTGATAAATATGCAAAGAAGTGCGGATCAACATATTGTAAATGGGCAGCAAAAGGTTCCAAAATAAATATCCCCCACTGCAAAGAAAGGTTGTGTATTCATTCTCTCTAGCAAGGGTTTACACTGGACTTTTGTTTCCGCTCCTCAAAGCATGGGGAGCAAGGGAGTGCAATATTAGTGTCTTTGATTTTCTTTCACACGACAAGATTGAACTATTATACCTCTAATATCGATTTCATTTTGTTAAACTAATCATTCATCTTTTGTTGCTTTTGCCCCCTATAAATCAAAAGTCTAAGAGTGCTGCTCAAATCCAGGCCGGTTGGAAAAATGATAATACCTCGGAAAAAATAATTACTCCCAGATAGCAATATATCAATCACTGAAACTTTTTTAAAAAAAAATCCTCAGACAATTTTCACAGTTTCCAGAACAATAACTGTTGTCCCTATGGAAAACAAGGGATTTTTAATCTGCACCAAGAACATTCATGGTTGATGTCCCTTAATATTTATTTTCTTATCCACCACTGCTATGTGAGATCATGTTAAAATGCTACTAATATAGAGTAAAATACAACTGATCTAGGGTCAAAAGAACATTCCAGACATCCAACAAAAACAAAAGAAGTTTCACAAACAAATTTTGCAGTGAACTTCGTAAATTTAGTCACATTGTGTTACATTGATTTGGACGAGAAAGGCATAGTTTCAAGGGTATGTAGGGTTTACTAGTGGAGCTAATAAATTAGCTATCCCCAAATTTCAAACAGAATCAATCTTCACCCCCTTCTGCCCTAGAAACAGGGAAAAATAATGTCCATGACTCCATATGAAGGTTTCATGAACGTGAAGTTTAATTATGCCACATGCTCTTGGCATGTAAATTTGCCGAGATACAAAGTGCGGCATTCTCCAGAACTTTTTGTGCGAGTCATGGAAAAATTTGTGAAGTGGCCCTTCTTCTATCCGTATAGAATTCAACAATGACATGCATAAATGAAAACAACAGGAGCACTCGCAAAGAGAAAGAGATTTCTGTCCCTGATAAAAAATACCTTGATAGATGGGACCATAGCAATGGCTTCCTCCACAGTTTCAGGGCAAAGGTTCCCCAGAACACAGAGCTACACAACACAACAACTAAACAACATTCACAGGGTTCTTTTTGAAAAAAAAAATTAGGAAACAAAATAAAATTCCACATTTCAGGATTACAGAGTGGTTAGGTATGTTACCTCAAATTCAGCCAACTGGTACCGACTAAGGATTCTGAATTTCAATTAAGGTTCACATTGATAATGCGGGTGCAAGTCACGAATAAATCTTTAAAGAAAAAAATTGCTGGTGCACATAAGAATATATTTGAGCTTGAAGAGTGAAAAACAAAAAGGAAAAGCGAAGTTCAAATATAACCACCTAAGACTCCCTATCACCACATAATGCAGTTGCGATGGCTCCTTCAATAGCCAGTCTTAAGAGGTGAAAGATATTGATATCATGGAAGATTCTAATAATCCAAGGAAATTTCCGAGTTTCTACCAAGTAATTGTCCAAATCCTGGAAATTTGTGGAATTTTTTGGGAAAACACATTGCAAAACAAGAAAAAATCTTCTATTAGAAACTTCTTCTGCAAGGCCAAGGTAATTTTTTCTGAAAGAAAAAAAAGGAAAAAAGTGATAAGATTACTAACATTAGTAGCATGCATTTAAGTGAATACTATGTTCAAGCCTAGGCAGGCAACTCAGGATCTGGTACAATAGCTAATAACAAGAGACAGTATCACCCTCTATTATTCCTTGTCAAGAACGACCCAAAAAAAGAAAAAACTATGTTCTCACATATAATAGTTTCAGGCTTACAAATTTCTCTGTTAAATTTGTTACCATACTCACAGCATCTATTTGGACTTTAGGACACCAAGAATAAACATTGATATAATAAGAAACTCAAATAATAAGCAACAAGGAGTTAATCCACATTATACCATTAAATACAAGAACAGAATTCCATCATTTTCATAAATAAAGGATACTCTCGAACTTGTCTAACAGCGTCAGGATTCTTATAGCGACTAAAGCGCTTCACATACTGCAGTGATTTTTCAAATACTCTGATAGAGAAAAATAACCAAAACACAATTGCATTAAGGTCAAGGACTGATTTCTGAACCTGCACATACTTTCTGACAAAATTTCTTACCGGCCAGATGGCTAGCTAGATTCATTCATGAATGTGGTGCTAACATTATTAAATAACAAGACGAAAATGGACAGATACAATGTGAAAACCCATTCCTGCCGCTCAATCTGTGTTACTTTTATTAAGTTTCTGATTTCAGTTATTGTCTATCAGTCATCTGGCTTGGAAGAGATATGAATAGGACCACTTTTCTGTAGAATTCACCATGCACGAATACAGTACTCAATATACAAAACTTTGTGCATCAGAGCTAGAAAGGGGAGGACTAATATCTTTGAATATAATCAATATGCCTCAAAAACCAAATCTCTGAGTTCCCTTAGTCAAAAGGTTACTGGTGTTAAATCCAACAAAAATCTGAGTTAATCAATAAGAATTCAAGCTACAACTTCCTATGTCATGACCTATATTGGGTGCACCTCATTTTGAACCTTAAACAAGACGATTGGCACTCTAAAGATGTAATCAGACAATAAAAAGATGACTAATGAGATCCATCATCTTATCTCCACAAAAATGTCCTGAAAGTAGAACTCATGCCAACTAGGGGTCTAAGGGCTACCAGATTATAAATCCTTTAAACTGTTCATGTTGAGTGAGTATCAGAATTCTGTAACAACTTAAAATAATGCGTCCGAAAAATAGCAAGCATTAGCAGACTTGAAAGACCATTCCAAAAATACCCATCAAGTTTAGAGTGGAACTGAAGGTGGTGACAGTTGATTTATGGCTAAACCCAGAAAACAAAAAACAATGTCAATATGGTGTAAATGTGAAGAAACAATAAGAACATGAACCCGAAGACAGTCATTAACAAGTCAAATATTGAGTCATAGGTTTGGAAAGAGAGGTGGCTGCTATTCCCAATAAGCAAGAGAAGAACTCACACCCCCCCTTCTTTTTTCCTTCCCCTCTATCCTGATCACTTTAAAAATAACTCTTTACACTATTCTTCTAGTTCTTGAGATCCTCCATTCAACAACTTTAGAACTGAAAATTTAATCATCCAACTCCACGGAGTTTGGTCCAACTTTGTTAAGCGCTGAACAGATGAGGAGGCAGATTTCAGGTAAGTTGGCGCTATTCCAGAGATATATTAATATATGTGAAATGATCACACTGCCATTTTTTGCGAGTATTAGGTGAAAAGACTTCCAGCAATGGCATCACCTGTGGGGCCCTATATTTTCCATGGAAGAAAGAATGGCATTTGAGAGGATGCAGTCTAATACTCACTGAGATACTTGATTCATTGGATCTTCAGACATCTGCTGAAGCTGCTCATACTTGTGTTCGAGAATTAAGGCAACTTCACAGTTCATCAAACACTTGGCCTTCAAAAACTCTGAGAACCCAAAAAAATCAATGTCAAAAACAGCGCCACACAAAGAAAAATGTTGAGCAAAACTCAGAGCTATTTTTCAACAAGAAAATAGAGCACTAAATATTTAACAATCATTTGTTTCAAATGCAAACGCTATATGCTCTCCTATATTTTGATGAATATATTTTGCCAGCCAAAATCCCAATATTAAACTGACCTTCAATATCAATTCTTTATTTACTTAGTTTTGCCCCAATTTATCAAGTACAAATAAATTTATAAAGTTATCACTAAAGATTACTTAACATCTAGGTTAGAATGAAATCTTATTGCCACATCCATATCACATCCCGGATCTAATGAAATAGGATGAATTGAGACGGTATTTTGCATATACGTAACTATTTTGAATATATTAACCATTTCTTCATTTTCCATTCATCCGGGAGGGGCAAAAGAAAGATATTGTTGTTTCTTCAACAATTTCTGAGCAACAATAATTGGCTATGAGTGGAGAGGCTACTCAACCATATAAACTAACATTTGGATACAATCTTTGTGTATACCCTTCTTCACGTGAAACCCAGACTTACCCATGGGTTAGTAAAAAAATAACTACTGGAAAATCCAAATAGGTGAGAGAGTTAGCCCAAGATGCACCTTTAATTCCAAATTAGAGCATCCAATTCAAAATCAATTCTCTATGATTGAAGAGACCGCCCAATCATATTGGGTGCCCCTCATCTTTCAACGGTGGATACAAACTCTCTTTACAATAATGAAATGCACTGATTTCTTATCGCCTCTTGGTATTAGACAAGACTTTCAACATCAATTTTGAACACACAACAGAGAATTAGCTTAAAGGGAGGCAAATGATAAATTGTTAGCTAGCAAGCACGGTTTGCATAACAGTGTTGGACACGGCTTGAATAGTGAACTCAAACATGGCCAGAATTTTTTTTTTAAAAATGACTGTAAGCTACTAAGAGGGATGTGATTTTTTTATTTTTTATTTTTTGTTTTTTTCTTATATAATTCATAGACTATGAATGTTAATGGATATAACGATGTTTGATGAAACTGGTAGATTTTTATTTTGATCTATTTAATTTTAATCAAAAATTTAATATTTTTTAGGCCTTAATATCAATATTGTAATAAAATATGCTATTATTTTTAAATTATTATCTAAAAAATATATAACGTTATGTTAATTAGACGTATTCTTACCGTACCCGTATCTTATATTTTTATCATATCTTATTTTATATTATTTTGTAAAGCCTCTTAGCCTGCTAACAGTCTAGGAAGCACTGATACGAGCACGAATGTAATTGCATGATAGATAATAGTAAGAGGCTTAGACACAGTTCTTTGAACATATTCTAGATGCCAGATTAGATTGAACCTCATGCATCAAGGGACATCCTCAAATTAGAGAACAATAAATGTAGAAGTTTGGTTCTGTGACAGTGTTTGCTACTTGGGGTTTCTTTTGGTAGCATATGGTGGGTTCCTAACAGCAACCATGTAATATTAACTCAGATGTGATTTTAGGCTTAATGACAGTCTTAATTGTTAGATATCCATAACGAATAAAGGAGGGAAATAAAAAAGAAGAAATCCCAGACCTCACGTCCAAATTCTTAGGCCCCACATTTGAAAGATAGAAAGGAAAACCACGCATCTAATACGTATATTCTGAGGCCTTACATCCGAGAGGAATGTGTCACACATCATACAAGAAAATTTTCATTCACTCCTTTTCATCTCTTTGTAAAACAATTCTCCATCATCTTAACACCAATATCAGCAATCAGTAGTTTTTCATACATCTTCCAAAGCATCAATGAAGCTTCTTCAATATTAGAGCCTGGCTGACCATGACATTCTTCTTTTATTAAGCATTTTGGGCATTGCCTCTAACTTTCCAAAACTTCTATATTATCAACATCATCGACATGCTTCTTAAAATTGCGTTGGTCGATTTCTAACTTCAATCCTCGTTTTACATCTAGATGTTTTTTCAATTGAATTATTCTTCTTTAGAGATCCTTTTTTTGCCTCTTTTCATCACACCATCAACAGAATTTCAGGCTTGGAAAACCAGTTTTGCTAGCATGTCTGCATAAACGTGCTGGCATTAGAAGTGCCATGGACTACAGATAAGTTCCAACTCAATCTTAACTTACTTTATGATACAGCTATAAGGTTCTGATTTCTCTTTACTGTTAGCAAAGGAATCAAGCCGCTCCTATTGCAACATTAAGAGGCAAGGATCATTGGAAAATGCCAGCCTTTGGAAACTTGCTTGCCATATCAATGTATTTATTTACAATGTTTAACATGAAGTGATAAGCATGTTACACGGCAACACAATCTAGAAATCTATGGGTTCATCTAATTCTTACAATCTACATATAAGTTCCTACGTTACAATTCCCAAGTACACTCATTATTTAATTTAGTGGCTAAACAAATGATTCAGTAATCAATACCATCCTTTTCATTTCTATTTTTCTTTCTCTTCGAACCAGAGTATGCATCAAATCAACCCTGTGACAGACAGAGGGACAAAGGAGTTTTCAACACTATAAAAAAGTTATGGCTTAGAGCTCAAATTGTCAAAATTTGAAGTTTGACATTTCAAAGGAAAAATGTTTTCTTTCAGTTTCAAAACCCATTTTTTTTCATGTCCATTCAAGCTCTCAAACTTGTCAAAGAAAAATTCAAAGGATGGATGACAGGACCGGAACTAGCTTCCAGCTAGAAGTATAGCACCCCACTCCACCATAACATAAACATACTGTAAAGCGCACAACCTATTGCATAGTGTCAATATGATGAAAACGAACATGCATCTAGCCTTTCTTTCCCAAAAAAAGGTAAAGACAAAATGAAAAAACACTTAACAGAGAAATAAACTTGGATATGAGCCATTACTTGTATAGAGAGAAATAATTATTACCATCACCAATTTTCAGCTCAGCGGCATTTTCTTCCTCTTCCCCAGACATGTTGAGGGCTCAAGAAAAACCTAATAAACAATAGATATTTTCAATACGTAACACAATCAAACTTTTATATTGCAATCCCTCCGCACAAACCATAGAATATGAAAGTAGGGAAAAGAGAGAAAACTAGTATCATGACAAATTTACTGAGTAGCTATTTGCCCAAATCAATCAAACGGAACTGGGTAATCAGGAAAACCGACGAATTCGGAAGTAAGAGACATAGAAGAGATTTAGAGGAAAAATTGAATCGATTCCACAACAAATGCTCTCAGAATACACACACACACACACACACACATGATCGAAATTATGAACCCGTGTGTGAAAGAAGACAGACTAGAAGAGATGTTACCGCAAGTATTTTCGTTCAGGGTCTCGCTGTTCAGTCTCGGCAAACCAATGTGTTAGTCTGACGAAAGGTCCAATGTATACCAACACAGAGATGGTGTTTGTGGGTTAGTTAGATGGGCTCAAGCCCAAGTCGGGCGAATAAACTTGGGTAAATTGTAAATGGTACACCATATTAGACTTATTTGGTAAAAAATACATACTAAAAAATATAGAATTATTAAGTACTTAATTTTGATACTTATTTATATTCAAATACATAATTTGAATGAGCAATGCTACATGAACTTAAAAACTAGATTTAATAATTTTAATTATTGATTTCACTGTGGGTCCCAGCATTTGTTGAGACTCACTAACCTATTCAATGGTTGAGATTATCAAGTCTAATTTTTAAGTTCATTTAGCATTACTAAATTTGAATTTATTTATTTTTATTGTGATATTTTTGCTCTTCATTAATGCATGTGTATTTAATGCACCACTTTGTGGTGCATTAAACATCTCATAATTTTATACATGTATTAACAAATACACATGAATCAAGGTGTATTAAATACGTATTTATATATAGTAACAAATACACATGAATTAAAGTGCATTAAATACGTATTTATATGTATTAACAAACACACATGAATCAAAGTGCAGTAAAGATAAAAGATTTTGAATTAAATGACCTTAAAATGAGCATTTATGTCTTTTTAACTCACATTTTGTTCTATGTATTTTTTGTCAAATAAGTCTAATTAGGTGTACCGGCTTTCAAAGAACCCAATAAACTTTTTCATTCTACCGAACACAAAAAAAAAAAAAAAAAATTATTTATATTTTTCATCTCTTCTACCAAACACAAAAGAGGGAAGTAAGAATTTCTCCTTGAAAGCTAGAAAATGTATCACTCTCATTTTCCATCTATCCTACCAAACACACAATATCCATAGTTTTAACGAATTTGGGTGTTTAACTATTGAGCTTGCCAAATCCTTTAACTAAATGAATCGATACGAATTTGACTAAATATTTCATAAATTTAGGTAAACCCAATTCATACACGACGTAAATCGGACTGTAAAAAATTATAAATGGGTATGATATAAATTTTGAGATGACACGATTTACACAAGTTAAAAACACGATGCAATATTATCCAAATGTGATTGATAAAAGCGTCACAATATTACTTTTAAACTTGAAGAAGCCTGTCTGATTAAGTGATAAAGTATAACGAGTCTTCATATAATTTATCCAATATTTTAATAATGACAATTATTTTTCTTACCTTATTCTATCCTTTGAAATATTAATTTTGTATACGTCTTTTATAAAATAAAAAATCGGTTACACAAGTCATATTGTATCAAAATTCATCCCATTTATATATGATTCGTTATAGTCTTATGTAATCTAGCATTTATTGTGTATAATCAAATTTGTATCGACAATTTCGTTAACGAGTCTGGCTGATTAATTTTGTTTGAACTGAACCCATTAAGCCCATCACCACAATTGATAATTTAGTATCAATTTTATGCCAAATTAGTGAATTGGGTTTAAAATTATCGACTCTACTTATATTTGTCGATTTGCATAGACCTTTGCCATTCAAAAAGAATTAAAGAAATTCTCAATTATTAGGAAACTAGAGAGGAGGCAAACCGAGGAATTAAAGAAAAGTAATAGAAGGAGATGAAAATCCATTTTTTTTATATTGTTTAAGGCAAATAAGCAAAGAGGCAAAAGTTTGAGGAGAGCTAGATTCTTGTAATATTGATAAAAATGGGCAGCCTAATACACGAAATTATCGTCATTACGTGTGAAATTTTTAGGAGGGTTAGTTTAGTACCTCACATGTGAAGAGTTACCACCTGTGTCGGCCCCTATCCCTAAGCAAGTGACGCGGTCACCAAGGGCCTGACTTGCCTAGAGCTCCGTTTACGTATGTTTTATAAAATTATATTAATAAATTTTAAATAAAATAAAAAAATTAGAATGTTTGGTAAAATGATAAAAAAATATTATTATTTAAATCATAAATATATATATTAAAAAAGAAAAAAAAATTGCATAACATTCTTGTACAAAAATTTACAAGACTTTACATTATTATTGTATATAAATTTGCAATAACTCCGACCTATTTATTTAGTTTTATTTTCTTGAACTATATTTTGAAGTTAAGTTGATTTTAATATAATCAGTTACATAATTTGTTTATTTTGTAAGATGTTTTTCACCTTAACTATACTTACTAAAAGATATAAATTTAAATATTTAAAATTTAATAATAAAAATAAATAATTTATTCATATAAAAATAATTTAAGCCCCCCATCTAAAAATTTTGCCTAAGGTCTCAAGTATTCTTAGGCTAGTCTACATATCACAACAACAACTTCGTCCCCATGAGGCCATCTCCACTCTTTTTTCAAATTCTTACTTTAATTTAAATTTGAATAAAAATAAACTAAAATCAAGTTTCAGTCTTTACTTCAAACATATATCAAATAAAGGGAGACTCAAACTTTTACTCAAATCGAGGCAAACTCAAAATTTTATTTAAATCTTCAATAGTCAGATTTTACTATTTTAAAAGATGTAATGACCATATATCACCTTCTTTTAAATTTGAGTTTGACCTTTTTTAAATTTGAGTTTGTTCCTTAGAGTGCCTTATATTAAATCAATTTTTTTACTCAAATTTTAGTTTGAATTTGGGTCAACATTGAAGATGCCGTAAGAGTATCATCTCTAATTTAGTAAACCAAATTTGTGTATCATTTTTCCTTTTTCTTTTGTTTCCACTTTTCACTAGGATAAGGTCTATTTGCAATTCAATAATACTATTTTAATCTAATTTGTTAATTTAGTTTATTGTTGCCCTGAGATTGACACCGAAGTCGATCCAGTAATAGTGCCCAATGCTATTATAATGATTATTTAATCCTATTAAAATTATTAATACCGTATGGTAAGGATCATAAGATTTCTATTATCTTGCATTAGGATTATCTTGAATTGAATACTAAGGGATATATGTGTTATCCCTAGTAATTAGGAACATATTAGTTATTATCCCCAATAGTTAGGAATAGATTAGTACCGAATAGTTAGGAATCCATTAGTATTAGTTTAGTTTTATCTTTATCCCTTAAAGTATCATTCCATAACAACATAAGTCAACCACGCAAGGTTGATCCGTTCTCTTTACCAACTCAAACACTTGTCACACGTTCACAAACCAAGGAACATAACATAATCTCTTCCAAACAAAGCAAATGGAGCAAATTTGAGTTTTATGCGGCCAAGAGAACTTGAACTAAAGACGTACATGTTTACTCATCGCATCTTGTTTGACTAATTAATAATCTGTTTGATAGGACAGATGAAAAAGTTTAAAAATAGAAAAATGAATCTTTCATCCCCGAAGGAAAAAAAGTATTTTATGAATATTATACTGCGAGACATTGCCTCAAAAAATTAAACTGTCAATGGTAGTTGCTAATAAAGCTATGGACCTCGTTTGGCAGTCCACTTTTTTCCATTTTTGTCCCATATTTGGATTGATCCAATTTGGTAGGTGGGACCCTTTCTCTCCGTCTTTCCGTGCCCTCCATCTTTTCTTGAGTCGGTTTGGTTAGCAAGAAAAAGATGACTGAAAGTGAAAGAGGTAGAAAGCAAAGTGAAAGAAAAAAAAGTTAAAGAAAATATATTTTTATTTATGTATTTGGTTAGCATGAAAAACTTCTAAGAAAATTTTAAAATAATCTCGTTCTATTGTTTGAAAAAAAAGAAATTTATAAGAAAATTTTTCTAATTGTTTAAAATTATTCTTAAGTATTTTAACTTGGTCTAAAGAAGAAAAACATATTTTTTATTATTCAAATTTTTAAAAAATTGGCTCCTAACCTAATTCAGGAACAAAAATCGACTCGAACCTTAATTTCTAGATTAAATTATATAATTAGCCTAATTTGTACATATTTTTTTAAAATTAATAACTAATTGAATATTTTAAAAAAAATAAAGGTAAAATGGAAAGTTAAGTTATTGAATACAACTTTTTTATTTTTTCTTCTGTTTTTTGCAAGAAAAAAATGTTAGTTAGATTAAAGAAAATCTAAACATGAGAGAAAATTATTTTTTCTATAATTTTTTATTTCATACTAAACAAACGTATGCAAAATTTTAAAATTTTCTCTTTCTTGTATTTTTTAGCATTTTTTTGCTAAACAAACGGACCCTTTTAATCAAACAAAAAAAAATTATACTTTTCATTCACCATTTTTCATCTATCCCATTTTCACCCATATCAAACAGGCCATAATAATCCCTTCTTGTTTAGTATAGAGTACTATAAGCAAATCAGGAAACAAAATTTTTTCTAAGTGCTAATTGTTAAATATCTAGAAACCTAGTATACTACTACCTTTCACACGAATTAAAAAATCAATGTATCAAGGAGCTTTACTGATTGGAAAAAGAGCTAACTATTTATTACACACAAAATACTATTCATTCTGATAACGGGTAACACTCTTGAGAGTATAACTCAAAAAGGCCTTTATGCATGTTCAAATTAATAACAAAATCTACTAAAACAAAATGACATGAAACTCGCATATTGTTTTCCAACTTACAAAATAGTTATACAATGAACTTTCTGTTCTTGCACAAGAAGGATATTAAAGAAACTACCACACGGCTCAAACCAGACCCTCAGCGTCATGCCGAGAGGGGGTTACTATCTCGTCGTCCCTCCCCTCTTTTTTCTTGATCAAAAAAAAAGAAACTATCACACATAGGTATAAAGTATAAGCTTTGCTTCAAACTACTTCTTAGGACCATCTCTTAGTAACCCTAACCTTTAACCCATACTTCATATAAAGAATAATAGAAACATTTGGCTCCACAAGGTGCCCTTCAACCACTTCAACATCATAGTTATGGATTACAGCAGCAGCAGCAACCTTCATCTGAGTGAAAGCCACTTCCTTCCCCAAACAAGTCCTTGGTCCAGCATTGAACGCCAAGAATTTATACGAAGGTTCGTGTTTGATCGTTCCACGCTCGGAGATCCATCTCTCAGGCTTGAAATCTAAACAGTCATCGCCCCAGATTGATGCCATTCTCCCCATTGCATACAGAGAAAACATCACCTGTTGGGAAAATTTGCACAATTTTGTAATAATTTCATTAATCTAACGTATTTTGAATAACTCAGTTATAATAAAAATTACAAGAATTCTAACTTGCAAATATAAACTAGCAAAAATTGTAGTAGAGTAGTAAATTTAGAATAATATAAAGTAATATATGCAGTACAAAGTATAAACACTTCTAATTCTAAAGGAGTTGTGCATTTTCATGTAAACGTGGTAACGGACAATAGTGACTTTAAGATCGGACCTAGATGCTCACATGCAATAATTCATCCTCAATGTCCTGGCCACTAGAAGGTAAAAGGTAACTTGATTCGAATCGAAGTCCAAAAATTCAAAACTACGGCGTGGGTCAAAAGTATAGAAAATGATAGCATGTAAAGATGATGCAGAGGCTTGAGTGGGTTCTTAAGATCAAACAAAATTCATGAAATATTTAAACCTGAAACTAAATCCAAAATAATGTAGAATATTAAACATTAATTAAGAATTTGAGAAACAAAATACAGATTTGTACTCAAATTCTAACATCACCTTCATCTTTGGATGAACATGGTGGCCACTTGGAAGAGTATCTGGTTGAAGAGGCTCTTTGTGCTGGAAAGGAACTGGGGGATAGAGCCTTAGTGATTCACACAGTGCACCATGCAGATAAACCATCTTGCTTAGCTCTTCTGTGTTGAAGAGCCTCCGATTTTCGGGTTCTTTTGATGGTATAGCTGATTTGAGTTCTTCCCTGATCTTCACTTTTACCTGTGGATGAGTAGAAACAAGCCATAGAAACCAAGTCAGACCTGAACTTGTAGTGTCTCTCCCTGCAATCATCAGATTCAGTATATTATCCCTTAAGAGTTTATCCTGGGGTTTTAACTCCGTTCTCTCCCTAAAACCCATATTAAAAGGAGTCTGACTCTGATCGTGCACTAGACTATTCTTTTTTATCTCATATTCTTCATTGATGTACGACGTTAACAAATCAAAACCCTCTTCCTGATCTTCTTTCGTTTTGTTCAGGCTCAGCTCAGCTCGTTTCATTGATATGTATTTAGATATAACATGGTCTAGGGTGACCCAAGCTTTGTGCATTTTTTTCTCCTCTCCAATATTCAGCCACCTTTGTAACTTCCAAAGGCTCTCAGGCACTACATGGCGCATGAATATGGCTTCTTCAGCAGCATCAACGGCCTTCATAAATGGAACATCAGGGAAATCGAGAGAGAGACAACCCGGGTCGTAGCCTGTAAATAATATACAACTACTATCAAATGTAAGTCTCTGGAATAAATCTTGAATGTCCATCACTTGTTCTTGTTTGGAGAAATGGTCTAGAATAGGGATCAGCCCTTTCTCCACCTTGTCCCGGCTAGTTTTCACCAAGAACCGATGAAATTGTTGATGATTGATCAAAGCTCTGGCGATTTTCCTCTGGTTTTTCCATGAATCCAAGTCAGAATTGAAAATTCCATCTCCAAGAACATCAAAGATGTTCCTGAATTTGGGGCCTTTAGGAAAATTTGAAAAGTTTGCACTCAGTATATGGTGCACATTGGCAGGATCAACCGTGGCCAACATGTCCATATTAGCAAACCAAACACCTTTGAATAGAAAAGTACCATCAGTTAGGCCGAGAACCTCCGTACAAGTTTCGTGAATCCGGCCAACCCTACTCAGGAGACCCGGCAGCATTCGGACTACCGGCCAGCTCCACGGGAGCCCCTTATAAGCTGGCTTTGAAGTCCATAGAACCAGAAAGCATACGGCTGCTAGGATGATTTCCAAATAGCCCAAGTGTGCCATTTGAGTTGTGAATGTCTGAAAAGTATGCATGCACTACATATATATCGTGATGCCCCGCTCTTTTTATTGTTTAATTTTTTTTTTTTGGCTTTTCCCACTTTACACCTAGAAAAATTTTAATTTGTATGCTCAAAAATTAAAATTTTCATATTATATCCTAAATCTATCAAAAGTGTTACGATGTAGTCCTTCTGTTAGTTTCTGTTATTTTTTTTGATCAAAAGTTAACCCATTGATACTAACGAAAAACTATCGAAAAGTTAATAGAAAGATCATATTACTACACTTTTGATACATCAATGATATAACCTAAAAAAATTAATTTTTGAATCAAGGGACAAAGTATAATTCACTTTTGATACATCGGTTAAACTCGAGTTTCCTGTATTGTTCCTCTGTGAACCACTACATATTTGTCGATATACTCCTTATGAATTTTGGTGGTTTGTGAAAAGTATCAGATCTCCTTCACAGTTTTATGTATCTATGTGACCTAACACATAACCATCCAACTTCATAAATTGCTTTGTCTCTTAATCAACTAGAAAGGGAAAGATCATTTAGTGTTAGCAATAATAACTAGCTGTTTTTTTGGGACCTTTCACCAATCTCTATCCATAAAGGTGTAGGTATGTGAAACTTCAAGCATCTAGATTCTCTCAATTTGAACTACTTCCAATTTTACCCAATTTGAATCACCTATAGTTAATTTTAAAAAAAAACAATCACCTATAGTTAGTAATGGGATTCAATGAGGTAATGCAGAGTTGGTAAAGTAAACACTATACAATATGAACCTAAAAACAATACAAATAACAGGTATAGGTACTTACTACTACTACGTGTCCTAGTAACTGACGGGGTCGAGTCAAAAAATCAACTTCTAACTTACTTAGTGACTTTATATCTCAATTAACATGAATAATTGTTTCTGTATGTCCAAGTAATTAGTCGCATGATCGAGTCGAAGAATCAATTTGTCTAAAATAAGGGTAAAACTATATACTACAAATCTCTTTCGAACGTATCAGACACAAAATTTTATGCATTAGATGCGACCAAGCGTAATTCCAAATATGTAATGAATCCTATATACTTATCAATAAGACCTGTAATCGGTAAAAACCATACACTTTACTTGCTAACCTTCCATTTTTTTAAGCCAATAACTTGCTACGAAATGTGGACAATAGGACACGTGTAAGGTTGTCTTATTTTGTTATTTTATTTTCTTTTATTATTTTAACGATTATCTGTCACAAATAAATCAAAGTAAAATCTATTATTAAAATTTTTTTTTCTTTCTAATATCAAAAATTTATTTATTAAAATTTACCAGTAATCACCTCATCCAAATTTATAGATTTACCAGTAAGATAAAATTTATTTATTTTAGGTTGTCTTATTTTGTTATTTTATCAAATTTATTTATTTGAATTGCATAGCATTGCTCTTGAATATTTTCTCATCCCAAACGTGTAGTTATGTGAAAATTAAAGCATCTAAATCCTCTCACTTTGAAGAACTCCCAATTTTACACAATTTGAATCACCACCTAGAGTCCGTTTGTTTAAAAAGATAATAATAAAAAAAATGATGGGAAAAAAATTAAATAAATTTTTACCTACTACACGTATGTCCAAGTTGGAGAAGCAGTCTTTCTAAAATAAGAGTAACCCTTACCTACCATATATCTCAGTTATCACGTACTAGTGCTACCTACTGCATCTGTCCAAGGCATAATAAGTACTCGAAGGGTTGAGTCATGAATCAATCTTTCTAAAATTAGAATAAATTAAGTCATTTATTATAATCTTTATTCATCCTTATCAGACACGAAAGATCAAACGTAATTCCAAATACGTCATAAATACTTAACTTTGATTTATATTTTCGTACACGACAATCATGATAATGAACAATCACCTACCCCAAGGGAGTTATAAACATTATGGAAAAGTCTTCCCCATACTTCTCAGTATGGCTTGTAATCAGTAAAAACCATACATTTTACTTGCTAAGTTTCCCTTTTTTTTTAAGCCATCGTTACACTTCATTTTTACTACCTTTCCTTTTTTGATTTTAATAACTTGCTACGGAATGTGGACAACAAGACACGTGTAAAATTGTCTTATTTTGTTATTTTACTTTCTTTTATTAATTCACACAAATAAATCAAAGCAAAACCTATTATTAAATTTATTCAAAAAGTTTTTTCGGAACTATAGTCTTATACTCTCTCTCTCTCTCTCTCTCTCTCTCTCTATATATATATATATATATACACACACACACATATAAAATAAAACACCTAACATCTTGAATTTTTATTCCCTATATATTTTTCCCTTAAAAAATCATATTACTCATTTATATCACATGTTCAATCATTTAGTATTTGATTAGTTTGTAATTTATCATGGTTATTATTTCAAACATTATCTACATACGATAATATATATATATAGATAACAAAGTAGGCTTAATAAACTCATCTGATGGTCTTAAAATAGATTCATCCAACGACTACTATCATCTTTTTTAAATTTTCACCGTTCCTGAAAGCACAGGCGACCACATGCGTTGCACGTGAATATTTTTTGTATACAAAATATTAATAATTTTTTTTGGTTATATGTGTACCTAAATTAAATATCATCTCAAGTTTATAAAAATTATATTTTTATCGCTTGTATTATACTATAGAATTTAGAAAAATTTTGTCTGCTCCCAACAATTCGTTATTCTAACTATAAGAAAAAAAATAAAAAAATAATTCATTTAAAATTTATTTAATTAGGTTCAACTTATAATTCATTGAATAAAATAAGAATAATTGTCAATATTGTAATCAATGCTTAGTTTTAAGGGTAACATAGTCAATTGAAAAATGTCATAAATATTGATATTTATACATAGAGAATTAAAAAAGATGTTATGAGTAATTAAAGATTTAAACACATAAGGATATGAAGGTAATTTAAATATTTAACTATAGAAGGATAGTAGGTATTTAAAAAATTTTATAGTTAATCTCAAATTGTATTATGAAAAATCTCTCGAATCTCAAATTGCACCCTCAAATTTTAAAAATATTAATTTATACCCTCAAAAATATAAATTTATATTATTGTGCACCTAAAACTAAGAGTCATCCACTGTTCTGTCTAAAACTAAGTCACGTGAGTTAGAGGTGTAAAACTCAACATGCTTGGCGCCAAAATAAAAACTTTCTTGTGAGCCGTTCTGCTATGTTTGAAAAAATAAGGGTTAATTACAAATTGTATCCCAAAAGTTCTCTCAAATTTTAATTTGTACACTTAAAGTTTACAAATATTAATGCATACCCTCAAATTTTAAAAATATTAATTTACACTTTCAAAGACATAAATTTGTTAAAAAAAAAAGAAAAGACATCTACTTTGTAACGAGATATTCATCCACCAAATTCCAATATTCTACATAAATATGGTCCAAAATTAGATTTCCAACTATTAGTCAGAAATCATCTCAAAAACTTACAACTAAACACTGTTTTTGTATCATCCATAATCAAACATCCAACCAACTAAAAAAGGCAACCACTGTTTAAAGATAAATCCACATAAAAAAAAATTCATTTCAAAAAGTGTCAATATTCTACTTTGTTGTGTTGGTGGCCTCCATGATGTTGAAGTTATTGTTGGTAGTCTCCATGATGTTGATGATGAAGTTAGTGTTGCGTATGAAGATAGTGTTGGTAGCCTCCGTGTTGTTGATGATGAAGTTGGTGGCCTCCCTTTTGTGTGTGATGGTGATGGTGTTGGTGGTCTCCATCTTCTGTGTTGTACAGATGGTATTAGTGGCCTAAAGTGTGAATGTGTTGCTGGTATACATGATGTTGCAGGTACATACGATGCAGTGGCAGCTCAAGCAAATTTAAAGCTTAAAGTGAAAACATAAAATGAAGATTTTTTTATTTTTAGTATTATTTTTTAAAAAAAATTAATTTATTTTTAATTTTTTATGCGAGAAGGAGACAAAAAAAAAGATGTGTTAATATTGTTGAGAAAGAAATTTTAATTTTTGTTTTTATTTGTTACCACACAGAGAGAGAGAATGTTTAATTTCAACTTTTATTTGTTTTTTTACTAGAGAGAGAGAGAGAGAGAAACAAAAATGGGTGGGAGTAAATATGCGTCGATTTTTGAGTATTTTTTTAATTTATAAGTTTTTAATGTTATAAATTGGATTGTAAGCCCAAATTATTGCAATAAAAATTTTGATTGGATTTAATTTTTTGAGGTTTTTTTGTAAGGTTTAAAATTTAGTGGATTTAATTTTTTTGTGGGCTAGAAATGTACCTAAAATTATAGGGCCTTCTAAAAATTTGGGGCCTAAAACCCATGCTTTTTTTTTCATACTGTTGGGCCGACCATGAAACAATGTTGCTGGTACAGATGCTGATGCTAATGCTGATGAAGTTGGTGCTAATGAAGTTTTTTTCCTCCAAACTTGGAAATAATGAACATTAACTTTGTTCAACTATACATTCAACATTTATAACAAACTTAAAGAAAATTAGTGTTGCACTTACAGGCTACTTCGCTCTTGCTCTTGCAATTGATAGTGCAGATGTGCTGACACCAGTTGATGGTGTAACTACTACTAACGTAATTAGTGTTAGTGTAACTACTGCTATATTTGGTGTAACTATTTGCCTTTTACACTTTCTTTTTTTACGGCCATTTTGACCACAATTTGAACACACAACAGGCTTATACTTCCTCATCAACTTGAAACATTTTGGTTGTTCATCAATCTCTCTCCTCCTAACTTTCTTAGGCCTATGGTATAAAACCAACAGATTCAACTTTAATTGCCTCCAATCTACCTTGAATATTAGGGCAAATACATCCTTTATAGTTCTTTAGGGAATCCCTTTGATGATGCAACCTTTCTATTAACCACAATCTTATTTTTTCTAGTTTTGTGATTATAGGTTTATCCCTAGCTTCAACAATGCAACCATTAAAACTCTCATATAAATTGTTAAGCAGCATATCACACTAGGGAAAGGAACTAATGGGATCTAGACCAATTAATTGGTGGTCTCTCAGACGACCAATTGTATGCTGTTGCATCAATTTCTTCCAGTTCATCCATAATCTTGTTAAAATTGTTACCTTGTTGCCTTTGAAAAAAAAATACAGAGACAAAGAAAGAAAAACCCTTACTATAATCCAGCGTATCTCCAGTGCACAAGTCATTGTTGTATTCTTTAACTATCCAAGACATTTTGCAGATCTTCAAGGTGAATAACTGCACATCTCCACTTCTACGATTGACAGTAATTTGGCTCATCTCTATTTTGTATGTTGAAACTGAAGTTTTCCTCAGGAAAAGCTCATCACATGGGGCTGTGATTTTACACTTAAGCCCATGCCCCTCCCACCTCTAACTCACGTGACTAAGTTTTAGATGGGAAAATGGATGGCTGTTTGTTCTAGGTGCACAATGATATAAATTTATATCTTTGGGGATGCAAATTAATATTTTTAAACTTTGAGAATATAAATTAAGATTTAAGAGATATTTCAGAGTGTAATTTAAGATTAACCCAATTTTTTATAATGGTAAAATAGTGAATCAACAGTTTTTCTTGCTAAAATACTTTTATGAATAATATAGATAAATGTAGACAGATATTGATAACCAATAATGACCAAATTCAAAATAATACATTTATAACAAATGAGAAAGGACTTATAAAGGACTCAAGAAAAGGTCGAAAGGGAACATAATAAACTCTCAAAATAGTGCGCAGATAAAAAATCAATATTTTATCTTTGATAAGGATTGACACTTTAACCTCTTGGTTGATAGAATCTCAAGTTGTATAATTAAGAATATCTCCGATAGCCTATCTATTCCCATTCATTGATGTATTTTAGAGAGTCAATCTCTAAAAATCGATCTCTAACAACCTTTCTATTTTGTACAAATTTAAATAAAGAGTCAATTTGACTCTTCACATTTGTAAAACCAAACACATTATGTACTCTATTATTATTAAATGAGAAAATGACACATTTATTTTTTTCACTAATTTAATCCCTTAGAATAGATAGCCTATTGAAGTTGTAAAAATAATTTTACTGTTGGATGTCATCAAATTTCGGCTTATCAACTCTATAATATGAATAATAATACTATTTAGACATAATTTTTTAACCTAATCATTCACAATCATTAGATTAGTTGTGAACCCCAACTATTTGTTGGAGCTCATTGTCATAATTATGATTAATTAAATCAATAAATTATATTTCAATAGTATTATTCTAATATGAAATACAATTTGGGCGGGGGGAAATATTATACTGATGTTAAAAAAAAGAAACTCGTCCCACCCCACAAGATATACCTCAAGCATGCACAATTTCTACCCCATCCCATCTCACACACGCCACCAAAGATCAAAATTTTATTTCGATGCATTGTCTTGATTACCAGAAAAATGAAAACATTTTGAAAATATTTCAAAAGCACTTCAAAAAATAGAATAAAAACAAAAATAGATTACAATTTTGTTTTGCAAATATTCCAACACATCGGTCGAAACATTCCAAAATATCAGTCAAAACACTTCGAAATATTCCGAAACAACTTGAAAAACATAGAAATTTTTATATTTAACCATTGACTGTTTCGGCTGTGTTTTGAAACAAAATTCTGAGCCTTGCAAGCCACTTGCATTTAAACATAGACTGACTCACTCAGACCAACTTCCGAAGATGTGCAATCATCCTGTTGACAAGCCTTACAAACTCCAATAAACTCAAGAAGTAAATGAAATGAAGTTAACTACACTGCAATTCTAGCTATATACTGGTTCTTTTTTTCTTTTGTGCTTTCTACAATGTAACTTTTGGTTAGATGGGATGTGTAGGATGGATAAAAATAGATGCTTGGAGTATATATATAGAGTGATGACAATACCATGTTTAAGATCTTATGACTGTGAGTGTAGGAAGAGATGGATTTTTTAGCCATAATGGGATGAATATAGTATGAGGGTGAAAATAGCAGCTCTGATATAGGAGATTTAACAGGGTGCGAATGGATATTTTGGAGTAAGAATTGCTCCACCCCCTAAAGATTGTGCCAATATGACACAAGATCTTTGTATTGCACATACAAATTGAACAGAAAAATGTAAGATTACAAGATTTTGTAGTAGTACATCACAGAAAAGATATTGAAAGTGTTCATTGGAGCAAAGAAATGGGGATCTAGCATCACCCAAGGAAAAAAGCCAAGAAAGCTATAGGATTATATGTTCTTTTTATTTTCTCTGTAAACCAAGCAAACAATAATGAGCAAAATCTTCAAAGAATCAAGTATCTAACTCACTCACACACATAGAGGGAGGGAGCAGTTATTGAATGCTAAACTAAATATGGAACAATAACCATAAGCTAACGAATAAGAATCAATTTAAATAGGCAATTATGCATAAAGGAGAACACTGGTGCAAGGAAAACTCAAACTTAAATTGTAAACGCGGTAGCTAAGTAAGATATAAGGCCAAGGAACAATAAAATTATAAGTCGTCAGCCCACAAACAAAGCTAGTTGACCACGGAGGAAGATATGTCTGTTATTACTGACTGGAAATCACAAAGTCAATATTTGAAAAAGTAGCTTTAGAGTGACATGGAAAAGACTACACCACGTATTTGATAGATAGCCAACTGAGGTTCATACAAAGAGTATAATAAGTAGTTCAAGAGTAACATGCAAGAGACTACACCAATACTTGAAGGCTAGCCAACTCAGGTTCATACAAAGAGTATAAGTAGTTCAAGAGTAACATGCAAGAGACTACCCCAATATTTGAAGGCTAGCCAACTCAGGTTCATACAAGGAGAGTATCTCATAAAATCTCTTAAAATGGTATAAACCAATCACTGCACTAAAACAGCATTTCTAGAAAATATAAATTCCAAATTGAGGACAGAAATTCACTGAAGATGAACTAAGAAGAACGAGAAGAAGAGAGTTTTAGGCATTCACTCTGACATCTTCTAAGGCAGATGTCATTCCAGTTGGGAACTTGGTGCTGATTAACGCACACTGTACGAGCACAGGCATCAGAGCAAGCATCAAGCTCCGATACACCACAAACAGTGACACAAGTATCAGGAATTGGGTCCTTAGAGAATGCTCCTACCTTTTTAAGCATTCTCTTTGACGTGCAAACCCTCTCGCAGACAAAAATATCATCAGTACTCTTCTCTCTTCCCCGAGCACTCTTAATTCTTTGCTCTTCGGCATGCCTTCGCTTTACTCTAAAAGCTTGTCCTGCAATAACGGCCGGAATAGCAGCCCCCAAGAGGGACCACCAAACTTCGACCATTGTTGTGTCTACAATGAAGCTATTCCCCTTCCTCTTCTTCTTTTGCACTCTCTAAATTTAAAACGAAAGAAACAAAATTTAGTTTTTCACTTGTTCTCCATCAGAGAACTGGATAAAATTTTCAAAACTAACAAAATTAAAATATTATCATTTATAAAAAATATTGGTCATGGAGCCAACAAATTAAGATATATATCTTACAAGACTAAAACAATAATAAAACTGAAAAATACATGATACATTCCATATACACGAGAAGTTCAAACTTTACCAGTGTATAGCATGTTCACATGTCATGTTTGTTCAGAAGGGAAAAAAAATAACGAAAAAAGGGTTTGCATGATTGCAATGTTTGTAATTGGTATTCCAAGATGATTTGTGTGACACAAGAAGAACAAGGCCAATGTCTTCAATATCTACAAGAAGTATTATTTCCCCATGTTTGGGACAATTATTAATATCTGTTGTTCTAACAGCACAATAACATGCGCAGATGACAATTCCACCCTCGGTCAGTGAAAAAACTATCTTTCACTTAATCCTTGAGAGACCAATTCTGCATAATGACTTTGGCAGTTCCTTGCAAACCATAATTAACAACCCTACAGTCTCAACACATGTCAATTTTCGTTTTCCAATCTCAATCAAACAAGCAAAAATAAAAAATCAACCTTTCTTTATCCAATTCGACAAAGTGTAAAATGCACCTGTTTCTCATGGAACCAGACACTTTCGAACTTTAAGAAACCATCATTACAAAAAACAAATCTTACAAGAATCCAACAAAATGAAGCTAGGAATTATATAAAGGTAGTCAATTTCCAGCAGCCAACGGCCATGGTGATAAATAAGCCCATAGGGGATCAATGCATTGATGATCAAAATTTTAGCGACCTAATTCATGCTTTCCTAACTAGAGATCAGAGATAAAGAAGAAAAAAGAAAAGCTACCTTGAATAGATAAGGTAATGGCAACAAATAAGGGCAACAATCAAAGAATTCCTCAAGGAAGCTCTCTATCACCCGTACTCATGAATGTCTTCTTACACCAATTCGATCTGAGCCCTGGACAAAAAATTGAACTAGAAACCAGCCATTTTTTCACAAATTGTACCAGCCAATAATACAAACAATAATCCCCCTTATGTGAGAGAATGAACAAAGGAATGTACATATATACATATGCATTAAGTGGTTTATGCCAAAAGAACAAGTAAGAACTTAGCCACAACAATTGAGCATTACATAGCAGGATACACATTGAAATCAACAAAAGCAAACCCAGCAAAAATGTAATTACGTATATCATCAAATTAAGAAGCCTGAGAACAGAATCGAATGATGGGTCAAATCCAATCAAGCAAATAATTAATTCTAGCAGAATATAATTGTAAAAGATTGAACTACAGCGAAAAAAAATAATTAACAAAAAAAGAAACAGAAACCCATCACTTTAGTTGTTGCCGTAAGTGAATAGTGAAGGTTAAGCTTCGAAAGAATCAACCATGAAATTACGATTGAGAGAGAGAGAAAGAACACTTACCCGTGCCAGGGACGTCCCGATCCAGGTAGGGTGAGTGGCAAATGTGAGGGGGTTTAGGGGATCGGAGCGAAAACGGGTTTGGTGCGAGCGGGGGTTTCAGGCGGCGAATTTTGTTTTTTGGATAATTCGAGGCGACTTTTCACCCGGGCGGGTTGGACGGGTTCCAGGTTTAATTCAAGCCCAACCTGAGTTTTAAAACTTTCAATCTTAATTCAACTCAAGTTCGACTTTTAACCTGAAGTACGTAACTGGAATATTGTCCAAGTTAATTTCCGGCTTAATTGAATTCAGATTGATTCAAATTAACTAATTTGGACTCAAATTGGGTTCATAGTTCGTGTTGAAATCGGATTTAATTTTGGGCTCGGTTTCAGCTGAGAGATAATAGCTCGACCAACATAAATTCAACAAAAATTTAAAATACATTTAAATTTTTTGAGTGTATATATATATTTATTTGAATTTTTGATTGAACCCAAATTATAAATTCGAATTAAATCCGATTTTAATAATTTGAGTTAAATTCGAGTTGAACCCATGAAACCGAAGTCTTTAACTCAAGTAGGGTTCAAATTCAATTTAAATTGAAAATTTTCGACCCAAATCCAATCCAAAATTTTAAAATTTCAACACAAACCCTATTTTGTTCAGGTTGAATTTAGATTAACGTAGATTGTTGCGAATTTGTTAAGACAATTTACCAACTTGACATAAAATTAAAAATTAACGAATTTAAATGGAGTCTTAATGAATTTAAATAATAAATAGTTAGATCTGTCACACCCTAACTTAGAGGTAGGACATATTGTTTACTCTAATAGAGTGCATAAATTTAATAAACTCGTAGTACAAGCACCGGGTAAGTGCATCAACACATAGAAAAAATCTACGCATAATAAAAAAAATCCACTCAAGTCTATAGCTTCAGCTTTAACATTTTTCATAATAAAAAAAAATGATAGCAAAGTACACATAATACTGGTTAAAAAAAAAAGAAAGTACACATAATAATTAATACAAACAAAATTCAAGAGTCCAATTTTCCTCTTACCATGTAGACTCCACAGTTGACATCTCTCTTTGCTCAATTACCTAAAAACAGAAACTATTGGAAAGTGAACACAACACGTTCGGTGAATTTCCACATTTATCTAATAAACAACAATGAAAATATACTCTACATGTCAACATCAACTCAACATAATAAATGAATAATCATCATAAAAGTCATCAAAAATGAATATATATATCACTAAAGCTATATATCTATTTTTAAAGTTATACCCATCACTAAGACTATATCCGCTATTAAAACTATATATATATATATATACCTTTGAGGCTATATTTGCCACTAAAACTATACATCTGTCTTTTAAGACTATATCCGTTACTAAGGTTATTTAGCATATTCACAATACTATCACAAAGCCAATAACTCACACAACATACATCTTATTAGATAGGCATACTTTTGCCATTATCAATTGTATGAAATAGCACACTCACCTCAAATTCAACTTTAACTCAAATGTAGTCTCTCGACGAGACTTTAGGTGTATCCAACATTAGTTAGCGTTGATTGAATGTTAATTTGAAATTCAATCAAAAAAATTATGTTAGTTTGATAAATTAAATGTTAAATTGATAAAATTAAATATTAATTTTGTGTTAATTTAATGAAAATTGAATATTGATTTAGTGTTAATTTTATAAAATTAAATATCAATGTGATGAGATTGAATAATAGTTTGATGAAACAAAATGATAATTTTATAAAATTTAAAATCAATTTTACGTTAATTTGGTAAAAAATTGTACTAATTTGATAAAATTTAATATTAATTTGATAAAATTATTTCCTTATTGGTTTTAATTAGATCCAATTTGATAGTTAATTTGATGAAGTTTAATGTGGTTTTAATAAAATTGAATTTTAATCGTATGAAATTGAATATATATTTGATATTAATTCAATAAAATTGAATATTAATAGGATGAATTAAATGTTAATTTGACAAAATTTAATGTTAATTTGATAAAATTTAATTTAATATATATAATATTTTTTTTAAAATCCAAGGTGGACCCGTGCCCCCGGTCTCCTCTTGGCTCCGTCACTGATGCCCTCTACAGGTAAAATTCACATGTATTTTTCAACAATGGGATAAAAAATTTGATTTAGTGGGCTGATTTAAATTATGCATAGAATGAAAATTTTTTAAAACTTCCACTCAAATTTTTCATGCTTATTAAATATATATATATATATATATATATATATATATATATATATATATATATATATATATTTTTTTTTATTTTATTTCTATCATTTTTTTCTTTCTAATCAAAAGACGCTAAAGCCCTGAAATCTTCTCGCATATTTCATATTGCTTCATTTTGACGTTTGATTTTTCCTATAAGTCATGGAATTTTCCAACTTTTCCTATGCAACGACATTAACAGACATGACAAAGAAGGCGGAGTAGATGGTGATAGGCGTCGCGAAAGACAACTTGACAAAGATGATGGAGAAGATGGTGATAGACGTCACGAAAGACAACAATGACAACATAATATGGAAGGGTGAACTGCGGCAAAGAGCAGCAACAATACCGATGGAGCACCCCTGACTGGCGACGACTTCAATGCTACAAGGAGGAAGACTACTGACAAGGCAGTGAACATTGTTGATGAACATCCATTAACTGCAGTCATGACTGGCAACTTCTTTGATGCAACAAGGAAGATTACTGAGAAGACAGTGAACATTCACGTCGTGGTCCGAGGAAGACGCGTCAATTATCAGGTTTTGACTAGATATTTCCCATATTGACGGTAATAACTATAATCAAATTTTGGAATCACAATTTAATTAGAAATATTCTATTTTTTTTTTCTGTCTAGAATGATTGGTATTTCTATTTCGGATCTAATTTGTATGATATTATCTATTTTTTGTTAGACTCATACTGTTTTAAAACACATTATACAATGAAAATAAAGAATGCTCACTTGGCATATAACGGTTCGCTTTTGATCTGGAACTGTTGATCTCTTGAGGATGTTACAGTTCTCAGGTGTTGACATGGGGGCTGCTGAGGATAGAGCGTGGGAGGTGGGGTGAGATTGCGCTGAGCAGGAATGGGAGGTAGTACATTGTACTTGTAAGGGTCACCAACTAAACTGCAATTAGCAGGAAAAAAAAACCAGTAAGAAGCACACCTAGTATAGAAACCAATCAAAAGCAGTATAAAAGAAAAGAATAAATGCAACTATTATTCGCGATCCATTACAAATATGACGAACAGAAAACATATGTCCCAAACTGAAGCATGAGATCAGACCAAGTAACCTGACAAATCAGGTTGCAACACATGTTTTGTGAAAAAAATTCTAATAACAGCAAACAAAAAATGGCATTAGCTTTCATGGGCACATATATGCAAAATCAGAGACCACAGTGATTAATAAGAGTCTACGCTAAGCATTTGATATCATAATAGAAAAAAGCCAATCCATTCTAATCAACTCTAATACATGAAATTTATCATACAATTTTTTTTTTAATTGATATAGTGAAATCACATCCCCTATATGCAGCCCTCCATAGCAATTCACTGCAGAAGATCATCAATACTTCAAATATCAAGTGCCTTAAATTTCATGGTCAACCATTCACCATTTCACTGAAACAAATTCTGCAGCAAAGTTACTCAACTCAACTCAACTCGGAGCCTTGCCTCAACATTTTTGGGTCTGAATCCTGCCTCGTCATTGTGCTTGCAACAAACACATCAATGATCAAAATGATGACCAGGGCTCAAGAACCCCGGTGAGAATCTCTGGCTTAGACAGCTTGAGCTCCATAATAGTACCACGAGAAACTCAGTGGATTTCTAATTTGTCAAGGAAAGGGAAAGAAAAAAGATAGTACCATTTGCACAGCACTTAAGTCTTCCAATTCTTCCCCTTCCCCTGCTTCTATTCAATGCACAAGCACAATGGAGCAAAATAAACTTTTCCTAGACGGTGTACCATGAATACACATAATTTTGATGCAAGAGTCGAGTTTTGTTGCAAGTCCTGCATCGTATTTTTCCTTCTATGATTTTCCCAATTTAATTCATCCAACAGTATGCAACACTACTACGAAGGTGTGAGGACATGAAATGGATGTACGCACCAGAGTATGAATTTTATTCAAAGAGAAACTAAATTTAGTTTTTCCTCCTCCTTTATGAAATATAGAAAGCTCCAAAGTATACAAATTAATCACAAGACAAGACACACGTGCTAATAATCATGACGATAATGAGTGAAGTACTATGCTGCCTTTCCATGCTCAATTAAAGCTGCTCAGAAGACAACAAAATAAAATTTAATTTATTACATTCATCATTACAACTCTAAATAGTTTTGCGATTCCAAATATCTTAATTCTTCCTCTACCTTCTCAGAAACAATAAGGAGCACTCATAAGTTCTATGCCCACAGGCACAGATGAGTGTGTCCACAATCAAATTTGATTCCGATGAAACATACTTTTCTTACACCATCAATGTCATTATACGGAACTCATATACTGACAAATCTATAGAAAGCTTACAAGCCTCTACCAGTCTTCCACCACAGTTACCTACCATACATCAAGGGTATCTTTATTCCTTTCCTCTTCTCCTTTTCTTTCTCTTCCTTTTTCTTTTTCTAATGGCAGACGTGGGTATCATTGCCACACATCAAGTTGAACAAAGCTTAAAAGATGTCCCATCTGAATAGCACTCTAAATTTTAGTTCTACAATAGAACAATCTTGGGAAGAAAAGGTTAATGGGCCAAATAACTACTGATATTTAATGGGCCAAATAACTACTGATATTGTACCAAAGCATGGGGCATGCATTAACAAAACAGACATGTAATATATCTAAAGCAGCGGTTGGCATGTCAAAAAATGGACAGCACAAGAAATCAAAATGAGGTGCTGGTAATAAGCTCAGTAATTTGATCTTGGCATACTATACGCTCTGTTACTCATACATGACAGTTGACTGACTATGACTGAAGTAACATTCAGCAATATCAATCTCTGAATTGTGAGCAGGTCATACCTTCTACTTTTGTATGAATGATCTTCATCACTCGAAATTTCCCCTGAATGCTGCAATGGTCTGTGGACTGGAGTAGATCATGGGTTTACAGTAGTCAGTCATCCGAAAAGGACCTCCTCCTGATCAACTGGGAAAGGGGGTCCTACCAAATTTAGATAATGCTCCCCTGCAAAAAATTAAAGTCTCCAGGAAATAAAGAAGGATAAGAGTACAGACCATATGAAAAAACTTCATTACAGCTTCTTTGTCATATCGTGCTTCTTTGGCTTCCTATACATGTTCAAGTACAGATTTTGCATAAGTAACAAATGTAAGTGAAACAACAATAGTGTCTGTAAATGAATAACGATCTAAATAGTGACTTCCAAATGATGAATAATGAAATGAGGTCAATTACAATGTATTTCAGAGCAGTCCACTAACACTTATCGGATTTCTATGTTTCCGAAACTACACAAACAAGAAATAAGCCATATACGTTTATCCATTCAAAAGCTTGAAGACAGAATCTTACCGCTAAAAGGCCTCCCTCCACTGCCAGGAAAACTCTGTCATTGGAAGTTCCTCACTAGAAGGAAGCAAACCTTGCTTCTCAACCCACTGGAAAGCAGCATCCACATTCAGAATCTTATTATTGTCTTCTTGAACCAACAATAAAAAGATGATCAAACATGTACGAGTTAGTATAGTGAAGCATTACACCAGATTTTTAGGTATATAAATACACATATATATTGTACATCACGAGTCAGATTTTAATACAATTCAGTTGCGGACATTTGGTCAATTGCTTGCATCAGGTCATATTTTTAGCAATCAGAAAGAAGCCACCGCTAAAGATAAAGACCAAATAGAATTCCGTTCGGACACAGGGAATACAAAATTTATAGAGCATTGGTAAAATAAAAAACAAATATTACACTCTTAAGTTGCATTAAAAACATCACGAGGGGCAGAAACCCCTAAAACTATTTAACACTTGGAAATAATACCAAAAGTACCACCACAAAACTAACCACTTTAGTTACTAAAGCATCACAGCATTTACCCCTTAATCCCATACCCCATTTTACCATTTACTCGTCCATCCCGTCATCCTCATCCATTTCCTCAATCTTCATCCTCTTCACTGTCTTGGCAGCATCACTCTGAAGCCCAATTGGGAGATGAATTAATATATCCGACTTTTGTCCAGAGACAGCATTCACAAGCCCACCATTCTTCTCGATTTGATATGTCAACTCTTTTCCTTTGGAGTTGGCATCTATATAAACAGTTGAATTTTCATCAATCTCCTCTTTCACGAGCATTTTTGAGAACTCAGTCACAACCTTTTTCTCCAGCCATCTTCTAATAGGTCGCGCACCGTAAACCTGAAAGCAAACATCAAAACAGTTGGCTCTCATTCAATATACTTGTACACCATGACAGCTCTAGATACACACAGAATAATACTAACCGGGTCATAACTCTGGGCTAATATGACATCCAATGCTGCTTCAGTCACACCTAAAGCGATACCCCTCTGTGCCAAGCGGGTTGCTACATCCTTCAACTGAAGCCTAGCTACCTTCCTCAATTGCTCATGAGACAGAGGGTCAAAAACCACAACCTCATCAAGCCGATTTAGCAACTCAGGCTTGAAGTGCTTCCTAACCTCTTGCATCACCCTATCGCGAGCACTCTCCATTGTACACTTGCCCATTAGTCCTGATAAGAGATACTCAGCTCCAAGGTTTGAAGTCATAATGATGACTGTGTTGGTGAAGTCAACTGTACGGCCTTGGCCATCTGTCAATCTTCCATCATCCAAGACTTGAAGAAGGGTGTTGAACACAGCGGGGTGTGCTTTCTCTACTTCATCAAAAAGTATGACACTATAGGGCCGCCTCCTAACAGCTTCTGTAAGTTGCCCACCTTCCTCATGTCCAACATAGCTGAAAATCATTTGAGAACTCACTTAGCAATCACCATAATAAGCATCTTACATTGTAATAAAGAGAGAACTTCACAATGAACTCTACTCACCCGGGTGGAGCCCCGATCAAACGGGCAACTGAATGTTGCTCCATATACTCAGACATGTCGATCCTAATCATCAGTTTGTCATTATCAAAAAGCTGCTCCGCAAGAGCCTTAGCAAGCTCAGTTTTTCCAACACCAGTTGGACCCAAGAAAAGGAATGAACCAGTAGGCTGCTGTTCCCTTCCCAAACCAGCTCTTGACCTCAAAACAGCCTCTGCGACAGCACTAACTGCTTGATCTTGTCCCACAACTCTTTCATGCAACCGCTCCGCAAGACCAATTAGCCTGTCTTTCTCATTCTGGCCAAGCCTTGTAACAGGGATTCCGGTCCAACGACTTACAACTTCTGCAATTTGTTCAGGTCCAACAGTCTCTGTTAACATCGCATTCTCGTCTGAGCTTCCTTCGAGCTTTGCTATAGCAGCCTCCACTTCTTGAATGGCTCCAAATCTCAGGTCTGCAGCTCTAGCTAGATCATACCTCCTTTCAGCCTCCTGTGCAGCAACTATGAGCTCGTCCCTCTTCTTTTTGAGCCTGCGAAGCTCATCGGTTCTTTCCTTCTCTTTTCTATACTTCATGGTTAAAGGCTGGAGCTTATCCCTCAAGTCATCTAGCTCTTTTTTCACCTAAAACATTTGTCAAATTTTTGGTCCAGAATGAAAAGATAGAATTAGCATATTGGAAAATGACCATTACAACATATCTCAAAACCAAATTATGACAGCATACTCACTTCAACTAACCGAGCTTTGCTCGCTTTGTCTTTCTCCTTCTCGAGCGCATGGAGTTCGACTTCTAACTGAATCTTCTTCCTTTCAAGATTATCGATTTCTTCAGGCTGACTATCAAGCTGAACCCTCACGTTTGCACAGGCCTCATCAACTAGATCAATTGCTTTGTCCGGCAAATGACGCCCTGAAAACAGAGCATTGAACATTCAAAAACTCTGACCCAAAAAATAAAAAGCATTCACAAACAATAATGGAGACTCAATTTTAATCTAGATCGAAGCAATATGTTACAAATGAGCCCATACTTTACACACAAGGAATTTCACTAAATACCTGTGATGTATCGAGCTGACAACTGGGCAGCAACCACAAGAGCTCGATCCTGAATTCGAACACCATGGTGTCCTTCATACTTCTCTTTGAGCCCTCGAAGAATGTTGATTGTGTCAGGAACACTGGGTTCAGCCACATAAACCTGCTGGAAACGCCTCTCAAATGCCGCATCTTTTTCCACATATTTCCTATACTCCTCCAAAGTCGTTGCGCCAATACATCGCAATTGGCCTCTAGCAAGCATTGGCTTGAAGAGGTTGGCTGCATCCATAGAACCCTCAGTCCGACCAGCACCAAGAACAAGGTGAATTTCATCAATAAACAAGATAACTTTTCCTTCTGCCTCTTCAACTTCCTTCAGCACAGCTTTCAACCTCTCCTCAAATTCTCCTCTATACTTGGCTCCAGCAATGAGTGCCCCCATATCCAATGCTATAATTCTCACATCGTCAAGATTACTAGGGACATCACCACTAACAATCCTCTGAGCTAGTCCTTCAACCACTGCAGTTTTACCCACACCAGGCTCTCCAATAAGTACAGGATTGTTTTTAGTCCTTCTGGAAAGAATCCTGATAACCCTTCGAATTTCTTCGTCCCTACCGATAACCGGGTCAAGTTTTCCAGCCTGCTCTACAAGGTCTCGACCATAGGTCTTGAGAGCCTGGAAATTAGTGTCCCCAGAAGCACTTTCTATCTTCCTTCCTTCCTTCCCACGAAGCTTCTCAACCTCTGATTTCACTCTTGCTGGACTAACTCCAGCTTCTTTAAGTAGGCTCACGATTTGGGAATCTTCCAGTAAGCCCAAAATCAGCTGATCAATAGCCAAATGCGAGTCACCACGGTCTTTCTGCAGGGATTGGGCTCGTCTAATCACCTTAACAAGTGAAGTGCTTGCTGGGATTTCATCAGGAGAAGGCGTTTGCGATGGGAGTTTCCTTAATGCTTGATTGAAGACCCTTTCAACTGAATTTGAAGCTTCTTCACTGCCACTTGCAGAGACAATTGCTTGCCTAAAAAGACCATTAGTGTCGGAGATCAAAGCTGCGGCCAAATGAAGCGGTGTAAATTGTGCATGCCCGGCATTCATTGCCTGCTCATGTGCCCCAGCAATGGTCTCATTAGTCTTGTGGGTGAACTTGTCAGGATTCATGACGACTATGATAAAACCTACAACACTGCAACAATAATTTTGTGATTAACTCATAGACTCCGAGAAAAACTGTAATTAATAAGAAAATTAACAAAGCAACAGCAAACCCAATTCAATTTTTGTTTATTTTTTTTGCTCCTACAGTTCAGCAAAACCCATTATCAACCATGAGTATTTCTAACCACTAAAAGTGACCGTAAACAACTATGAATTTGTTATAGGCTCCGAAATTCATAGAACAGAAAAATAACACCATAAACCAGACCCAATTCAACTCAAATCATACTCAATTACCAAAATTCAAAATGAATGAAATTAACATTGAAGAATAAAAGTTTGATCCAACGGTGTAACAAAAACCACTATCAGCAATAACAATTGTTAACCACTACAATGTGATCAAAACAACAACAATCAAAAATGAAAATTAATAACCCACAAAACTATAATGAATAGAGAAACCAATAAACCTTCGCTTGTCCAGTTTTGTTGCTCATATTAATGAACAAGAAAAAATAAAAGAACTATCCAAGCCCATCTATCTGACAAACAAACAGAATCAAATCTACATTACAAAAAGAGGGAATCTCGACAAGGAAAGGCGTGGAACTCTAAAGAGACCACCCGTTATGATCAAAAAGTACAAAATAACCATAAAAACCGTGAAAAGAGAACCGAGATCAGATATATAAGTATATAACTCGTACATATATATATATATATATATATATATATATATAGAGAGAGAGAGAGAGAGAGAGAGAGAGAGATTGAAGCACCCAGACTATGTTTATTTACTAACCTTACGGAAGGCGCCTGATTTTTTGTGTTTGAACAATGGCTTGTTCGATTTTTGGAAAATCAGTACTTGTGCTTTTTTGTTTGTGTTTGTGTCTGATGTTTGCAGAAATGAAGCTTTGCAGAAACGAAGAATGAAAAGAGAGAGATTTATCAATACTGATGTGAAGAAGAGCGAAGGGTGAGAGGTCAATTTGTTAAGCAAAGAGAAACCTCTGGAATTTGGAAGGTTAGCCTAGAAACTACTACACTCTTCCTAACCCAACCCAACCCCAATAAACACGGTGGGTCCGGCTCGAGAAACCTCTAGAGTTGAAAGGTGGGCCCGTCCAAGCCACTGAGTTTTTTCCCAAAATGATTGTACTTTGCATAAAGAATTTTCAAAATGAATACTCTTTTAAAATTAGTTTTCTTTTTAGTGCTTTTCCTTGTCACATGTCTAGTTATGGTGCCATGCTGACTTCTAAATTTGGATTACTCTACTGTACTTTAAAAAAAAAAAAAAAAAACCAATCTCAACTTATACCCTAAAAAATTATTTAAATATCAATTTATACCTCAAAGTTTAAAAATATTGATTTACACCCTAAGACATATAAATATATATCAATATGCACCTGAGACTAACAATCATCTATTCTGTTGTTAAAAACATTTGGGTTAATTATAAATCGCACCCCTCAAAATTTAAATATTTCACATTTATGACTTAAAAAAAATTTCATCAATTAATGTTTATTAAATAACTCTCAATTATATCGTATCATAATATTTTTGTGTCGTGTTAGAGTCAATAAAAAAATATTTTTGTATAAAGTCAATTGCATTGTGTCTTGTATTTCATATTTATGATAATTCATATAATACTAATTAATATTTTTAAAAATAAAAGCATACTAATTTTTTGTTTATAATACTTGTTAAATAACTATTTTTTGTCTACAGTTGTTTTAGCCGTATGTAACTTTAATTTGATCGGACAATCAAAAGATTTGTGTCTAACTGTAGACAGTAAATAGTTATTTAATGAGTATTGTAGGAAAAAATAAATATTTTCTATATTTTTTTAATTTTGAATTTTTTTTATTGACTCGAACACGACACAAAGATGTTATGATACAATACAATTGAGAACTATTTAATGAACATTAATTGATGGAATTCTTTTTGAATCATAAATATAAAATATTTAAACTTGGAGTGTATAATTTATAATTAATTCAAACTTTTTTAACCGAAAAAATGACAGAGTTAGTCTCAAGTGTATATTGATATAAATTTATATTTTTTAGGGTGTAAATTAATATTTTTAAACTTTGAAAGTGTAACTTGAGATTTGAGTGATCTTTTGAGACGTAAGTTGAGATTAGCCCCCAAAAAAAATTGATAGGTAAGTCATTTATAATTTTGAAAATATTTTTTTTAATTGTGGTAACTTTTTTTTATCGTTTTCATGATACATGCGATCAATCTATTTTTGTGAATATTTTTGTCACTTTTGTGATAAATTTTTTTTACAACTTTTTGTGATATATGCGATCGATTCTTAGCAAAAAAGTTATAAATTACTAATAAAAATTATAAAAACATTCATTAAAATTGTAAAGTTTAAAGGTAAGATACCGTAGTCTGCTTCTCTTAATTTAAACCTTTTTTGAACTAAGACAATGAATGTTAAAATTATATTAAATGCTGTAAAGTCTACACCATGTTAAGAGATGATTTCACTGCCCTTGCCCACTGTGGGAAGATGCAAACGCAAGTAGGAGACCAAGAAGAGAAGGGAGAGAATGAAGAGTCAGAATGAGAGGAGTTGTTTGAACATCACTTAAGGCTTAAAATTGAATATTTTAATCACTTAATAAATTAAACTCGTTTGATAACCTAAAATTTATACTACTTAATATTTTAAACTTTTTTTAAAAATAGGTTAAAATTTTAAGTAACAAGTCACTTAATGTTGAAAATATTAGTTAGTAAGGAGTTTATTAATTTCTCATAATTGACAAATATACCCTCACCACCATTGTGTCATCGCCTCTACCACCACCACCACCATTGTACCACCGCCACTATTATAGTGCCACCGTCACCACTACTATTGTGTCATCACCACCACCACTAGCACTACCATTGCTGTTACCACCTCCACCACCACCACCATTGTGTCTCCACTACCATTATGTCACCGCCACTACCACCATTGCGTCATCGCTATCACTACTATCACTGTCGTCGCCGCCACCACCATTGTGTCGCCACCACCATCACTACCATTACCATTGCCACCATCGCCACCACCATTATAGTGTTTTTGCCACCACTATCATTGTGCCACCGCCACCACCACCATTATCATTGTCGTCACTACCACCACTACCATTGTCAGCACCACCGCCATCACCATTGTCGTTACCACCTCCACCACCATCACCATCACTATCATTGTATTGTTGTTACCGTCACAACCATTATGTCACCACCGCCACCACCATTGTGCCATTACTATCACCACCACCACCATTGTCATGACCTTCATTTCCACCACCACTACATCATCACCATTATTATATCGTCGTCGCCACCACCACCATCACTGTTGTCACCACTCTCATTGTGCCACATTATGTCACCACCACCACCATTATGATGGTGGTGATAGGAATAAGGCAATTGTGGAGATATGGTTAAAGAAAAGGGTAAAATTAGAATAATAATAATTTTCAGACTTCAACTCCTTATATTTGTCAAAAAATTTAATTAAATTCAATACTTAAATTTCAGTTGATACCAAACAGTCAGCAAATTAAAAAATTCAATATTCAGCACTTAAAATTTAGCATTCAGGTTCAGCGTTCATCTTTCAATTTTATCAAACACTACTTAAATTAAGTTGAGCATTTTAATATTATTACTAATACACTACGTGTGTTGTACGTGAATAATTGTCGTATATAAAATATTCATAAAAAGTATTATGTATATGTAGTTTATCCGATTTTGGAGGGGTGTTTAAGAGAGAAAGGAAGGAAGAGAGAGAAAAGATAAAAGATTTTCAAACTGGATATTGAGAGAGAAGCTAAAAGGTTTTTCAACTAGTCTGTATGACAGTCAGAGGATTTTTGTTCCATTTTTTGAGAGACAGTACTTGGTCCAAAATAAGGTTAAAAGAAGAAAATTAAGTGATATAAATGATATCACTGTCTACTTAGTTTTTTTAACGGCGGATAATCATTTACTAGATGATAGGAAGAGGTGGGAAAGTTAATTACTATGTTATACATCATAGTTAATACATAGTGGAAGGGTTATGACTCCTTGTCTACCTAATTTTCTTAATTGTGAATAATAATTAATATCAATGTACATATTATTCTGATTTTTTTTATGTGATTTGTTTATATAATTGTGATTTATAGTTATTTTATTCTATAATTCTTCATTGAAATCTATGATTTTTGGTCTCTAAAATATTCAATTCTTGTTTAAATGGTTCGTAATTAGACAATCCATTAAATTTTTTAACAGAAGTAATCATGTGTCATTCCGTCAGACAGCATCAAGCGATCAACACATGATCATTTCTATCCAAAATTTAACAGGATGTCTGTGTATTTATTATTTAAACATTAACTAAATACTTTAGAAAATAAATTGACAAAATTGATACAATAAAAATCAAACTCTCAAAACATGAATATTTCACGGATTAAAAGTGTTGTTAACCCTAAATTACAATACACTATTATATAATATATATTTTAAAAGAATATTAAAATTCTAAAATTTAAGTTTTATTTAAAAATACACTTTAATTTTTGTATATATAAACTCTTAATAAAACATGAAAAGTTTACAGTAATTGAATAATTATGTTGATTTAACATAAATTATTTTTAAAAAATACGTAAAAGATTATTTTTTATCTAAAAAATAAAATGTTTGAAATTTTGGATTAAAAAAATACACAAATGTAAGCATAATGTTATATTTATATTTGAAATGAGTAATATTATATTGATAAAGGTTTTGAAGATTTTTTGAACGTTTTATTGAAAATTATAGTGACGAATATATATATACTAATAAAAGTACCTTAATGTGAAAAACTTTTAAATCTCTATTTTACCCTTACAAATAATTGTAAAGTCCACATTTCACAATTAAATATCTAAATTATCATCATTTTATTTTATATAAATTCAAATTTTGAAATTATCTATAATATTTCTTATTTAATTATTTATTCACTACTAATAAAAGTAGTTTAAGATGAAAAAATTTTGAAACTTTATTTTATTTTTATAAATAATTGTAAAGACCACTCTATTCTTTTACAATTAAATATCTAAATTACTATGAAATCTTTTTATATGTATTCAAATCTCTAAAATATCTATAACATTTCTTTTAATTATTTATTCTCTATGTATAAATATCAGTTTCTATAAAACTTTTTGATTGACTATATTACGCTTAAAAAAATATGCATCATTATATTTTTAATAAAGTATTCAAAAAACCTTCAAAAACTCCATCAATCTAATATTACTCATATTATATGCAAAAATAACATTATGCCTACATATGTGTATTTTTTTTTAATCTAAAAGTTTAACCTTTTCATTTTGAAGATAAAAAATAATTGTGTATATAGTTTTTTAAAATCAATTTATGTTACACTAATATAATTTTTCAGTCACAATAAACTTTTTAAATTGTACTAAGATTTTACGTAAAAAAAAATATTTTAGTGTATTTTTAAGTAAAACTTAAATTTTTTAGAATTTTAATATGCTTGACAATATATATTATAGAGTAGTATATTAAGTCTTATCCCAATTGATCTAACTAATTCTTAATTACGGTAAGGTATCAATGTGATTAATATATTAACAATTAAATTTATTTTATTCAAAGAATTATAAGTAGAATCCTAATCAAGTGAATTTCAAGAAATTTAATTTCTCAAACATCAATAAAAAAATCAATCTCAATTAGATAATTTTTAAAAAATAGAACTTTAACTATATCTTTTTTTAGTATAGTTGAAAAAGAGAATTTTGGGAACATATAAAGATTTATAATCTTTTTTTAATAATTTTTGTTTACGAAAACTATCACATGCAACGCACGTGGTGCATTACTAGTATTTTTTAAAAGTAACATAACCAATTAAAAAGTTTCATAACATAACCAATTAAAAAGTTTCATAAATACTAATATTTATGCATAGTAAATAAAGAATTAAAAGAGATGTTAGGGATAATTTGAAGATTTACACACACAAGTATATGATGATAATTTAAATATTCAACTATGGAAGAATAACGTGGTATTTAAAATTCTTTATAAGAGTAAAATAGTGAATTAAAAAAAATTTATGCTAAAACAAAAGTTTCATTCTTTATTAGTTGTATAAATGAAAAAAAATACATATATATAGGCATAATATTATCTTTATATTTGAAAAGAGTAATGAAATATTAAAAGAGTTTTTGAACACTTTATTGAGAACTATAATAATGCATATATTTTTTAATGGTAATATAGTCAATTAAAATTTTTCATAAATATCAATATTTATATAAAGATAATAGAGAATTAAATGAGATGTTAGAGGGCAATTTGAAAATTTAAATATATAAGGATGTAATTATAATTTTGATATTTGGCTATGAAAAGCTAGTATGGTATTTAAAAATTTTTATGAGGGTAAAATAGTAAATCAAAATTTTTTCACTTAAGGTACTTTTATTAGTAGTATAAATATAAATATATAATTTATTGTACTAGTGTGTAATATTATATATAATTTAATGTACTAATTTATAATGTACACACATGAATCTTTATATATAATGTATTGTATATATATATGTATAACATTATTACATCCATGTACATGAATATTATCTAATACATGAATCATATTAATTAGATACATATATAAGTCAGATATATGTATATTATGTATGCATGAATGAGTTGTATACATGAACTCTTATAAGAGCTTATAAATAGGATTTTTAAGTTAAGTATTTGAACACTGATGTGACATCATACAACACATTATAACATTTCATAACATACTACAGACACTTGAGAGTTTAGGGCAAAGAATGGTGTTTTCATTGTAAAATTTTTGATTTAATCACTTATGCAGAATTGGTTAGAGTCATACAACAAAACTAGCAGACTTTTGTATCCTGGAGGGGCCAAGTCTTATGAGAATGTCTATTGTATTGGATTAGAGATTTTCTATCCGCAAAGAGCTTGAATCTCCTTAAAGAAGGCGAATACATACATCTCAACCTAAGTTGTTTCGTATCAAAATTTTATTATTTTATACTTTGCTTCTCAATGAAAGTAATATCACCAATAATTTTAAGGAGATTCAAACAATTGGAATTTGTACTTGAGAAGCCTACACACTTCACTGGAGATTTCTACAAGCCTTTCCAACTAATGAGAGTCCAATTCAAGAGATGGAGAGAATTCAAAGAGATTTTACAAAACAAAAAAAAAATATCCATGGATACATTGGATGCACATATCCGCGTAGAGGAGAAGGTAAGAGGTAAAGATGCACAATTTTTTACTGAATCTTGTATCCTAAGTGATGTATCAAAATCTCATACACTAAATATTTGGTAGAGTTAGTGGACTCCACTAATCCAACCACCTGTATTGATTTGAGATACAAAATTTAGATAATAATTTAGTTAGCATAGCATTACTCTATCACTATTAAGGTACGTTTTCTCTACTCAAATAATTTACTTACAAATAATAACTGTAGAAATGCTTATTTGAAGCATAGTAAGAAAGCTTTGAAGAAACGATGGTAGACCTCAATATAATAGTGGAAATTCAAATCATGAGAATATGAGCCAATGACCACTTTCACATAGTAAAATTTTAGTGCTTGTTTTGTTTGTGACAATAGTGGGCTTGTTGCTCGAATTTACAAATTTTGTAAATGCGAGGCTTTGCCCCAAGCTAATGTTATCGAGGAGTCACTTTGTGACAATAATTACAAATATCAATATGGTTAAGAGTACAAAAGGATGGTGGGCAGACTCTGGTGCCAATAGGCATGTCTGCTACAATGAAAAGTGGTTCAAAGTGTATATTTCCTATGAACAACCAAATAACATTATGTTTGATGACTCTCATTCAACTAATGTTTCTTGGGAATGCTGAGGTCGAATTGAAATTTAACGAAGCTGGCTTCAAACAAGTTCTAAAATTAGATCAATTTATAATTTCTAAATAATATGTTTATTATGGGCATGCAAAGGTTATATATGTGATGACATGTTTAAATTGAGCACCGAGAATAATGAAAAATGTGTTAGTTTTGTTTACTTGCTTTTTTTGTGTGAATTCTTGGCACGCTCATTTATGTCATATCAATTGTAGATATGTTGCAGTAAAGCAAAAATCACAAAAAAAGCCTCATAAAAATGTTGAACGAAGTACCGAATTGCTTCAGTTCATTCACTTTGATATTTGTGAATTTGAGGATATATTGACCCATGAAGAAAATATATATTTGCGAATGATTAAATATGATTATGAACTTTACTATTTTATACTTTAAACTTAAGATCATTACTAAATATTGTTGTTTTACTTCAAATGTTATATCTTTATTTTATAAACTGAGACTCACATGTTTTTATGATTTCTAAACCTTATATAGGTTTGAGAAGGTTTTCATGCTACGCTTGTTTGCTCATCTTACGATATAAATATTTTTTCTCTCGATTGTAGTCTTGAGGAAGATCTCGGATTAATGAGCAAGTTAATTTAGTTTGAATTATGAAATTTGATTAAGGAACAATGTTATGAATATTTCTTATTTATAAAGCTTCAAAATACTATTATGAATTTTGGATGTAAACCTAATTGTTTGTTTATGTTTCATTTGGAAATTTATCTAATTAATTGTTGGAAGTTGAATAGTTTGATTTATTTTAATTGTTCATTTAGTTTATTCTCATGGTTGAATAATGTATAAATAGTTAATGCTTTGACGGTTTGTCTATGTCATCATTTTGGCTCCTAAAGATAAAATTCTAGTTGGGGTTGTCTTTTTTCATAGTGAGTTAATTCTTTGAAATGGTAAAATATAATTTTGGGTTAGGATATTTACCATTTGCATCCAACAATCTTTTTGTGGGTTACGATCTCTAACTTAATAAAAAAGAGTCAATGTTAACTATCTAATTGTGCCAAAAAAAATAGGGACAATATATTAAACAGAAAAAGAAGTATAATCTTTAATCAATGTATCAATTAGGGTATTTTACATATATTTTACTCATATCAAATATAAAATATTTATTTTACTGGGTTAGAAGATAATAGACAGTTTATTAGGGGAAAAAAACTAAAGCACTAGCAATTTTTAAAAAATTAAGGGGACGATGGAGTCATTTTAACTTGGTTATGATCTCTCTAAGACTACATATGCAAATGTCATATTTTTATATAAAGTGGTTAATATCTTACATGGATGGATAGTTATTTGAAGGAGTGAGGTCTATTTTACTCGCGTATAGAATTATCATTAGACGAGTATATCACAACACAATGCTCATATGCATGCGGATGCGGATGCCGGCGACCCTTATAAAAGCTATATATGTTTTAGATAATCCACATAGTATGATAAAAAGAGACTTCTGCAGAGATAGGATGACCAACAATATCTAATCACAGTAAAAACATTCCTAGTTAGGAAACTTTTGCCGTCTTAATCTACAGTTCTCAATAACAGGTCCAATAGGATTGTAAAACTTTTTGTGAGAAGTCTTCTTTGGCGCTATATATATATATATATATTCCAAATACATGTGGATTCAGTCCATTCAAACGCAATCTTCGAACACGCGTACTTTCCCATATTTCATATTTTATTTTTCTGTTTCCGTGGAATCTTCCAACTTTTCCGATTCAACCATAGTAGGGGACTTGGACAAGATGATGGTGAAAGAGGCCATAGTGAATCTTGAATGGCCGAGCAGCAACAATATCAGTTGGTCACTAATAATGGAAGGCATGGAATCTTTCAACAATTCCGATGCAACGATAGTAGCAGACTTGGAGAAGATTGTGAAGAAGAAGGTGAACAACGTCGTAGGGAAGGTTGAATGGCCAACAATCTCCAAAAACAATACCGGTTGGTCACCACTCCTGGATGCCATTCATTCTTCAAACTTTTCCAATGCAACGACAATAGCAGACCTGGACAAGATGTTGAAAGGCGTCATAGAGAAGGTTGAATGGCCGGCAAAGACAAGCAACAATACCAGATGGTCACCACCAATGGAAGCCATGGAATCTTCCAACTATTCCGACGCATCGATAGAAGCAGACCTGGACGAGTTGGTGAAGTTCATGGTGAAAGATTTTGTATTTGTTTAGGGTCACATTACGATTGAAGAAGATTTGTTACAATTCAACCACGACCAAGCCCCACCTGACATAGATGGATAAAATAGTTCCTTTCTTAGTAGTTAATTGCATTACTCTTAAAGGAACAGTGCATTCGAATGAATGTACATATTGATCATGACTTCATAAGTTTTCTATAGAAACTATAAACTTGATGTAGGATAGATTAATTTTCCATTTTGTTTTATTTTTTATTTTTGTTTGGAATCACAATTGAATGAGAAAAATTATATTTTAGTATTCCTATTCCATGTCTATTTTAGATTTCCTACTCTTCTTCTTCAATCTTGAAGTCAATCCAATTCTTTTAACGAAAACTACGAGCAGTTCTTAGGAGGAATTTTAAAAACTATTCTATAATGAAGGTGTAAAGCCGACACTTATCAAATACTTCACACACTGTCACCAAGTAGTATTGGATTGTTGTGTATTGCCAATTTAACACCAATCCATGTCCTCCAGTGGGACACAAGCCATCGACTTGTTGGACCAAGATGCATTCATAGATTAGAGTCATCACAATATGCGGTAACATATAATTTCTTGGACAAGATGGAGAAAGGAAAGGATGATTTAAAATAATTTGTACTTGGTGGGCGTTTTGACTATAAATTTTAGGATTTTTTGCACTTTGCATCTTGAATGATTTTAAATTTCTCACTTTGTATCCTCAAAAATTAAATTTCTCACATTATGCTCTCAATATATTAAAAGCATTGCAATGTGACCCTTCTGTTAGTTTCTGTAATTTTTTTCGTCAAAATCCAACCGATTGACACATAAGAAAAAACTAACAAAAAGCTAATAAAATGGTCATATTGGAACACTTTTGATAAATCGAGAATGCAAAGAAGAAAATTTAACCTTTGAGAGTGTAAACTAAAAAATGTGAAATCTTTTAGGTTACAAAGTGTAATTTGTCCTAAATATTAATCTTTGTTCAAAATCGTAAAATAATATATTATATTTGTATTTATTTACATCATATTAGATACTTGAAAGTTCATTAAACACAAAAGGGTCAGTATACATAGTTTATTTAAACAAAAAATAATAAAAAAGAAGTTGATCTAACCCTTTACAAAAATATAAAGCTAATTATTGTAATTTACAATTGTACCCCTTGATTTTTCATAATTTAAAATTTTAAATCATGCTACTAGTCACAACCAAATGAACTAATGAATTTTTTTATTTTTTTTTATCTTAATCACTTTTTTAGTAAGACCGCCAATTTTGTAATAATTTGGAAATTCAAGGTTAGCTCATAAGCTCTAGTGAAGAATTTTTATTTTTTTTTTAAATAAAATTGGGTAAGATTAATCAACATTTTATTGTCAAAAATAAAGAATGAATCAATAAGCCACAAAAAGAAGCACTCGGTAAAATGACCCTAATCTTTTTTTTTTCCACTTATACAATGACCCTAATCTTTGACTCGAAAAAAATAAAGTTTTCACAAGACAAAGAATATCATTAAATCAAAGACTCATTGATACAATGACCCTAATTACATATATAAATGAAATTAAAATTAGTAGTGGCCCTAATATTTCCAAATAAGGGCATGTCCGAAAAGTGTCAAGAGTGTATCAAAAAATGTTTAGTCATTTAGGTATAAGTCTATATGAATGGATGGACAAGAGAATTATAGGGGTGGGCACACTTAAATCTATCTATTAAACAAACTTAACAAACATGTTAAATATATGTAGCAAATATTTTTCAGAAAAGAAATTGAGGGCAGGCATAGGCGTCCTTTGTACCATGCTTGGCTCAAATTACATGAAGTTTATAGGTAGGTATAATTGATTTTATTATAATAATTAAAAATAAAATAAGAAATCAAAAACAATTCGCATATGCTGACATTTATAAGTAATATATATATATATATATATATATATATATATATATATAGATAGATACAGATATAGATTTGTATTTTAGGTTGTTTAAACGTTAATTTTATTTTATATTATCCTACTGTATAAGGGTCTTTATTGTGTATTTTAAGTTACGTTGTTGCACACACTAATTGTACTCTAATAATATAGTACCTCTTTCCCTTCGCTCCCTTTCCATTTGCACATACTAACACGAGAGACATCAGCATTGGAAGACTCCACAGGTATGCCACTATGAAAGCATGAAAACGGACACAAGATACAAACAAGGAAAGCACAACAGGGGCACATCGACATGGCAAATCCAAAAAAAGTAGGGCACGGACATGACTAAGACAACTACTAATACTCGTTGTACATATAAATGCCACGGAATATGATTATATAGGGGCACTCACCAAACACAATAATATAAGTGGACATGTGAGTTGGTGTTCTCTTATATTACACTACTAATGTACTATATGCATTTCACGTGAATAGTTTTCATACACAAAAATTAATAAAAAGTGTTAGGTATATGTGTACTTAAATTAAATATCATCTTAAATTTATCAAACTTATTTTTTCATTACTCAAACTTTATTATATAATTATGAAAACCTTGTATATGCATAAGCTTTGTTGATCTAATTATAAAAAAATTAAAAAATAGTTAGATTTCTATATTTTTCTAGAAATTTGTGATTGAGAAAGGTTTTTAGTGATGTTTAAAAATTAATTTTTTTTAAATTCATTTGATTAAGATTCCATTTATAATTCATTGAATAAAATAAAAATAATTGTCAATATACTAATCATATTTAAAATTTTACAGTAATTAGGAATTAGTTAGGTATATTTGGATAAAATTTAATATACTTCTTCATAGTATGTATTATATATTATATTAAAAAAAAATTACAATCTATTTTCACACAAAATCTTAATACAACTTGGAAAATCTTAAATCATGTTTATCCAAATTTGATGAAATTTCTTCAAATAGATTTGGATTTGAATACATATAAATCTGATCCGATATATATATATATTAGTTATTGAGGATCAACAATAAACATATTTGTATTCACACCTAAAATTAAATCACAAACATAGAGGAGAGAGAAAAGAATTTAAGCATTAATTGTAATGGGGATGAGCAGTGGTAATGGTGGTGGGAGACAGTGATGGTTGTGGTTGGTGGCGACGATCATGATGGTGGTGGTGGTGGCAGTTGTGGGTTACAACAATGATGGTGGTGGTGAGTTTTGTGTAACGATGGTGGTAGTGACAGCCATGAGTGACAACGGTAGTGGTGGTGGACGACGATGATATTGGTTGATAGGGGTGGTGGTGGGGCGACTATAGTGGTGGAGACAGTAATAGGTTATGGTAGTGGGCAGTAACGATGTTGGTGATGGGCGACGACGAATGCTTTCTGGGTGACAATGTGATAGGTGATGGTGAATGGCGGTGGGGGTGGGTGACAATGGGTGGCGGTTGTGGTGGTCAATGATGGGTGATGGTGGTAGGTATGGTGGGAATGGGTGCTAGTGGCTAGCGGCAATGGTAGGCGACGATGGGTGGTGGTGAGTTGTGATAGTGAGTGGTGGTGTGAGTAACAATAATGGTGGTGGATGCTGACAGTGAGCAACGGTGGTAGTAAGATAATGGTGATAGATGTAATAAATACAAAAATGAGATAACGATAGTGGTAGCGGTGGACGATAGTGGTAACAATCCATGAGCCGGTGATGGTAGGGCAATGACAGTGGGGGGCCGACAGTTGTGGTGGTGGGGTGATAGTGGCGGCATGATGGTGGGGTGACAGCTGCGATGGCGGTGGTGTTAGTGGTGATGGTCGTAGAGGTGGTGGCAGTTGTTGTGGTAGATGTGGTGGTAGGATGACAACGATGATAATGGTGGGGATGGGGGTGGTGGTGATAGTAGACTTGGTGGGGCGGTTTCAAAAGTACTTATAAGAAGTTATAAGTCATAAAAATACTTTTAAAAAGTCACTCTAAAAATACCCTTAGGGGCCTATTTTTTCAATTAAATTTGAAGTGTTAATATTAACCATCAGATTAACTTTAAAGTAAAATTTTAAAAAATCTCAACCATGAAAAGTAAAAATCATTTTGTTTATCTTTTAAGATTTGAATTGTATTATACTTTATTATAGATATACGTACATACATATATATTTAATTGAGAGAAATTATTGTATATACATACATACTTAGTTAGATTATTAATGATATTAATATGAATTTAAATAGAAATTATTGAATAAAATAATTTGTTGATAAAATTAGGTTTAAAGTAAACTCAATTTGGTAAAATTATTATTTTTTTATGAAATTTTGTTGGGATTCAAATTTTCAGATCGAATCAGAATCTGATTAACAAATGCAAATATGAATTAAAATTTTGAAATTCGTCGAGTAAACAGATTGAATTCGGAACTTGAATTTTTAATTAGATTCGAATATAGACAAATCAAGATCCTATCCATTGACAGCCCTACTCGTAGGCTTGACCGAGCAACCTACAATAGGTTCAACTGCTATTGAAACTTAAAAATTGACCTAATTTATTAATATAATGATGTGACAAGTAATAGAGTCACAATCAAAAAGTTCAACAATCACACCAACATTATTAGATCATGTCTCTATCACATCATTAAGTCAGCATTATGTCTATTTTTTACTTCTCAATAGCATTATTCACTAATTTGACTTATTACTTGATGCACAAAATTGTATATCGAGCAATGTAGATGAGGTTTTAGCAGTGTGAACCGCAATGTGAAAAACCATGAGAGGGTGGGCCATGATTTTATTTGTTTTTTTGGGGGGGGGGAATAGCTATGTAGCCAAAAATTTATTTAAATTTGGTCATTCGACGAGTTATCATCAATAATATCGATTTTTGATGTATAAAACCAATTGAAATCCTTTCTATTTTATGAATTCAAATAATTAATTTAAACAAATTTAAATGGTTAATAATGCAACTTAGTAGTTGTGGGTAAATTAAAATTAAGATCACAGTTAACGTTATAAAATTTAATTTAAAGATGACAAGGGCTATGTAAGATGCATTCGAAAATAAAATTTTAAGGCTATAATGTTTCATTTTCAAAGGGCTATGACACCCTAGGCCATTACTTAGCTCCGCCACTAAATTGAGACTATTGAAAGAAATCGAGTGCAAGATACAGATTTATCGAATCCTAACTCTGAAAATGACATTTTGAGATAAGTAAGAAAGAATGGACCAGGGCTTATTATGATTCTCAAATAGAGACTTTTGGAGAAAATATTGAGGGGAACGATAACACCATGTAATTATTGTCACGTAGTGTCACTATTCAATAACAAATTAACATGTGGAAACCTTACCAAATTTAGTAACTATCTTGTATATGTATAAAAATAAGTATCAAGTGGAACTCATCTATCCCAATTGTAAATTTATTATTGGATGATAACATGGTATCGTCATTATACTCAATATTTATTCAGATTCGAACGAAGAGGTTAGCTGACAAAAAAAACATAGAACTAAAATAGTCTAACATTACATTTGAAACTTTTGGTGGAATCCAAAGTGTAAATGCCTAACATACATTTCGATGGCGATCATTCCCATATGAATACTAGAAAGGTTTAAGGACAAATTTGTTTAATGGGTTTAACATAACTCGTGAAATAACCGTTACAATGAATATTTTCTCCCCGGGCCACAAAGCGATACCCGACACTTAGAAAACCTATATGTTTTAGATGTGAATTCCGGCCTTGCATAGGAAGTCTAATTCAATTAGGAAATCAGGGTCTTTGATACTATAAATATTTCAAACACATGGTAGATTTACTCCATTCCTTTCTCTATCTTCAAACACACTTTCGCATGACACCCCATTTAATATTTTATGAAGATAATAATTTTTTTAATAATTATTAAATATTTTACAGAGAGTTACTATGATTTGTTTTTAATCTTTTAGTGGTTTTGGGATTGGGTGGGATTGGAGAATAAATTAAGTGCAATTATAAAGTTAGGATCTTACAGATGAAGAAATTAAATGAAGTCTCAAAGAAACAATAAGAGAGCTAGAAATAAGGATAAAAAACTAGAGCAAGACAATAAGAGTGGGAGGGGGAGGGGGAGAGGGAGAGAGAGTTGGAGAGAGCCGGTGAGAGTGGAGGAAAAAATTGTGAAAATAATTTAAGAGAGATTGCTATTTTTAAAATTAGAAATCGTTACTTTTAGATTTTTTTAAAAAGATTTTGTTATTGTATAAGACTTTCTACAAGGTTTTGTATACACTTATTAAAATATTACTACATTTTAGGGGTTTTTATAAGGTTTTAGATAAATTTGTGAAATATATTAGGTCTTTAACTAGATCTATTCAAAAGGGCCTCAAAACATGAAACTGAACTAAGTGCTAAAAATTAAATTGGGCCCTAAATCCATTCTAAGGATTGAAGTGTCTGTATATCTCATAACAGTTGCAATATCTGTCGTCCGTCACTATCGAGTCTTCGTCCATAGAATCGATTAAGTGAAATAAATTGATTACTATATGACACACAAGTATTAAAAGTAATATATATGTTACTCTATATTTTATGCACTTTTTTAATTTATCAAAAATAATATGCGGATCAGGTACTTTCATAATAAAGATGTTCAATGTTATAACGTGATGACACATAATTTTTCATTTTTAGTAATTTAGTCATCTAATATATATTATACATTACATATGTGTTAAGGAGAATTACACTCAGGCCTCCTGAGATTTATCACTTAATCACCCAGACCCCTTACGTTTAAAATATTACACATAAATCCCCTAATGTTTAAAATATTACATATAAACCCCATAAAGTTTGTACACGCATAATATTTAGATCTCTGCTATCAATGTCAGTTAGTATATCCATTAGTAAATTATATCTAGACCCCCTAAAGTTTATAGATGTATAATATTTAGACCCCTCAAGTTTAAAATGTTATATTTAAACTAAAAATACTCTAATCAAATATAGTATATTAAATATTTTAAATTTTATAACTAAAATTCATGTTCTATTATGAAATTTATTGAAATAAAATTAAAATTTTAATTTTAATATTTTCTTAAAAAATTATAATTAGTATAATTATACTATCTATTGAAATTTAATTTGGCCCTCTAAACGACCAAATTAAACTACAAAATTACCCCAATTAAAGCTAGAATATATTGTTTCCATTACAATTTTGTTTAATTTTTTTTATTCTAATAGATAGTATAATTGTACACTAAATATGATTTTTTAAGAAAAATTAAGTTTTTATTTTTGATTTTATTTCAATAAATGACTTATTAGAACATGAATTTGAGTTGTAAAATTTATATTCTATTATGAATGACTGAAACCCCTTGGTTATTTTTTAGTTTATTACAGTAGATAGTATAATTTTATATTAATTATGATTTTTTAAAAAAAATTAGCTTTTTATTTTGATATTATTTCAATAAATGATATAATAGAATGTGAATTTTGGTTTTAAAATTTAAAATATTTAATATTCTATCTTTGATTAGAATATTTTTTGTCTTAATATAACATTTTAAACTTGAAGGGTTTAAGTATTATACGTTTACAAACTTCAAGGGGTCTAGTGTAATTTACTAACAGATATATTAACGGACATTGACGACAGGAGTCTAATTGTTACGCGGATACAAATTTTAGGGGGTCTGTGTATAATATTTCAAACCTCAAGAGGTCTGAGTGATTAAGTGACAAATTTTTGAAGATTTGAGTGTAATTATCTCTATGTGTTATTTCATACTCGTGCTATCTGCGTACAACTATTCAATTATATAATTCATACTCGACAAGAATTATAAAGATACATAAATTACCATAACTAAGTACATCTTTTTTAGTAAATAAATTCGTATATCTGTTTGTTTCTCTCAACTTTTGCATGACTCACATTTTTTGGAATACAATATATTGTTTCATTACTATTATATTCTTTTATTTGTTTTGTATGTTCTTCATGAAAATTATGGTATTATATGATCGACTATTAGTATACATTCTTAATTCCTTATTATCTTGTTATTGAATTATTTTACTATTTTTTAATTTTTTTATATGATCCTTATCTTATTTATGTATGTAACGTTTATCTACTATTTTATAATGTTTTATTTTTGATAATAAATTTTTTTGATTTTTTTTTAAATATTAATTAATTTTTATTGTGGATTCTTTATTATAATAAACAATCTAATTAGTTTGTATTTTTGTGTTTAAATGAGAACAAAATCAAGTTTTAGAGAAATAAAAATTATATTTGATTTATTTTTATTTGTGGAACAGTGGAAGAGAGTGAGAGAGGTGCTTATTATATTAATTTTTTGAAGTGTTAACCTTTTTTTTTATCTTTAATAAATGTTTATGTGTGAGGTAGATGACATTTTTGGACCAAAGTTAAATTATAATGAGTTTTAATTTTTGATCTATATTTCATTATTGAACTTTAAAATTTAGTGAAAATTGGAAGTTAGTCTTCCTAGATGTATTTGTTTGGAGATAAGTCCTATAAGGAAACTTATAAGAGGGTAAGTTCATGTTTAAAATTATATATAATGAATTAAGTCCACTTTTGTTTTTTTATCTCAAAAATACCCTTTTTGAAAGAAAATTAATCTTTTTTTTCTCATGTCTATCTATATCCATATATAAGTTAAGAGTTTAACTAACATTAAATAGTATATATATATAAATAGTAATATTCAAATACTATGAATTTGAATAGTAAAATTCAAATTCTTGTTACTATTTTTTATTATGTTACTGTTCATGTTACTATTTTTGTTGAATATGTTATTGTTTTTGTTGAGCATGTTATTGTTTTTATTGAGTATGTTATTATTATTATTTTCTTAAATATTAATATTCAATGTCATTATTTTTTTTTAATATTACTATTTTTTATATTTGAATTGTACTCTTTTTTGCGTTTGAATTTGAAAGAAATAATTATTATTAAGTATGTTATAGTTTTTGTTAAGCATGTTATTATTTTTATTGAACATGTTATTGATGTTATTGTTTAAAAATATTAATATTGAATGTTTTAATTTTTTTTATGTTTAAATGTTACTATTTTTTTGTTGTGTTTAAATGTATTATTTTTTGTGTCTAAATGATATTTTTTTTTGTATTTGAATATTACTCTTTTTTTATTTTTAATGTTACTCGATATATATATAAAGATAGATAAGAGAGAGAGAAAATTTTAATATTAGTCAAACTCTTAACCTATATATGGATATAGATAAATATGAGAGAGAAAAGATTTTTATATTAGTCAAACTCCTAAGATTTAGGAGTTTTTAATTTTTAATTTTATTTCACTTTTAAAAGAAAGATATAGTATGGTAAAATTGACAAAAAATGGACTTCATAACAAACAAGTATTCTTAACGGACTTAAGTCCAAACAAGTCCATATATGGGACCGGCCTCTAAATTTTCCTAAAATTTAAGGTCTTTTCTATGTGGGCCCAAAGCCCATACTTTGTTTGGGCTATTGTTGAGCCGGTCATGCTAATCACAATAAAACCATTCCTAGTAGATTTCTTTGCCAGAGAAACTTTGTCTGCATGGGTCTAATTCAAGTCTAATTCAAGTCTAATTCAATTAGGAAATTTAGACTTCTTTGATATTATAAATATTTCAAACACCCGATAGATTACTTCATTCCTTTCTCTACCTTCAAACACAATTTCGCAATTTTCATAATGAATCTTTATTGATAGTGAATCTTTGCAGCTTTCTTTTTTTACTTTGTTTTGATGTTTGATCTTTACTAGAAGCTATGGAATCTTTCAACTATTCAGATACAGCGAGATTAGTAAATCTGGACAAGATGGTGAAGAAGAGGGTGAACGAGGTCGTAGAAAAGGTTGAACGGCCGGCAAAGACGAGCAACAATACTGCAGACTTGGACAAGATGGTGAAAAAGCAGATGGAGAAAGACGTCGTAGGGAAGGTTGAATTGCTGGGGAAGACGAGCAACAGTATCAATTGGTCACCATTAATGGATGGCATAGTAAAGGCTCCTACCAATTCAGTAGATGCGGTGAACATTGTTGATGAACACATCACCAGTGTCCTCTATGGTCCGAGGAAAACACGTCGATTGCCAATTTTTGAAAAGATATGCCCTTCAGAGTCATCTGATATAAATAAATAAATAAAATAATCTCTTAATATTACATACATTAAGGATAGATTTACTAGTATCTTTATTATTTTCTTTTTTTTTTTTAGAATCACAATTGAATGAGAAAATTTCTGTTTTAGTATTCCTATTCCATGTCTATTTTAGTTTTCCTACTCTTTTTGTTTGGTCTCGAAGTCGATCCGATTCTTTTAAAGAACTAAGCAAATTGTCTACTTCGAGATAGACTCGCAAAATTGCAAAAAAGATTCTATAATGAAGGTTTAAAGCCGACACCTATAAACTACTTCACACTGTCACCAAGCAATATGAGATCGATCTGTATGGCCAATTTACCACGAATCCACTCCCTTTACAATCACATATCCTCATGGGGGACCTGTCCCAACCCAGTTGATGCATGGTTCCCACCACACTAGCTGTAGCTATCCCACACCATCGACTCGCTTGACCAAGATGCACAACTGTGATTTTCACACAACGAGGATCAATAAGTCTGACCCTTTACTGTAATGCACTAAAGTTGTATTGTATGATAATGTCCGAACCTACATTGTATAATATTGTTTGTTTTCAATAAGGCCTGCATGACTTTAAAGGCGTTCACGTTTATCAAACGATGTCACATAAATCCAGAGTCGCTACAAATATGCAGGAACATATAATTTCTTGGACGGGATGGGTAAAAGAAAGCCTGGTAGAAAAGAATCGCCTATTGAGTTTTAAATTTATACAACCAATCATTGTAGATTTAAGTACAACTAAACATGGGATGCCACAAAAACGTACCCGTGAGTCAAAGAATGAATGGAAGGACAAGTGAGCCAACAATAAAAGATTTCAAATGGCCGCCTAACACACTGATCGCCACTGAGGAGAGAGATTTTTTGTTTTTCTTTTGAGTGACAAACAACCGAATCATCAAACATTAATATCTGTTCGTTTTGATCTGGAACTGCTGATCTCTTTGGTGCCCGTAAAGGCAAATCTTGGGAAGCTATAGTTCTCAGGTGTCGACATGGGTTGCTGAGGATAAAGCGTGGGAGGCGGAGTGAGATTGCGCTGAGCCGGAAGGGGAGGAAGCACATTGTATTTGTAAGGGTCACCAACTAAACTGCAAATAGCAGGGGGAAAAAACCAGTAAGAAACATGGCTAGTATAGAGATATCCAAAGCTGTATAAAAGAGAAGATGCTAATATTATCGGCGATCCATGATAAACATAACAAAAAGAGAAGAAATGTTGCAGGCCGAAGCACTAGATTGGACATAGTAACCTTCAAATCTCATTTTAATACACGTTTTATGCAAAAATTTCTACAACAAAAAACAAAAATTGCACTAGCATAAGTTGGTAACTCAGACATGCATACACGCTATCAGAAACCACCATGAAGGATATGAGTTGAGGCTAAGAACTTCATATCACAAAAGACAAAAAGCCAATCCATAAGAAACAGCCACCACCAACCATTCTGACCAAACCTAATATCTGAAATGTCATACACACTTTTTCATCATACAGTGAAATCAGATACCATATTTGGCAGACCTCCATAATGCTCAACTTGACAAGATTATCAATGCTTATATATCAAGTGCCTTAAAATTCATAGACAACCCATTCACCGTTTGCTGGAAAAAATCCTGTATATTTTTTTGTCGAAATCAAAGCATTAAACTCGTTTCTTTTCTCCAGCTTAACAAAGACACTGACAAACATTCACCAAAATAGTGACTGACAAATATAAAATGTGGCATTGGAACACAGCCAGAAAGCTAATGGCCTCACAGCGTAGCATTTTTTACGTACTTGCATTCCATCATCACATAACAAGCCTCCTTGACCTATGTAAAAGTAACACAAGCAATTCGGCTGGTTGTATAAGAGAAAAACAAGAATAGGATTAATTACACTTTGATCATCGAGAGTATCTTGTCTTTCTTCCTTTCGTTTCCATTCTATTCTTCTTTCTTCTTTCTTCTTTCTTCTTTCCCCTCAAATGGGAGGAGGAGGTATGGATTCTAATATCAAAGTGAACAGAACTTCCAAGATGTCCCTTCCAGATAGCACTATTATATTGGAGTTCTATATTAGAACTATTTTGGAAAAAAAAGGTCTGTGGACTGGATAGCTATTAATATCAAATGAAAGGGTGTACCATGCATCACAGACATTAGTATATCTAAACCGGTTGGCAAGGCAAAAAATGTACAGCACAAGATATAAGTCAGTGGTGACAGTATAACAAGTTTAGTAAGTTGATATTGGTGTAAGGTGCGATTTAGTAACAATATCAACCTCTGATTTCTGAGCAGTTCATACCTTCTACTTTTGTATAAATGATCTTCATCACTTGAAATTTCCCCTGCATTCTGTAATGGTCTCTGTACTGGGGAAGACCATGGGTTTACTGCTGGTAAGTCATCCGAAAAATATCTCCTCCTGATCAACTGGGAAAATTACTAGCAAACTTAGACAATGACCACCCACATAAATTTAATTTCAAGCAGATAAAGGACAAGAGTACAGACCATGCGAAAAAACTTCATCACAGCTTCCTTGTCATATCTTGCTTCTTTAGCGGCCTATACATGTTCAGCAGACATAAAATTTTGAATAAGCACCAAATGATAGCAACCCAACAATAACGAGTTGATTAACAATTTATAACTGTAGCTCTCTGAATGAATAAGGTCCAAATGGTGAATTCCAAACAATGAAAAAGTAAATGAGGCTAACTCAAATGCAAGTATTGGTTCATTCATTTAAAAGCTTGAAGATAATATTTTACCGCTAAAAGGCCTCCACTGCCAGGAAAACTCTCGGTCAATGGAAGTTCCTCACTTGATGGAAGCAAACCTTGCTTCTCAACCCACTGGCGAGCAGCATCCACAAGATTGCCGCTGCTCCCTCTCGTGCCCTCTTTTGCAGCAATGTCTGCTTTGTTACCAATAACAATGTAAGGTACAGGAAGGCCACCTGGACCTCCAGACCCTAGGGGGGCTGAGAATGTCCCAGTAGCGGCAATCTCTGCTGCCCATTTATGCAAACTTGTTTTTGTCCTTCTCTGGGAGAGATCATGGACAAAAATAACACCTACGATTGGGAATGAAAATATGAGACCGGGTGATAATAACTTTGATTCTTGCAGTCAAACACATAGAATACTCGAAAAAGGACCAACTCAAAAATCAAAACAAACAGTCAGACATTAGTAGTTTCAATTGAAATTACATCAAATATTTGTTGGAATTATTGTTACCGATGGATAAGGAAGAAAAGCTGAAAACATAGAAGTTAAGGTCATAAACTTATAATTGCAATCTAACTTCTGCATTTCTTAACTGCAGCTTTGCATCTAAAGACTGTATATATCTAAAATTGCTAATATTAAGTTTTTAATGCTTAAGCATAATATGTCCAGTTGTTATTAACAAAAATGAAGTTCAAACAAGAAAAAAGGTTCACTGCTCACCATTAATCTGTGAAAAGAATAGAGACCTGCATTCTTTGTATCGGTCATGTCCTGACACATCCCAAAGTTCGATAAAAAATTCTCTCTCAGAGTCACCTTTAATGCTGTTCGAAGAGCTACCAGAATTTCCATAGGCAGTGTGCTGGATAATAGAAAAGGCAAAGTATTTAGTCAAGATTCGAATATACTGATAGCTCAATAATGCCGTATCAAAAGAAAGAAGTCTTACCTTCACATCAACAGTACACCCAATTGTTTGAGGAGGACGAGCGATGGAAGATCCTCTGACAATCAGATGTATGAGAGAGGTTTTCCCCACACCTACCAGAAAACTCAAATTGATGATGAAAGCTTGTAATCAAATATTAACTTTAATAGACATATTATGTTTATAAGGGAGGAAAGTATGTTATTATTTTGGCAAAGCCTGAACAAAAGTCGGATCAGAGTAAGTGACCAGAAGTTTTTCTTAGCATCCCTGCCAATTATTCAAGGTTAGTGCCAAGGAAGCATCCCACTCAAGCACCAAAAACAAAACCAGAACCTTCTTCATGATATGGAACCACTGTTTTTTAGAAGTTCAAACAAACAATGTTCCCATTCAATCAGAAAAATATAAACCTAGCAGTTTATTTGATAAAAATTCCACATCGAGCAGTCAACATGATATTTTATCATGAGATATCTCCATGTGTAAATCAGGATCCCCAGATTCCCCACACAATGTGCACATCACAGACTCCATAACAAAGGTAGATAATGCATTGATGATATGAAAACAAATCTATGAACATCATAACATAGACCATTATTTGTTCTAGCTTAGATTTTACACTCAGTGGTGATCAACATCAGTAAATCCATCAATATCTAGTATCCATAAGTGTAATAATGCAGGCATCAAGCATTGGAAGAGTACCGAGAGATGAGATACAGAAATAATCTATACATTCATTGTGCTTCCTCAAAAAGTTTGAAACCACTTTTCCAACCTAGCGGGCATCAATTGGGTGGTCAATGAGAACATCACTTTCCAAATCTTAAAATAAGGGATGCAATGTTTCTTCCCTTTGAGACTCCACAGCTGCAGGTGTGCCACTAGGTAGCAAGAACACGAGCACAAGATAAAAACATGCACAACAGGGCCAACTGGACAAGTTGACACGGAAAATCCTGAAAAGGTAGGATGCCGACGTGACTAAGACACTATAAACAATTGTGGTGCCAACAATTGGGGAAGAATACAGCTCACAAGCCAGGACAACAAAACAGTATTCAAGCCAATAAACAGATCTTTCAGGAGCGATTGTAGCTTGACTTTGTGGCAAAAAATAGAGAAGTTGGGTGTAAAGGTTTGTTACAGGAATAGGGAGTGGTTTAGGCTTGTTTAGGCAAGCAAGGTGTTTTTTCAAGGTTTCTTTTGGGGTTCTGTGAACATAGTAGTGTTTTGACTTCTTAAGGTTGTTTGTTACTATGAGGCTCAAGTCTTAGAAACAATTAGAGATTAAGTTTACAAGGATAGGTTTACGTAGAGTTGCTTATCAGGGAAAAAAGGGTACAATTTTCATGTTGAACAAGGTCTGGTGGCAATAAATTTTTAGGAAAATTGAGAAATTAGAAAGAGAAGAAGAATCAAGGATTTCTAGAATTTCTTAGTTATCATTTCCTTTGGTGAGGTACCATCAGACATCAAAAACAATTGGTTCAACAAATAAATTCATTCCCTTCTCCACAATAAGCCAATACTAGATATGTGTAGAAAAGTTAATGGCTGAGCATTTGCTAGACCGTTAAACTTGACCCAAATAGCATTTGATCAGCCCGTAATTAAAAGTCCAACATAGCGGTGCAGCCCCCTCTACAACCCAAAATCAAAATTAGCAAAGTACAATTTATACGTAAAACTTAAAAACAATAAAATAAAATTATTCTACAGCTAATTAATCTAAATTAACATAAAACTGAGACTCAACACTCAGGTTAGACAAAGACTTGCTAAAACATGATCGAAAAGATGCTTAACTGAAAATTCATGAATTGTTTCTTGTTTGTGTGCTCTGCCTAGCTAAATAGCCAACAAATATAGTAAATATTGAAGACCTGAACCTCCAAGTTTGGTGACTTTGGTCCATGTTAATTAACTGTTAGTTAAGGATTCTGGAAAATGTAGACTAGGTAGTGACGTTCCTAAAAGTAAAATAAAACTCCGAAGTCCAAAAATTCTAACAACTCGCGCTTTATGTCTCCCTCGTGTTTTCCAATAGATTAAATGTTCTGTTTCCCATGCCTGTTTGAACATTTAGCGTTCATCAAGCCTATTGTGCAGCAAAAGAATCAATTCAAATGATCTTCCAGTTTACCTTCTTGAGACTGGTGAACAGTTACATTATTATTATCTCTTGCTAATAGAGCACACTCTAACTAAGACTAATTAAGACAACAAAATGAACACATGCCAGGATAGTTCCGTCAAGAGTCAAAATAGGACTTCAAACACAAGAGAGGATCTGAACCATCAAGCAGTCAAACCAAATATCGAATTCTAGTTGACACAATTGACTCTTAAACATCCCGTGTTACAAATTCCAGGCTAAGTAACAAAGGAATTGCTTACCACAAAAAAAAAAAGTTGCAAAGGAATTCGGTATAGCAAAATGTACCAAAATTTCAAGTTCTTCTAGGCATTTGATGTGGACTGAATTTTGTAAGGAATTAAATTATTCAAACTTGGCCTCTTAAGCCGTCTCATATTCATTTGTAACCTCAAATCCCCACTCAGCATACGAAACATACAACATATTCAAAACAGTATGCAGTCTAACTGATAAAGTCACATGTATCCGCTGACTTTTTACAACTTTTTTCAAAATGAAAATTGTAGGCCCTTCGTAAACTTTATCAAGCCCCTCAGGTATGACTGATTTCAGATGTGGTGAAAATTCTTGTATTAAACATGGGCATTGCCAACAAATGTTTCTTCAGTCTAATCCGTACCCGTGTATGCCCCAAAACACTTACACTCCAGCAACTTAGTGACTGACAACTTCATTACCATTCGCATTCCATTAAATCATATTTATTAACATTTCCACCTTTTAGGAATTCTTGGATTTAAGTGGACATAATTTATCTGATAACTGTTCATCATCAAGATTTCAATTAACTTCCAGTTGAAAACTGAAACCAAATCAAAAAAAAAAAAAATGAGAAAACAAGAGCAGAATCAAAACAAATACTAATTGATTAACCAAAATAAGTAAACATAAAAGCAAGAGAAAACACAATGAACAGATTTGAATACCTGAATCTCCAACAACAAGCACTCGGACCTGCCCACAAGGCGGCCCACCATTCTGCTCTTTGTTCTTCTCCCTTTCCCTTTCCCTCCAAAACATTCTTCCCTCACAACAGATTCACAAACACAAAAACCCAAATTCTCTTAACACACATAAATCTGATCAATCAAGTCCCATCAAACAAACTCAATTCCAAGACGAAAAATCATTTCTCAAATTGGGTCCCGGAAATCTCAATCCCAGAGCCATGTCATACCAAGTATGAATCGAAACATAAGCTCAAAATCCTCATAAAATCAGTACAATCCTGTATATAGTTCAATACACAACCATCAAAATCAGAATCCACTGGCAGATCTAACTGCAAATCTGAAGATGGGTATCCCCAAATTCGATTTTCCACACCCAATGCCGCAAGATTTCCTCGCTATGTATCAAAAAGTTATGAACTGGGTCTCTCTATCAATTGGCTTTATCATGCAGTTTCCAAGAAACGGGATCTAAGGGAACAGCTTGATTTCGAATCAAGTGGGATTGATGTCTTCAATATGCAGTCGGTGAAGTGATCTGGAACAAAGCTTGATTATAAAAATCTGAAGAATAAAAAACAAATTAAACAAAGTATTAGAACTGTGGGGCGGTAGCGATTTGGGAATTTGCGTTCACGCTCTTCCGAAAGTTTGGAGGTAGCAGTTTGAGCAGTTGCCTTTCACCATTCACCGCTATTTCTGTTCTGTGCTTTAATTTCTTGCCGATCTATCGCCATATCGTTTGCATTTTGCCCTTTTTCTACTGGTAAAAATTGAAGGGCAAATTGTGTTTTGCACCTCAAAGATTTTAAAATTCTTATTTTATACTCTCAAAAATTAAATTTCGTACTTAATTAGATTGTTCGTAGACGAGGTAGGTACACGGATCCGGTTACCCAATCTGAAAAGAATATGCTCAAAGCTCGATAGAATTGGTAATTAGTCTGTCCGAGCCTAAGCATGAGTCTAATATCTTTTAGGAGAGGGTTTAGACTTATTCTCGAACTTATTATTTGTCCCAAAACCTAGCCCACGAGCTTGCCCGTAAAAATCTATCAAAACATTGCCCAAGAGCACGTCTGCCCTTTTCATCCTATTGTTTGAAAAAATAATTTAATTACTTATGTGGGTAATTTTAAAATTAAAATTTGTTTAATTTATGATATTTGGACTTCTTGTCAATATAGGATATTTGTGTATTTCTAGTTAATATGTGTTCATTCTATTATAATGCAATTCCTTTTCTATTCATAAATAAATGATACTACTTTTAATTGAAAAATGTAAATACAAAAATATTAAGTTGAAATTTTTTAAATAAAATTGTATATATATATAAGTCCACCCAACAAGCCGGCCAAGTGAGTAGCGAGTAAGGGAGTCCATCGGGTAACCAACGGGTCCCATTACCCTGTCCGAAAAAAATAAGTCTGAAGCTCGATAGGTTCGATAGTTGGTCTTCCGAGCTCGAGCCCCAGCCCAATATCTTTAAAAAAAAGGCTTGGGTTTACCCCCAAATCCATTACCCGGCTCGAATCCCCGCCCAAGAGCCCGCTCGCCCCACTAGCCTAGCCCAGCCCACCTTTCATTTGAAAAAAAATTATATTTTTAGACTATTAAATTTGAAATTTTAAAATCAGTCTCCCGAAATTTAAAATTTTGAAAATTTAAATATTATAAATAATGTTTTATTTTCTTTTCCATGTATTAAGAATATAAGTTTTAAATGGTAAAATAATACAAATGATTGATAAGTTTATAGGTGTCAACCTAGTTGAAATTTATTCATTCTATTGGATGTAGTTCATTATTATATTTTTATCTATTTTGATTTTAATTTTGATTCAAAAATATAATTTACCAAATAGTAAGTTAAAAAAATATTTATTATTTTTAAATAAAGATGCATATAAAAAAGCCTGTCAGTAGGCCAACCCAACAAGCTCGCCCAATAGGCTCACCAGTTGGGTTGCGAGTAGCTTACCTTTACTTGAAGCCCCGGCCCAACCCGTCCTAATAACTCACTTGGAGAAGAGCTTGGACTTACATTACTCAACCCATCCCGAAAAAAATTTCACGGGCTAGCCCGGCCCCGCCCATGGACATCCCTAGTAGTGAGGTGGGTTGTAGGTAGCCTACCTCTTTACAAAGTTCGATCCGGCTTGCCCAATAATTTTTCTAAATAAGGGTTTGAGCCTATTCTACTCATGTCTAACTCGAAAAAAATTTCGCGGGCCTAGCCCAACCTGACCCATAGACACCCTTATCCAATATATCAAAAATGTTGTAATATAATCTTTATGTTAACTTTCCATTAATTTTTTCCCTTAGTGTCGATGAATTGACTTTTTGAATAATTATAAATTAATTATGATTATTTTTTAAAAAAAAATATTTGGATTTTTATTCTTAATTTTATGTCAATAAATAATATAATAGAATATGAATTTTGGTTATAAAACTTAAAATATTTGATATTCTATCTTTAATTTGATTATTTTTAATCTAAAAATAATATTTTAAACTTGATGGATTTAAGTATTATACACTTATAAACTTCAAGAGATTTGAGTATAATTTATTAACGGATTATTAGGGTCTAAGTGTTATGTAGATACAAACTTTAGGGAGTTAGTATATAATATTTTAAATGTCATAAGATTTAAGTGATTAAGTGACAAATTTTAAAAGCCTGGATGCAATTCTCCTAAAATATTATTAGCCCTAAAAATTATTTAGAATTTTGTTTCAGTAATTCCCAAAACACCAAAACAATCGAAAGAAGAGAAAAAAAAATCGATGATAATAAGAAGTCAAATAAGTCCGAAATTAAACAAAAACTCAAGCCTACAACCTAAAATCAACAAAATATATATGTGAGATTACCAAAATGTATATAATAAAATAGAGCTAAGTTTAAATTCAGAGACAAAGAAAGTCCAATGATCATAATTGGATTTAACTCTAACATTCATATCTCTCATACAACTCTATGTCTCTCTTATCTCTTAAATATTTTAAACACACTATCTCATCTGCCCCTCTCTTTCTCTATCTCTCTCTCTCTCTCTTTCTATATATATATATATATCCAGTAATGATACACTAACCAAATTTTGGGACCAAATTTGAATCTCAAATGACATGTCAGCTGACTATTTGAAATTTTTATTGAAGCTCAAATGACATGACACCAAATAAAGAAGTCTAAGTTAGCTGCCATGTCATTTGGGTTCTAAATTTGGTCCCAAAATTTAGTTAGTGTAACATTACTCATATCCATATATAATAAAGTAGTTAAAATCAAAACCAATCTAATCGCCATCACTACTTCCATGAAAATAAAAAGTATAAATATACAATCCATAAATAAAATCATATAGCTATTATTCATACTAAAAATAAATCACTACCATATGAAAACATGTAATTCTCAAAAAAGAAAAAAAAAAACAAAGCCCAATCTAATCACCAATAAAAAAAATAAGTGACTAATCAAAAATAACAAGTATTATTAATTGCACAAAAAAAAAATTCAAACCAATCAATCGTCATCACCACTTTCACACAAACAAAAATTACAAATATTCAATCCATAAGAAAATTATTCGAACTATTATTCATACTTAATCATTACTTTGCTCATAATTATATGAAAACTTATAGTTCTCAAAAATTTAATTTTTATTGAAAATGAATAAAACATATTGTTGATTATCATAAATGATTAGTTAAAATAATATCTATTACAAATTTTGTTAATGGCAAAACATCTCATTATTTCATGTTGATTATTTTTTTTGTTCAATTTTTAAAACTGGGTAGTTATCAAATATTTTATGTTTAATTTTTATAACTATGCAATTAGCAAATGTTTAATATTTATGCATGTTTATGAATATTGATGATTTTTTTGTGTTGGTTTAGTAGTGTATGCCTTGACAATAGTTTGTTGTTTTTAATTTTTAATGTTCATGTGGTTTAGTTGTGTATATATTGTCATTAACTAATTGTTGTTAAATGTTATATGTTAAAAGTGTATTGTTTGTACCTTGATTTTGATTGATTTTGTTTAATTTCTAATTTTACCATAAAATTTTACATAAAATTAAAAATATTTCTATTAAATACACATAAAATATATAATATCTTTAAGTTTAGTGCTTCTATTTTCAAGGTTTGCCAGTTTATATTTGACCTCAATAATCTCATACACATCATCACTACAACACAAAAATCAATACCCAAATGGACAATGCCACCATTTTTGGACATTAAGTTATTTGATATATTGATTTTTTCAAAACTTTTGATATAATATATCATTAAAAACCATTATATATTTACTATATAATTTTTCATCATTCTTATTACAAATTGATTCATACCTAGAATACACCGTAAATAGATCTTCTTATCACCCATCTTAGTACCGATAGTTGATGTTTACTTCTTACTTCTTATCAATCAATAAAGTTTAAATTGTCTTTATAATTCATAAATAAAATCATCAATTCATTATTCATACCAAAAGTAAATCACTACTGTATGAAAATTTATAGTTCTCAGAAAATTAAAAAAAAATCTAATGCTCAAGCTAATCAGCAATTAAAAAAATAAAAATAAGTGACTAATACAAAAAAAAAAAAAGATACCAATTGCACCAACAAAAAATGTTCAAAATCAATCTAATCGCTATATGTTAAAATTATTTAAACATTTTATCATTGTGTGTTGAAATTATATAAGTAACATAGTGCTTTTAGGCACGAACAATGACTAGTACTAAAATACATGAAAAAAAAGTTGTATAAACAATGTTAACGAAGTTATCGCTTTTTTTTTAGAACTCATCGAGACATTGCCAAAAGGGTGCTTAAACCTTTCTTCTTCTTTTTTTTCATACCACAACTGAATTCTGTCTCCATTAAATCGTTGCTATCATTTCTGAAGTAGGAGCAGTGTAAATAAGAAACAAAATTAAATAACAGAAACTTCAACTTGTTGATTATCACAATAATATCATATTAAAGTAATCAAAAACCTTGTAGATTTACGAATAATGTCACCTCAATTATAAGAAAAATGAATTCATCTCTTAGTTTATTTAAAAATAATTAAAAGCTGCTGAATTCAATTTCTCAATACAATATAAATACGAAATTCTAATTGTCCTAAATTACTAGAAAATCCAAACAAATAAACAATATTATGAAAATATCCCAAATAGCAAAGATAAGATATAAAAGTGCCTAAAGAGTGCCCTTAATGTCATTTTTTGGCTTAAAAATGGCCGGTTGAAAAATATATGTTTTAATTTTGCTCAGATTATTGAGAGTATTTCAAAATGGGATCTTCCAAAATTTTATGACACTTTTGTCCAGAATCAACCCTGACATCTTATCAGCTCTATTTTCGATGATCTTGATCTACTATATAATCATCTCTTTTCTCTCATACGTGATGCATCAGTTTCCTATTTTGATTTCCAACCATCACAGGATATTTGTATAATCATCTGCTATTCGTGCTGCATTAGTACCCACTCCACCACCCAAAATCATTATAGTATAGTACATGGATTAGACTTTTGATCAAACATGAAAATATTACAGTTCTAAAAACAAAGGATATATAACTCTCATAACCAAGTAGAAACAAGAAAAAGAAAAAGGCATATGCCAACTTATGAAGAAGAGGAGAGAGAAGAGGAAGCTTGTAGAGTCCAGCCATCAGGAATCATGAGAGGCTGCTGATTGTAATAGACCACAGAAGGGCTCTCATGGTTGTGCACTCCATCATATGTTGTTATCACATAGCTTGGGTCTTCCCTGTCCCTTTCTACCCTCTTTTTAACATAGCATTCTTCACTTGAACACTTGTAGTAATTCCTGCAAATAAATATGATCTTAAAAACCATTAATATGAGCACTAATCAAATCAGAAACTATAAGAGAAAAACTTCAAGTGAAGAATAAGATGTCACAGCCAGTGTAAAGTTTTATTAAGATGTCAATCTAGTTGGGTCGTGTTCCAATCCTGTTATATTGTGTGATGTTCAAATCAAATCATTTCAGATTCTTATCTGTTGTTAATTTATCATACCCAGTCTCCTTCTATAGTTCAATGACTCATGTCGAATGTCTAGAAAAAAAAAAACCCATCATGTTTATCTATTTTGTCGCGTTTGAGTTGATGCATATACATAAACCATAAATCCAAGACTAAGACTTGCTTCTCTCTCAATCAAGTACACCCCTTATAGGCCTCCAAAAACTAAAAATCACTACTGTAGGGTCTGGCCCCCAGGATTAGATATTTGAGCTTTAGTATGTTTGGGAGAGTGTTCTGGGGATGGAGGAGGCTTTCTATTACCGTCCAAATGCATTTCTTTCTCTTGTTGCTCGTGCATATTAGACTATCTTCAAAAACTTAATGACAGGACGCATCTCTCTAGCAACAAGTAAGTTATGGTGTCTATGGCGGATGGACATCAAAAATGTTTTTTTCTATGTAGTCGGTTTCGGTATAGGTAGGGCAGCTCATAGTAAAAAGTGCGTTGCGGTAAGCGGATATTAGCTTCCGCTTCCTCCCCTCTTCTCGGCCTTTAATCCACTTTGTCCTCTTAGAACTATATATGTTGCAACGTGCTATATAACTAACTATAAGCATCATAATATAAAAACAATACATTTATGTATGCATATGTGTACAAACATACGATTTAGCTTGAAAGAAGCAAATCTAGATAAACAAACAAAATAAACTCTATTTAAGAAAACTATCTTCAAAAAGAAAAAGTAAAAAACTACTTCAATATTTTTCACTTATTCCCCAAAAAAAGTATTATATATTTCCGAAAAATAGTTTAATTTTATCTCATTTGAATCATATTCTTATCATTCTAATCATGCTTCAAGCTGTTGGTGTTCTTGTTGCCTCTATAGTGATTGGTGAACATACAACCAAAGTATGCGATCCAAATCTGCAAATAATTGAAAATATAAACAGCTATACGGTCCTTTTTAAGTTTTGTTTTATTCCAACGTTGTGAAGGGGACAGGAGAGGAGTACATGTGATAGAACAGTGGTTGTAGATTGATTATCACCATATCTATATATAGGGAAATGTTATTTAGACTTAAAATGTGTATTTGATAATTATAACTACTGAATAAATAGTGGATCCTAATAAATGTTGAAACTCACAATAAAATCAATGGCTGTGATAAGATAAATGTTGACAACTTGCATAGATGAGATGAACAAGCGATTTAGAAGGGCTAAGGGTGAGGCCTGGTGACCACCATTTCACTTGAAGGGCCACCCGATAGTAACCTAAGAGGCGATTGAAACGCCAATATTAGAGCCTCACAAAAGATGTCCTCGTTAATTCGATGTTGAAGACATAGCAGTCAATGAGTCTTAAAAATGCGTACGTAGTTAAGACACTTTTGGCCGTAAAACAAACACTAAAGCAATAGTTTATCTGCATTAATTGTCTCCTCCTATCACCTTCCTTCTACATTGCAGCCATTTTGCTCCAAGATGCTGAGGTGAATCACCTCCCCACACTACTATGTACTAGTTTTCATTCTATTAAGTAAACTTTTGTTTGAAGAAGAAGAAGAAGAAAACTATCCAATTCCCTTCCCAAAAAATTTCTCTTATCAATAGACAGACAAATCCAGAGAGAGAGAGAGAAGTGGGAGGGGAGAGAGAGAGAGAGAGAGAGAGATGGGAGGGAACATGCGTGTAAATGCACCCTCAGAGTTAATGTTTGGTCAGAAATTAATAAAATAATCCATGTTATAGTCGCTTTAGATAATGGAACATCTAGCGCAAATGCATGTATAATCTAATGGTAGGCCTGAAAAGTAGACATCTCTATCGTTTCTTTACACAAAGAAAATAATACCTTAATTGGGTTTTCAAATTAATCTAATAACCCAAAATTAGAAATCAACATTGTGCAAACGATTCTTAACCACTGAAAGAAAACAATTTGGGTGGTTGGAGAGAAAGAGAGAGAGATACAAACCCCATGGATATACTAATTAATGGGAGCTATATATACTGTATAAAATCAACAGCAGTTGAGAAGAGACACAGATTATGTCCATTCAATAAAAAAGAATCAATTATAAGATCCAGAGAGAGAGAGACTCCATGGATATAGAATTATGAGATCCATTGGTTCTCAGCCATGCAATAATGATAATAATAGTTATAATAGCAAGGATGGATTGGAGTATCACTAATGGGAGATTTATTGTATAAAATCAACTATAGTTGAGAATAGACACAGATTATGTCAATTCAATAAAAAAAAAACTATAAATAATAAGATCCATTAATATTTATTTAATATCATGTTATACCTTGGATTTGGACTGTTCTTCACCATCTTCTTTCCATACTTTCTCCATTTGAATCCATCATCCATGATCTCCAGATCCGATTTCGTCCTAAACGCAACCCTAAACCCTCCTCCATCCACCTTGTTTTTCTTGGATCCATTTCTAAAATTTCTGCAAAAAAATAGAGCACAAAACACATCATTTTTGGGCATATGCTTGTTGAAACTTCAATAATTACATATTTTTTATTGATAAACCATGAATTTCATTGAAAAAATACAATTTTTTAACAGGTAAATATGAATCTCATTGAAAAATAATAATAAAAAAAATTGTTTTTAATATTAAAAGATAACAATAATATATGTAATTGTGTAAGTGACTTGCATGCTGTTACTAGTTCTTGGAGCTGAACTGCCAAATTCAGTGGAACCCTCAGTAACATTGTCAGACGCCGCCGCCAACAAACCTCCCTCGGAACCGTCTCCAACCACGAGATAGTCGGAGAGTTCGAAGTCCGACGTATCGAAGAATTCGGAAACATGATAACCAGTAGGATAAGGGTTAGGGTTTTGAAAATGTTCCATTGCTGGGGAGTTAAGCACACTGTTAGGAGGAACCTGAAACATATCTTAATTCATGTCTTTATTTAATAGTAGTATAAAATTGTTTAATTTTTAGCTGCACTTTCGTGGACTCTTTCCTGGAGAATACAACGAAGGTGCTTTTTATATTGGACACGTGTCATTTTATTGAGGTGATGGATGACGTCATCTTGTGACGTAGGACCTGATGAAGCTGTTAAAATGTGGGGCCCAGTCATAATAATGCATGCATATCCACATACTGTTTGGTGTTTTGATTGGCTTGGGTGGTGCTGTGGCGGAGGCGTAAATATTCTTTAATAATACGTGGTGGTGTAATTAATAAATTATAAAATAATAAATAAATCTCTATTTTAAGTTATTGGTGATTATTATTTGCCATTTTATTACTAATTGATGACATACACTAATGACGCATTATCACCATTATTCCTGAAATTTTCTACCGGTGGAGGGAGAGTGTGGTGTCAATTATTTTAATTTACACATGAAAATTCCCCAAAGTCAATTCAAAGTGCTATTTTGAATTGGACTAAAGTGATACAAATTAAAAAATTGAGAAAATAAATTAATAAATACAATTTAAAAAAATAAGGACCATTTACACAGAACCAACATACTTCAGAGATTACCAATATGTCTTGTCATGGATTATATAATTTGTTTTTATGTCGACTGGAGCTAAATTACAAATGGGTCACATTCATTTTGTAGCATAGAGCCATAATATGCACTTTAATTGACACCAAGTCTCGCACATTCTTATCGGAACCCGGTCGGTTGGACCGTGAATCGGGACTTAAAATAATTTGATTTATTAATTATACTGTTCAAAGTATTAATTGTACTGTTTAAAGAATTGAATCGGTTGTAAACCGCTAAACTATTTGGTTTTATTCAAAACCTAAAACCAGTGAACTAGACGGTTCTATTCGACTTTCACTTGCCAAAAAAATAAAATAAAAAATTCAATAGTCTTCTCCGATCTCCACTGTGCAGATTCTCCACCCTCCTCTCTCTTTCTCTTTCTCAAAAAGTTGAAGTATTCTAGGCTTCTAACTTTGTGGATCTCAAACCGTTGGAGATTTTCTCTCTGTGGAGCTCGAACAGTCGAACCAGTCGGTTCTTGATCTTCCATTTCGAGTCTTCTCTAGTCAAGTCTTTCTTCTTCTTCTTCTCTCTCTCTCTCTCTCTCTCTCACACACACACACACCCTTTTGTCTTCTCTTCTTTTCTCTCTCAGTCTTTGTCTTTTTTGGTTTTGGTTCTCCGAATATGAAGGCACTAGAAGCTTAGAAAAAGACTTTTACTTTTGGGTATATTACTTTTGGGTTCCCCAAATTTGGGTATATTAATTTTTAGAAGGCATTGCTTTACTATGTTTAATATTGTTGAGTTGTGTTTAAATTTTTTTTTTCAGTAATTTTCTCTTAATTCGAGTAGCTGTTTATGTTATATTATTTCAATTACATCTTTCATTATTGTTAATTGTGTTGGCCTTATGTCTTGTCTCTAAGATAAATTGTATCTATTGTAAGCATGTTTTTTTTATTAGCTAAATTGTTATATTATTCAATCGGTCCGACTAATTGACACTTTGAATTGACTTTAGTCCAGTGGAAAATGACACTTTGAATTGATTAATGGGGATATTCAAATGACTATACTTAAGAGATAACTTTGATCCCTCAAATTTATAACTTGTATCATTTTGGTCTTTTAAGTTTGTAGTTTGTGTTACTTTAATCCTTAAACTTTCAAAAGAATGCACCTCAAATATGATCACGTGAGATGCACGTAACGATCTCCGTTAGCAAATTCTAACTATCGTTTTTGATTGAATCAAAGTGAGACAAAATAAAAAATTGAGAAATCAAATTGACACAATTCAAAGATTATGGACCAAACTAACATAAAACTCATAGTTAGGAGATTAAAAATATATTTTACCCTTGATTTTTTGTAATTGGAATCAATCTAACCATGTGTTGTTTAGGTTCATAAAACTCTCATGAATCATCTTTCCTAGAAAAAACATGACAACAAAAAACTCCATAGTCAAAACTTGGAACCATACATTCTTAAATAATAAAGAAAAAAAGATGAGTTTGGTGTTCACTCTTTTTATTGATATAATAAGAGTTTAAAAGGTAGCAAAGATGACAATATTTTGGTCCCCACACGAAATATCCATAGTAAACTAGCTTTATTTCCCCTTTGTTACTCTTCACTCATACTCAACCATTAAGGTGATTCTCGCCTTGTCCCTTTCCACTCTCATACCTCTCTCTAGAAGCTAGTTCCTTGTTAAATAAGTGTGATTAATCTTGGGAAAAAAGAAAAATTATAGAAGTGTGTGTATGTGCATCCTGATATATGAGTAATATAAAGCTTGGAGAAAGATAATAAAAGTATTAGGAAAAAAAAATTGTTATTAAGAAATAAAATATTAGAAAAGAAATTTTTTATTTGTTATTAGAAAATAAAATATTAGGAAAGAAACAATAACAAAAATAAAAGCATATTTGTGCAATTTTATTTCAAAGTTGTATATAAGAGTCTTTATGTATTATCAAGTAGCATATGTTGGACCAAAATAATTTTTCAAGTATAAAAATTTAATTTTTGGTCGACTTTGAGTCTAAATTAAAACGGGACCCGGTAGTTATTTCAAACAAATTTTTGTGGGTTCATATTTTATTCCGTGAGGAGAATAATATAGTATATTCACTTGCTCAAATCGAGTAAGAAATGAATGAGAAAATAGACTCCAAAATGCCCCTCTTGAGATATGGAAATAAAGATTATGCAATGTGGAATTTGACATCAATCCCATATTGGTTGAGGAAGAAATTCTACATGAGCATATATAGGTCAAATTTGCTCTATGGAATTGGATCCCAAGGGATATCATAATTTTATGAACAGAGCGAGCACCTATATGCCTTCGAAGAGACCACACAAGCGTGGGCGCGCCGCCTGCCGGGCTCGAGCTCAGGTATGGTTTATACCGAGCCCTATTTTTTTGGAGATAATTCATTTAATTAATTGGGCATGAATTTCTTAACCCGAAATTATTTTTCGATATCCTTTGAATCGCACTAGTTTGGATTTTTGCTTCCCTCCAATTCAAAACCTTGAGTCCAATTTGAAATTTTAAGTTATGTCTGTTCATAGAAAACAATTATTGAAGGTGTCTTCTAGCTGTTGCATTTCATCTTCTGGGTTGTGTCTTTTAGTATGGTAATTGTCAAGAAAGTCACCAAAGTGTCTATAAATATCCAGTCTTATTACCATTCTACATTCAATTCATTCATCAGTCCACTTTCGACATTAAGCCAGACATTAGAGCATAGTATTTCGGTATTAAGACAATCTGCATTTTGGAGATTACACAACACAATTTTTGGTTCGCTAGACAAGTAAATTGGAGTTCTACTTCTGCTCGTGTAAAAATCATTGTATCTTGGAAGACAGACGTTCGACATTCTACAAGTATTGTGTGTGGAGGCGAAATCTGTCTTAAGAACATAGTGTCAAACATTAGCCTTGATCTATTTTAAGTTAAATAATAGTTTCTATTCTGTAACCGGGTTAGTATTTATATTTATTTGGCAAAAAATTACATGTAACTCTTTCGTTTTTATGTAACTGTTTATTTTTACTGTTTCGTAAGACTGTTGTAATTTTTTCCTGTAAAACTATTTCTGTGTAACTATTTCGCATTTGATTGTTACTGTTTTTTTATACATTACATGGTTCAAATCAAAATTTTCAATAAGTAGTTTTATATTATTTTAAATACCACAAACAACAAGATACTCACATATAAATCAATGTATACTACTGTCTTTAAGCTCGAAAGAAGAGAGTTAAAAAAAATTTATCCGTCATGAATACCTTATTCCCAGTGTAGATAGTTTGCTTTTAATCGGACCAAAGAAAGAATTAGTTAAAATGCGCGTAAACTGACTCAAAACTCTTGACCGTTGAATAAAAAAAAAAAGAAAGAGAAAGTTATCTCTCTCTCACTAAACATACATACGTATGTATATATGTACATAATCTGAGTGTTAGTATGAATGTGTGCGGTTTTTTTTTTTTGGGGGGGAGGGGGGGGGGATGACCTTATATACCACATTAATTGAATGGCACAATAAAGCCACTTAGTAGGGTGACTCGAATCATTACAAAGGCAACAACTAGGAAAATTTCAAGTGCTAACAATCACTTTCAGTTTGGGAAGTGAAGTGATGTGAGAAAGTGCAAAGAAATACCCCAACACTACTAAAATTCTTCACCCACAACAAAGAACTTTCTTTTGGATGGACTCATGCTTAACCATATATGCATTCTTTTGAGGATATCTAATAGGAAATATAGAAGGAAGCTTCACTTGACTATCAGAGGCAGCCAACCATCAATAATGGATTTGATTAAGGTGCGGCCAAAAAATTTCGGTATCATATCTTTAAAATTTATTATTTCAAATGATGTGTTTTAAATAATTTTTGTGAATCATTTTATAAGCAAAAAATTATTCACTTTTTTAGTTAATGTACCACTTTTGTGATAACTATTTTTACAATTTTTTGTCAGTATAAAAAAAATTACCACTTTTATGGGTGATTTATCATATTTGTAGGTATTTTTATCACTGTTGTGATAATTATTTTTATTATTTTTTTTATATTACAACAGTGATAAAAACACCTAAAAATATAGTAAAAGTAACCATAAATGTGGTAAATAAAGGTATGGTACTGGAAAAAAAAGATTTGATATCGTATTCAACTCCATCAATAAGAAATCTTTTTTTGTAAGAATTTTCACTTTTTTTAGTTGGTCACCACATTAACTCAGGTGATTGGAAATCCATTCATTTTCATGAGAGAACAAGAAGCATAGATACAACCTTCTGAAAAAAATAAGAGAAACCAAGACAAAGAGAGAGAGAGAATTAAATCTAAAATCATAAACAAAAAGAGTAAATTAGGGACGAAACTCTTGTCCTTACATTTTTGTA